GGGGGGGGTTCGTTTGCAGAGTAGCATTGCAGGGGTAGATGACTGGCTCGGACCGACGGGAGAGGATGATTGAGACCTCCAGCGAGACAAGAAAGTATGGGCTTCGAGAAGAAGAAGAGAAGCAGGAATGTGTTGAGTGTTGTTTTTAGAGTCATACGATGGAGGGAGGGCCGCGGGGCCCGAATGTAAGGAGGGAGGACGGTGCAATCTGTGTTGTGTTTTTTCTTTGGCCGGTAGAATGTCGGTCGGATGAAAAGACGATACTAAGTGGATATTAGGCGATGATGAACCAAGAAAAAAGAAAACACTCGGGCCCGAACCCGGTCAGATTGATCGAAAGCCAGACTATTCAGGCCAAAAAGTAACTTGTCTGATGTTTGCGCGGCAAACCATGGATAAATTGTTCGGCAGATTGGATGGGGACAGGTCAAAGGCAGCTAGACAGGAATCAGGATGGATGGAGAGTGTTAGTGGTCGGGCCGTTCGGGGGTACGCCTGGCCGAAGGATGCGGATGCTATCCCACATCACCATGTGGGAAGTGGATGTATGGAGGATTTGGATTTTCTTCCCCGGCGGCTAAATAAATAATCAATTAGCAAGACTGTTTCTGTAGGTATTGTACCAGGGATGGGACAGGAGAGGAGCGAGGTGGGTGGGTAGAGACTTTTGCTGGGGTGGGTTAGACGAAGACTCAAAGACAAAAATGAAATTTCTGTGAGATGATGGTGAGGTGATATTGGTGATTATACCGATGATGATGAAGGTAGGAGAACAGAATAGAAAGCACGAGGACCACCGTCGCAGCTGGGTAGGAGAGATGTGGATGGTGACGGCGACGGTGGTGGGCACCAAAGAGACCGCAGGAGGGAGAGGAGGAGGGACAAAGGCAGGGCACGCAGGCAGGGTCTCAGCCTGCGTCTCCCCACAATTGCAGACTTGGTTCTCTCACTCCTGCTCCTTGCATATCGCATGTACCTACACAAGCCTGCTGTTTAGCCTAGTTGAGTAGTCGACTTAGCGCATGCATGCACGAATCACCTCTCTGAGAGCCGTATGGATAATGCATTTTCGCATTTTGTGTAGTGACAAAGATTCCAGAATTTCCCCGGATTGTCCCATTCTGAAATCCATATACAGTCTCCTACTCCTTCTGTTTCTGCAAATTCCCTCTCCCCACCAATACTCTTCTCCAGCTACTCTTGTTACCGCACATGTACATGCGCTCTGCATCGGCGTCTGCACCTTCGGCTCAGAAACATCCTCGGACCATCCTCAAAAATCACGACCAAAACGATCCAACACGGCCATTACCCTACCATTGACACGACCGCTACTACTAACCTTCAAACCTTCGATCTCTTTACATGTCTCCTCATTCTCCTTCTCCAGGAATGCCGCTTCAAACCAATATCTCCAGCAACTATGACCTCCTGAATGTCTCCTGATTATTCCATCCTGGCTTTTTGGTCATACCCGCTCTGCAACCACTGCTGTCCTAGCGTCTAGCGTCCAAAATTCAACCCGAATACACCTCCGATCCGCTTCACGATGTTCCATACTTTCGAGACCACTCAGTACACCAGTCCTGACCAGAGCGAAGGAAACCCTGCTGCTAAACGACGCACGTCCACTGTAAGAGCCTGTGAGCCCTGCCGGAGACGCAAGATCCGATGCAATGGCGAGCACCCGTGCGAAACATGTCAGTGGTATCGGAAAGCCGCCTCCTGTCACTATACTGAGCCCAGGCAGAGACAGATGCCATCCCGAAGGTGAGTTTCTAGGGAGCGACCAGCGCCCCTCCATCTTCTCACCTTGATATAGATCTGTCGAGAAAATCTCGCAAGCCCTGCAGGAATATCGAGCCATCCTCCAAAGACTCTTTCCCCACGTGCACCCCGACCAACTCAAAGACCTTTCTCGCGAGAGACTTGTGGAGCTCGTTTCCAAGACCAGCCCTTTCCATCCTCCATCTCCACGAACCCCGAGCGTCGAAGAGAAGCCGCCTCCCGTAAATCCTGATGCCGGCAGCCTGGAACAACTTCAGCCCATGCCCGAGGAGGGCAATGAACCCTTTGACCGTAAACCTCACGCCCTCAAAGGTATCACTGACGACGTCAACATGCTTTCTCTCTCTGTCAAGCAGAATCCCTCCTATCTGGGGATCTCCTCCGTCATGGCGGTTTTGCGCGTCATCACTTGGCTCGATCCCGAATGCCTCACCAAATCACCCGAGAGAAGCGTCGTTCCTAGCCGGGAAACCTCGTCCCCTCCCGAAAACCACGCGATTGAGAAGGATACCCCTCGAGGGGACGCCTCGTCGTCCTCGGCCTGGGACGAAATCCCTCTCATCAACGCCTACTTCACCTATGTTCATCCATTTGTCCCCCTCATCGAGGAACAATCCTTCAGAGAAACCTACATGGCTGCTCAGAGGACCGATTCGCGATGGCTCTTGCTTCTCAATACCGTGTTGGCCATGGGAAGCATGGCGGCGGGGACCTCGGAGGACACCGGCCATCAGGTATACTTCAGCCGTGCCAAACAGCACCTCAACATGGACGTCTTGGATTCGGCTCATCTGGAGACCGTCCAGGCCCTCGCCCTTCTGAGCGGCCTCTATCTTCACTATGTTCAGATCCCCAACCAGGCCAATGCCTTGATGGGCGCCACGCTGAGGGTGGCTACCATGCTGGGCTTGCACCGAGACTATACCGAGGGTGTCGGTCCAGCAAAGGTTCAGAAGGCCTCGTTTTCGATCGAAATGCGACGAAGAATCTGGTGGTGTGCCTTCATGTTAGATGCTTGGGTCGGAAACACTCTCGGAAGACCCAGTATGGGTCGCATGAGCCACGCCATCACGGCGAAACCTCCTCAAGAACCGATCGGTCAATCCACGGTGATGCTCACCCTGGTGCAAGAAAATGTTCGTTTCTGTATCATCAGCACCAGAATGGAAGATGCACTGGCCATCTCGCCACTACTCGAGGAGCATGAACGTCATGCACTCGATGCCGTCTACCTGGAATGGTACAAGCACTCTTCGGTGCGGAGCAGTTCACCGCGCCCTAACGTGGGTGAATCTCCTGGCGTCACCGTGCTAAAGAACGTCATGAGATGGCGCTATCTTTCCAACCGAATCATCCTCCACCGCCCAGTGCTATTGTGGTACGCGATGCGCAAGATAACTTGGGAGAAATTGTCCCCTGAGAAGAAATCGGCGGTGGAACTGTGTCGTGAGGTGTGCGCAGATCTGATCAACGATATCGCTACCACTTGGCGAGGCCAAAAAGCATGCCAGATGTCTGGTTGGAATGCGACGTGGTTACTTTACCAGGCAACCATGGTCCCCCTTCTCTCACTTTACTCGGATCCTCTCGACACCAAAGTCGTCGAAAGCAGTCGCCATCAAGTGGAGATGGCGATGCGGGTCATGAAAGAGCTTCAGGGTTGGTCTACCACGGCAAGACGGTCCTTGGAAGTTATTGCCAGGCTATATGAAGCCAGCAAACGACACTCCCCCCAAATTCAGGAACCGCCAGAGGTGTATCTGCCCAATACTATGGATACACCGACATCGACGGCCACTCCCGCACCACCACCACCACCACCATCATCGGCAGCAAATTTCCGCCCGGCATACATCGACGTCTCCTTTGCCAGTTCGTATGGCAATCCACCCGTCCTGAACACAGCTAGCCAGGAAGTGTTTATGGATAATATGTTTGCCAGTTTGAAATGGAGTACCAGTTGGGACAGTCCCATAGGCGGCCCTCAAATGATGAATGGCTGGGATTACAGTTCCATGCACAATTGGGCCGGTATTCCACAAGCCGACGAATATTTTGACATGGGCTTTGCCGAAGATCCCACCCATATGGGATTCGATTTGGACATGCAAACCTCCAATCCGACCGAGATGATGAATGGACAGATGGAACACCGCCATTCGTTATGATGAATAAATCAAGTGCTTCACATACCTACCAATCCCAATACAAGACTAGGAGTTTGCTTCCTTTCGGAGTCTGCTCTGCACATGCGTCCAGAATTACATGCAGGCTGCATCACTGACCGAGGCAGAGTGACTGCGCCGCCCAAACGAACCCTGGTCGACGCATGCACATATTTCTCATTGACAAGTGTTAATTTCCAACAACCACAGACTTATCCGTGCATAAAGTTTCCGCAATCCACCGTCTTATTTTCGAGCGATCGCGAATATCGCCTATTCAGAGTTCTAGGGTGATTTCGCCGGTGAAATATCTCAGTGCCCTTTTTTGGTGGTGTCGGCAACTAGTTTTTGCAATTTCGTCTGAACACGGTTGCCCACAGCCGATAATTTTCGAGTCGTCGGAAGTGGCTTTTAGCCAACCGAGGCTGTGAAACACATGTACGGTTCCGATAAACCAACCACTTCCTCGCCCTCTAAGCTTCCTCCTTGCAACCATCGTTTAACTAACGAGACGGGCCACACCACACCCGAGGCGAAAGTCGTGGAGTCGGTGTCTGGGGTAACCTCCCCGGATGATCTGTACTAAACAAGGAAAGGATCCGGTGGATAGCACATGGAGGTAACTCCCCAGAGCTTTTTGGGCCAGGTGGACTCATGGAACATTGCTTTCTTTTTGTGAGGAAGTTCCAAGCCTTGATACTGTCACCACTGCTGGCCGAGATTTTTTAGCACCGTTGTCGGTTCATCGGTCTGACATCGTGGTGATCTTTTGTCAGGACGTGGCCCTCAGCTCCTTATCCTATTCTGGTGGACACATGGGATCTACCGATCAAGATCCGATGTTTTGAGTGATGTCTGGACCTTTTCAACCCGAAGTGGGCTAGTATAGCCTTCCTATCAGCATGACTCTTCCATGTGACCAACAAATCCCGTGGTGTGGATACATATATGGCTGATATTACCTTTCTATCGTGCGAGGACACTTCACGCCGTCCTTTTGAACGGCCTCCCTTCTTCTTCGCGAGGCATGTCCTCGGAAAATTTTCTGGTAGACCTTGGTTTCATGATGACAAAAGTTACTATGCGAAAAGGTGCTTTGACTCGAGCGAATTTCAGTTTCGATTCTTGATGTCTCTATTGGAGATGGCCGAAGAAATTCTCTTCGACAAGCAACAATTGCACATATCATATACTCTGAAGGACCGACAAAACGACGAAGAATGTTTGAAGTCTTCCAGTCTCGTATCGTTGGAAGGATCGTGAAGTAAGATCACGAGGAATGAAGCACCACTATGTACATACGAATCCACATCTTCCGTCCTATCTCATTCATGTTCAACCTCGCCATTATCCGGAATCTGATTCCGAATTTGATTTTCCCAACTTTCATTGCCATCCAAATGAATCCAGCCCAACGCCCTCACGCCATGTTTGAAGCACAAGTTGGAGTGAGCCAACGAACCTGGACTCTAGCACACAGCAACTTTCGGTAGATGAGGTGACAGACAGCTTTTGGCTTACGCATTTTCCTTTCCTCTATGTCACATCACATCGACTCCACAAACAAATGCTCGACGATCTCCCGTCCCATGCCAATCGACTCGAATCGACGTACCCCATGGATCCGTCCTGCTCTCCATCCACCTCGATAGTACTCTCTTAACATCTCTGCAAATAATTACTTGGGACCAAACCAATGCCACCACCTCTGGTGCCCTTGACGCTCTCTTTGACTTCGGCCTCCCACCAACCATCATCCTGCAGGCGCAGCACAGCCAGGATATCACCTTTGCTGAAGCTCAACTCCTCCGGGATCGCGGCCGTGTAGCTGTACATCGCCCGTGCTGTTTCGATTTGAGTCAGACATCTGTTACGAAACAACGGTCCAATGTCTTGGGGGATTCAAAACTCACCATAATGCAATATCGGTGCAGGCGCAGCAGCAGGTCTAAATGGGATATTAGCTGAACTCTTGCTGCGTTCTCTCCCAAGTTCGGTGTCCGTGGCGCCTCTGTGTTTCGATTCTCGTCCGTCATGGCCTTGATGTTGCTGCTGGTACCGATCCCCACCGAAACTGGAGTTCGGCCGCATCATTCCTTGTCGGCTTCGTCCACTGCCACTGCCGGAGCCATCGTATCTCGTCACGTCCTGAGAACTCAGTTGCATCTCCATTCCACTGCCTTGTCTTGGCCCGGGGCCTTGACCTGGACCTCTTGATCTTCCACCTCCGTACGGATTAGGCGAGGCTGCGCGGTAGTGAGATCCAGGCTGGCCTGGAGGATTGCCGTTTTGTTGCATCATCGCTGGGGCGGGACTGCGTGATCGCATATATGGATCCTGAGGCTGCGGACTAGCAGCGCGGGGCATCATCCCCGGCCCAGGACTTCGAGATCGTGGATACTGGCTCTGGGGCTGTGGACTTGCGGCTCTCGGAGCCATATCTGGGGCGGGGCTCCTCGACCGTTGTTGATATCCACCCTGTGGTTGTGGGCTGGCAGCTCTCATCATTCCGGGGCCTGGACTGCGTCTTCCATCTCGAGTGCCTGGTCTGGATTGTTGACTGCCTCTAGGATTTGAAGAAACTGAGCCAATGCCCCACGTCTCCGTGCGATTCAGCATCTCCCTCTTGGTATGTGCAGGTTGTGGGACACCAAGAGCGCTCCGCGGTTTACCTCCACCACTCTCATAAGCTGGTGGAGGAGTTCCTCGTTGTGCTGCCAACCGTGCCTGACTCTCCGCACTCAACGTAGGTGGTCTTGCCGCGGGATCTTGATCAGGGGCTGGAGTGGCTACGCCGTGATAACGATCGACTGCCACTCGCGTGCTGGCTTGTTTGGCCATGCCAGTTACGCCATTGGAGCTCTGCTTCAGATCGGCTAACGCTTGCACAATAGGATCATGCGTGAGATCGTCACCCATTGCTGAAGGCGGAGGAAGGAATTGACTGCGACGATTGGCCGCACTTGCCTTTGGTGTTGACTGTGGACCATCCGGGCTTGCCACATCGAAGACGTTACTGCCGACATTCAACTGGAAGCTTGCTCGAGGATCCGCGACGTCTTCACCTTCGGGAGCCATTGCAGCGGTGTTTCGATTGAAAAAGCTTGGTGTTTGACGGGTTGGGGACTTGGTCGGACCTGACTGAGTGCTAGATACCGTGGGATTGAGATTGATTCGACCACCGGATGCCGAAGTCGCGCTCCACGTGTTGCGATTTGGAGGGCTGCTAGCAGAGTGATGGTCATTCTCTCTTCTGGACTTTCGGCGGAACGGGCTGTTTGAAAAGAATCCCGATCTCTTCTTTTGAACAGCTTTGTCAGGCGATGTCATGCCCGGCAACGCAACACCGTTGACAGGTGCCATCTTGGTGGGTGATGCTGCACCAGAGCTCGGCTCAGCACTGGTGAATGAACTTGGGGCAGAGTATTCGCTTTGGCTGTCTCTGCTCTCTGGTCTCGTGTTCGAAGACAGGGCGGACCCAGCCACTGAAGGGGCGTCCGCTCGGCAAAACATGGTCATTCCATCGGTCGGGTATTGATTATGCGGTACTTGCGGCACGTCACCGTGTTGACTCGGGCAGTAGTTTGGAGGAACATTGGGCCCCGGCTGCTTGTAGTTGAGGGGTGGAGGTCGACCGCTATTGGCATTCGATGGAGTTGGCATATCATCTTCATCGGGACCCACAAGCTCTCCTGAGAGGCGTTGGGGAGTGCCATTTCGGTTGCTTCTTGTTCCTGCATTTGAATGCGTGGGCGAGGATGATCTGAATGCCGGATTGGTGGTACGCGAGAATTGGGCAACCGAATAGTTGTCATCTTCGGACACCTCTGAAGCACTATCAACATCGCCCCGGCAGAAGTTGATGTATCGTGGCGGATCTGGTATCTCCTGGCCTGTCCCGCAGGTCTTGATGAAGCTGGAGATGTCCTTTTCCACCTCACAATTCTCCAGGGCCAGTCTAATCTTCTCACAAGAGGCATCATCCGAAACGCAGACTGTGGATGCGATGTTGGCGAAAGCCCACAAAGAAGACTTGGTGAAGTCCAGGCGCTCTTCCTCGAGGTCTTGGAATTTGTCGCAGGCTGCCTTCCACTCTTTGTTCCATCGCCCCGTCGTCTCCTCCAGAACCTTGACGGCGGCTTCATATTCATTGGAATTCGCGGCCATGTTGATCTGCGTCTTTTCGAGTTTTGCTTTATTCTTGCGTTCCTCTTGTCCCATGACCATATGACCTTGCGCTAGATACCCTTTGATCCTCAGACAGTCCTGCTCGTATTTGTCTCGGCTCTTGTTGACGTGGGCCGTTTGTGCTTGTTTAGTCTTGAGGAGCCTCTCAATCCCATTTTGTACAATCTTGCGACGCTCTTTCATGCCACCGGCGAAAGCGACCAAAGGTTCCTCCAACTCCGACCTCATTTGTTGGGCGATTAAAGCATGCTGCTTGCCCATGGATTCGGTTTCGCCCCTCGCGACGTCGAGACTGGCTCTGAGTGTTCCTTGCTCAACACTGCCCAGCGGCTTTCGGGACAGGTTCAACAGCTTTTTGGCATATTCCTCCTCCAGAGCGGCACGCGCATTGTAAAAAGCCTTGAGTTCGTCGCAAGTGGTTTTGGCATTTTGCATTCGTGTGAGGAGAGGGTCCACGCCCGCGTCATCTCGTCCCCAGAAGTTGTTTGAAACTGTATGCGAGTGAGAAGAGTCCAGGCGTCCAGGTCCCGTCGTACTTACAGCTCAGAGGCACTGAAGGAGGGGCGCCTGCTTCCGGTGTGGCGCCGGGAGGCATAATACCTACTACGATGAGTCCTTCTTGAAAAGCTCAACCTTGATCTGCGGCGTGAAGAAAGAGGATTCGGCCCAGTCTTAGAGTGGTATCTGTCGGTGCATGTCCGAGCAGCAGTTGTAATGAAAGTACCTGGTCGCTCCGATTGCAATCGGAGCCAGTGACGAATTGTGGTCATTGTTTAGAGCAGGGGGTTGTCCTGGCAACCACCTCCAAACTATCACCAGGCTGAGAAGGCACACTTGTGTACGACCCACAATGATGAATTTCCCCTTTCTTCTTGCAATGGCAGCCTGATTTTAACGAATCACATATTTGGTTTCTATCAACATCTAACCAACCTGAAACGCGCGACCCCCAGTCGGTCATCTGCTTCGTGTCTTCTCTCTATATCCTCATCGTCACTACCTTGGCCCCATTCTATTCAAAGTCTGCTCATCTACCTTCACTGTCTCATTATTGTCTGTAATTCCATATGACATGTTGGTGGAAGTCAATAGTTACTCCAATCGTGTGGCCCTAATTCCTGTTTCCTTTTCGATGGCTGTGTGGAACCTTTCGTCAATACTAAACTTAAGCCACCCTGCTAATGTTCCACTCTAGTCTTGCTGCCGTTGGGATGGATTCAAGTTCAAGCTGCGCGTTCGCAGATGGTGACAGATCGACCCGAGTCACTCGGGAGCGAGAAAAGTCCGCTGAGATAAATCATCAGAATTGATGGAGACGATGGCGCAATGATTCCAAGCCGGACAAGTCTCCGCATAATTCTACCACCCTCGTCAGCGAGCGAATTTCGATCATTATCATTCCGCTTACACAAGGAACGCGGTGAATGTGGTGTCGGGACGGAAAGAGGAAGATGATTGCAGAGGCAACAAGAGCTCGGAGTTCTACGTTTGACCTGCCAAAAAGGGCAAATCCACGCATTTATGGTGTTGTTTTGAGACCAGGCAGGGTTAGACTGGAGCGATATTTTGATCACCGGGGATATTCCAAACCGTCGCACTTGCACGTCTGTTTCGAGAAGGAGAAGCTTTCAGATGTGTTGGCCGATGCTCATTCATTGTCGACGAAAGAGTTTGCGAGTCGTCCAAAGAACGGCACTTCGAAATGGTCCAAGTTATCCACGTCTCGGTATGCGTGCAGGGCCAGGAATCCAATCAAGATCAGGTCGACAGCGAATAACATCCAAGATAGGACTCGAGACCAGGACAAGATCAGGTGGAGGACAAAGATGGCCGAGAATAGCATGCTGGACTGCCACGCATGAAATCGCACATAGTCACTCTTGTGTTCGAAAATAAGCAAGAACACTCCTCCAGCGGGCGGAAGGAACAAATAAGCCAACATGGCTTCGTAATCCAATCTTATCGGGAGACTAGTCTCAAATGCTTCCAAACTCTGACCTCGTCCTTCTCGAGAACTCGAAAATCTGTTTGCGAAGGCATCGTGTGCAAAATCACTCGGAGGGGGGAGAAACTGGGCCGCGGAGATCGCATGCGCGGCGCTCTGAGAAGGCTTGTTCTTGGGAGGAGGTGACCGCACACGGGGCGAGTCTATGGACGCTCGATTTTTGCCCGGCGGAGGAGAGAGAGCACGTTCTCTGTTATCGCATGAGTGAGTAAACTTGCCGTCGTTTTAATGAATTGGGGGGAAGCGTACAACTCTGGGGACTCGTCCTGGTAGGGTGCAAAATTCATGGTTGATCTCGGTTTGATGGGGTCTGATGTTGATTCCGATGCGACAACAGCGAGATTTACTTGAAATGAGCGTGCGTTGAAAGTCTCACACTGGAAAGAGAATGTTAGTTGAGGCGAGATGAGATGAGCTGCAATTTGGCGGCCGCGTCGAAGTTCCTGGCTTGGCGATAGAGAAGTTGGCGCACGCGATCACTCCATCTCGGTCGACTTGCGTCATTGGAATGAGGACCACCTTGAACATGGCGGACCATTTTACTTCGTACATCTGCGACTCCTGTCTACATATTGGCCGACAGATTCCTGGTTCCTAAATCCCTTTTCAACCCCGTGTTCGAGACGCTCGATCAGCCATTCCTCGCCCGATTCCAGATGTTGTTCTTCTCGTAAAGCCTGGCCCTCGCTTGGTACCGGTGCCGCTGGTTGCGCTGGATCCTCCCATTTGTGCGTAGGACGAAGGGGTATTCCTTCCCGTCGTACCAAGCCTGCCTCTCGATGTGATTTTTGATTGTTTCGCACCTGCTTCAGCTTTGCGCTTTTCCTCCTCTTCAGCTCGTCTCATTGCGGCCGTCTTTCTTTCCTGCTCTTCAGCTTCTCGTCGATTGGCCGCGCGCTGCTTTTCCAGGACTTCCTGTTCGATATCGGCAATGTCTTGACTAGCGCCATGCCAGTTTGGGTCGAGAATGAGTCGCTGATTGTGTTCCGTCTGAGACAAGATGCGTGTCCAAGTGTTCAGCAGAGTGGACGCAGCGGTGACAGTATTGTTTGCAGTCTGCTGGCCCAGTCAGTCTCGGCGAATGCTTATTGCGACAGTCCGCCATACCTTCATGTTGTCTTTCGCCTTTTCCAGACTTTGTATCACCCCTTCAATGGCCTCATTGACCTGCCGCACACTTTGCAATTCCTGGCGGAGAGTGTCTTCGCGGGCTTCTTGTTCCTGGTACGTGGGCCTCGAGGGATTTGGATGCTTTCCAGATGCTTTGGACGGTTCTGCCGCAGGTTTGGCTGGTGAATCCCACAGACTTTCATCAACGGCTTCATCATTCCGGGAGGAGTCGTTAGGATTCATGGTGCGACCAAACCGACGACAATGTTCAATTGGCGGCGACTGAAGAGTCGAGGTAATTGTTGTTCCACGGGTAGATAGGTTCTGTATGGTCACAATCGGAATCCAAAAACAAAAAAAGCACTTTTACGCGCGTGGGGAGCGGGCCGTGTTTCGCGTGGATCCTGGGGGGCTTTCATTGGTTCCCAGCCACCGGCACTGTTCCAACTTCTAGAAGGCCAACCTCCATTTTCAATCACCCAAACTCACAACCCCATCTCCAAATGCTGCCATCATCTCTTTGCTACAATCTATACTTACTATATAACCCTGCTCATCAGCATTCGCCCTCCTAATACCCCCCTGCGACCCCTTTGGAAACCATTGGCGCTGCGTGATCGAATTTGGAGGCCGTGTTGGTGCCCTCCGACATATTCACACCAGGTGCCCGGCAGTTTTTGCTTGACTTCATTTCATGAGAACGGCACAACAATGGCTGCCACACCACCACTTCAGATTGCCTCTACCCCAGACACTCCTCCAACACCTCTACATGGTGCGGCCTATGATCATCCATATTCTCGTTCCTCGCGACGCACCACCCGATCGAGTACAAGAATCGCTTCGAGAGAGCTGCGCTCGACTCCGGATGCTCCACGCCGGAACTCTCGAGGTGAACCATCAGTGACAACTCCAAAATTGTCGAATCAGTCTCCTTCAGGTCCTACACGAGGCCTTCGCTCGCCGCAATCAACTCCCCGGCACAAAGCTGAGCGCCGTGTCCAAGTGGTTTCGCCCTCCTCTCCCCGCTCTCATTCCTCAACTTCCCAACTACCCCCTCCGTCCCATTCGCACCTTCAACCTCGTCCCTCTTCCTCAACTACAATATCTGAGGGTATGCTTCCCACACCGGTCAAGACTCCCAAGAAGAAAATGGTGCCCAAAGTGGACAATGCCGCGAGAGCTCTTTTCCAAGACGCTCGTAGCACTGTTGACCCGGTCAAAGTCGAGCCCACTCCGAAAAGAAATAGGAAGAACAAACGTTACAATGGCTTTTCGCTCGAGTCGTTCTCCGAAGAAGGCGAGGATAATCGCGGCCAGATTCAGATCTTCACCGACTCTCGGGACAAGGTACCACAAGTCGACCCAAGCACCGGTAACCCGTTCATGGAAGACCGTCCCAACGGTGAGATGTCACCTAGTCGAAAAATTGCCGGGACAACAAAGCGACGCAAAATCAGTGGCGAGAAGAAGCGAGACCCTCAAGTGGAAGAAGCGATTCGAAAGGATGAAGGCATGGTATACGTATTGTGAGTTTCTGTCCTCCCCTTCTACTGACCTCGATGCTAACTATTGAAGCCGTGGCAAGAAAGTCTACCGACGATTTGATGATGCTGAAGATGAGGAAGAAGAGATCGATGCGGAAGATCTTGGTCTGTCAAGCCACACGCCGAATGGCTCATCCGACACACCACTCAAGACTCTCACTCGACGGTCCATTAAGCCAACACGTCTCTTTCAGACCGAAGGGCAAAAGCGGGCGCGCGAGCTGGAGAAAGAGGAAGAAGCCCCGACAGACATTGAAGACGATGTGAACGGAATCCCATCGGCGGAAACGAGTAACCTCGACACTGCTGACAGCGTCCCAACTTCGAAGCCAGGTCGGTCTCTCCGCTCGACGGTGAAAGCACCCGCTGTCACCTCCGACGGGGGTGATATCGGTAAGATTGGCGCCAAGTCGAGGAGGAGTAAGAAATCAAGTCCATTTGATTCATGGCCCAGGGTTAAATCGGGCTCGCGCACTGTCAGCTCCGCTTCAAAAGGCAGAAAACGAGGGGCAACCGAGACCGTCGAGGATAATGTCGAGATTGAAGGCACTGAATCGAAAAGACAAAAACCATGAGATGAGATGAGATGAGCAACGAACAGTGGGAAGTCACTGCGACTGAGGCTTTTGAGATCCCATCTGGAACGAGGATGTTTGTATATGACATGGCCTTGGGCACCCAGCGTCGGTTCCGATCCAGCATGGGCAATTTATGGCACACATATTGCTGCTACCGATCGTGCTGTTTGTAGGATGACTTCTGTTTCCGAGTCGCTTCTTTTCCACTTAAGGGATTATTCGAGCTGACAGAGCTTCGAAGCAATATTTTAGAGGCGGAGGATTCAAGATACCTACTCTTTAGATCCAAGGACTGATGCCAGTAACGGTTTTGTCGTTGGAGTGATAACACGTGATCTTCGAGCGAGTTGGGCCTGCAGGATGTTGCCAAGCCTCAGGAACCTCCAGTCGAAGTCGCTTTGCATGGAAGCGGACAGACAACTCACTCACATTTACCAACTTCTCGCACGTACTCCATCAACATTGCTACACCCTTGCACGTACGGAACCTCAGAGTTTTTCCCCTCTGCCTCTTGACTCACACCAACTTTGTTTTCCCTATCACGTCGCCCAAAGAATTCCCCTGCACACCACCGCCGCCCGCCTTGCCAAATGATCGCTTCCCATGAGCTTCGATAACCCCTCCTCCTTCGCGCAGTGGCATTCCTCAATTGCTTCGTCTTCTGATAAACAGCCTCCACTTAGACCGCCCAAGCCAGCCCAATTCCCTTGGGGACAAAATCCTTCCACTTCGAGCACCCGGCGTGGACTTACACCCCTTGCGACCTCCAACTTGACCCCGACTTCAGCAGCAGGGACACGAAGAGAACAGACCATCTCTGAACCCGACCTCTACCACTCATCAATTTCACCATCCTTGGGCAATTTTCCTCCTCTCGTTGCCAGTTCAACAACTCGCCTTGGATCACGCCGAGGGACTCCACCAGGGTCATCTCACCCCAACTCGATCGTCACCACGTTTCAAGCTGGCGTTCATCAGGTGCAAGCGTACCCATCTCGCTCTGTCACATCCCCCCGATCAAGGACAATTACCCCTTCTCAGTCGTCAGCCACAGGCGTTGCGGGCCCATATTCCCAACCAGGCCTGGGGGCCGGAGGTGGAGGAGTTCACAATAGGAGTGGTGCATATTCTCCGTCTTTGACCGGAACCGGTATCAGTTCTCCTACCGGTTTAAGCTTCGAGAGCTCTCCCAGTATATCATCGAACGTCAGTTCTGCCACGACCGGTCCATCCTCCCTCTCGAAGATCTCGGCGACGCAAATTCTCCTCCTCCTCGATACGATCAGTGAAAGAGAGGGAAAAGCAAAGTGGGACAGCAAGGCGGAAAAGATCAAAAGACTACTTGATTCAAACGGCATGGAGGTCTTTGCACAGTTCTTCCGTCGCACAGTCATATTGAATGCGGCCGCCATCTTTTCGGGGGCCAAGGATTTTGATCAGGGGAGCTACAAGCTGTTACGGCAAGAACTGGACGCGGTTCTTTGGGACCCCGAGCAGGCATACAAGATATCCGAGACGATTGACACATCAAAGGAGGATCTGTTTCGTGACTTTGATTTGGTGACCTTTATCCAACATTTCTACGTCGACACGTTCCCCCAGGTCATCTTGGCCATCGCCTTTACGAAATGTGCGAGAGTCGACCTGAGAACCAAGGCGGAGAATTTTCTGTCCGAGTTTGGCCAGACCTCTCTCCGGACACTCTCGGACAGCCGCGGTAATTCCCAGCCATTCGCCGCCGAGAATGTTTGCTCCGTCATTGAATATTACGCCCTGGCCGCATCCACGAAAACGCAGCAACAGAAAATCGATCTCTGGACCGCCCTCTCCACGCGTTATGCCAATGTCAACCCTGAACAGTTCGCCGCCGTTGCGACGTCGTCTCAGCTTCTACGTATCACCAGCGAAGCCCGAGAGATGGCAAGAGAGCTACAACGACATGGTCCTAGATCTACGGCGTCCAAACAGGCGGTCCAAGACTTTTTGGCATCTTTGAACCCGGCGACCATCATCGAAGCCGAAGTAACCAATGCCTTACTCTTCCTGGCGCTTTCTGCCAGTCGGCAGTATGACATGACCAATTTTGTCACGGCTCTACCAGGCGAACAGCTAGACTGGAACTTGGTCATCCGAGGATTTGATATCCCCGCGCTCCGGTTACGGCGAGACTATTTTCCAAGGCTTTTCAATGCACTACGAGAGGTGGCGCTGGAAGACCCGCAGTTTGATCTTCAAAAACTCTGGGGAGGGCGATGGCAGAACCCAGAACCCCAACTTGCTTTTCTCAGCGGATATCTTGCCACCTCCGATCCTCACCCTTCAAAGATCCCCGGTCTTCGACCAAGCTTGTCGATTGACGATTTCGGCGATCCACCTCCCGAAATGAAGAGTCTTCTCGAGGCGGAACTTGATGGTCCTTTCGCGTCCGCCGATGCGTGCCAGGCCATTTTTGAAGTGGTACTCGGACCAGGCATAGTTCCGGAGGCAGAAGATCGAGTAGACATCTTAAACCATGTCTACCAACACCATGCGGCCTTCTTCCTGTTGTTCTTGTCCCGCATCAGCGCCAAACCGTGGGTTGCCGAGCAGGAAAAGTTTATTGCGGAATGCTTCAGCCTATTCCTCGAGAAGCAGCGGCCCGATTATCGCTCCGTTCTGGAAACACTTGCGTCACACAACGCCCAGTTCCTCTTCGATCTCTGTCATCTCGTCTTTCAGCTCGACCCCCGGCAGACAGAGGTCATTTATGAGCGAGCTGATGAATTTGGCTGGACCGAAGACTTTCTCAAACACTGGTCCAATCCTCTTGCGCTTGATATAGCCTGCATACGGGACAAAGTCCAACCGGGATTTGACCTCGACCGATATATCTCAGAGGCCAGTGATGGTCAGTCAAACCTCGGCATGATACTGTGCAAATATCTTCGAATCAAGGCGGATGATGAATTCCGCGTCCAGCGCGGAGAATCTCTCCCGCAATCTATTCCCCTCAGTCTACGGACCGTGCATACTCTCCTCGAAAAACTAGAGGATCACCTCGATAATCGTGAACTGGTCGAGGCGGCTCAGACAACATGCCTGCAAACTTATCCACGACTAATGAATTACGGAGCCGGATTCGACGATATTCTGGAAAAGAGCAGCGAGGAGAAAGGCAATAAACTTCCCGAAGTTATCGACAAACAGATGTCCGAACTTTTCGGACGTATGTACCGGTCGGAGCTCTCCATCCGTGACATGGTGAATGAGATGCGGAAATACAAAACTTCAAAAGACCCTGATCAGCAGGATCTCTTCTGCTGCATTGTCCATGGTTTGTTCGACGAATATGTCTGCTACAACGAATATCCGGAAGATGCTCTGGAGAAAACCGCACTCCTTTTCGGGAGTATCATCAAGTACAAACTGTTGCCCTCGATCCCGCGAGACTTTGGCCTCGCCCTTATTCTTCGAGCTGTCCGTGATCACGAACCGGACAGTCTCATGCACCGTTTTGGCATTGAGGCATTACTCCAGATCAGCGACCAACTATCCGAATGGCCCGGACTTTGCAGCCTGCTGTTGCAGGAACCCTCCCTCCAACATCCTGAAATCCTGCAACGAGCCGAAGAAGGACTTCGTGCACAACAAGCGGCCGGCAACGGGCTCGGTACGAATGGTGTTGGAAATGCCGTGGCCGCCAACGGCGACGAAGTTATAAAAGCCGACACCGGTCGTGGATTCCGAGCTCTTCGCGCAGACCCTCCTCCAGCGAACGCTCATTTTAGAGACCCTGATCAGAAAGTCCAGGAGAAGATCCTCTTCGTTATCAATAATCTTTCGAAGGACAACATGACGAGCAAATTGGCCGATTTGAAGGACTCACTCACACCTGAGCATTATCAGTGGTTTGCCTCGTACCTGGTGGAACAACGAGCTAGGCTCGAGCCCAACAACCAGGGGATGTACTTCCAATTCGTCAGTATGTTCAACGACAATCTTCTCATGTCGGAAATCATACGCGAAACGTTTGTCGGCATCGTCAAGATGATGAATGCGGAATCGACCATTAATTCTGCCACCGAGAGGAGTCATCTCAAGAATCTTGGTGGCTGGCTCGGGTCTCTCACTCTCGCACAGGATAGGCCGATCAAACATAAGAACATCTACTTTGTCGACTTACTTGTGGAGGGATATGAGACTCAGCGCCTCATCCTGGTGATCCCGTTTACATGCAAAGTTCTCGCTCAGGGCGCTCATTCCATGGTGTTCATGCCACCGAATCCATGGCTCATGGAGATCGTCCAGGTGTTGGTTGAACTGTACCATTTCGCCGAGCTCAAGCTAAATCTAAAGTTTGAGATCGAGGTCCTATGCAAAGACTTGAAGCTTGACTTCAAGAAGCTCGAACCCGCCACGGTCATCCGAGATCGCCCTCAAACTGACGACGACATGACCAATGTCTCGGCTCTACCAGACGGACTGGAAACTTTCGATGAGATGTCTTTGAATGGGGCGATCAATCGCGGTGTCCGTGAACGTCTCTCGGCTGTTGAGATTATGGCCACGCTACCAAACCTCGAAGATGTCCTGAAATACCCTCCAACATCGGGCTCCCCACAAGACCAAGCAATCGTCAAGAGCATCATCTATCGTGCTTTTGATCAAGCAATTCAGGAGATCATTGCTCCCGTGGTGGAACGGTCCATCACGATTGCCTCAATCTCCACCGCACAATTGATTGCCAAAGACTATGCTTTTGAGCCAGATCCCGAGAAGTATCGCACCGCCGCTAGACAGATGGTCAAGTCTTTGGCCGGCAGTCTAGCGCTAGTGACGTGCAAAGAGCCACTTCGAATGAGCATCTCCAATTACATCCGCCGCCCTGCTCAGGACGACTTGCCAGAACATCTCCTGCCTGAAGGAGCCATTTTGATGTGCGTCAATGACAATCTAGACACGGCCTGTTCATTCGTTGAGCAAGCTGCTGAGCAACGTGCTGTTCCAGAAATCGATGGGGTCATCGAGGGCGAACTCGAAGAGCGTCGTCGCTTCATCGCTGAAGGAGGAAATCGAGACTTCATCCCATCCGGGGTCAACCGCTGGTCCGCTTGGATCCCCGAACCATACAAACAAACCATCGGTGGTCTCAATGATGCACAGCGCGCGGTCTACGAGGAATTCGATCGTCGTGTCCACGGCATGAATGCCAATCATGTGCCCAATGCATCAAACGATTCCACCGGACGCCAGATTCCCGATATCCTACAAGATCCTCTGACCATGCCCAATCTTTCCACTCCGGCGGACCAGCCCGCTCTTCCACACCAAAGCCCTCTTGTTCAACAGGAGAATCGTATGCTCTCGGCCATGCACCCACCTCGCGTGAATGGATTTCCCGAGACACTTCCGCCTCATGAGCGGATTTCCATTCTCATCGAAGATGTCCAGAAAGCCGCACGAGCATCTGAAGCCACTCGTCTCAAAGATCTGGAAAAGAACAGCTCGATATTCCAAGACTTCCGACAGATTCTTATCGTCCTTACGTCTTCAACTCGTCCGGCAGCGGATCTCTTGGCCCGACAAATCGCGGAGAAGATCTGCAACATTTTCATCTCAAAGCCTCCACAAGGACCACTCGAGGCGGAGATTCTGGCTTTTTTGCTGTCAAAACTTTGCCAGCTGTCCGAACTTATCATCCGAGATGTTTTGAGATGGATGACAGCAAATGAAGACTTGTTGTTGGCCAGCTCCAACGTGGTGGTTGCGCTCGTCACCGTAGGATTGATGGAATTTGCCAGGATTGACGTCGCTATCGCGTCCATTCTCATGAGCCGGAATACACATGGCCTCCAAGTGCTTGCCGAAATCCTGGATCAAACCCTGTTCACGGACGAACCAACGGCACTCCGGGCCGACTTTGCTAACAGTCTGATTGCCACGTCGACGTGGCTGAAGGAGAAGCCCGATCTCCCTCTGGCTGCAGAGATCAACCAGAAACTCAGAGCGCATGGCATGCCCCAGTTCGTCAGCGTGGAGGTTACAGACAAGGCCAAAGTGAAGCAAGACCAAATGCGTTACGTCTTTGATGAATGGGTGGGCATCTTCGAAAACATCGGTCCTAATGAAGGCACTTGCGCCGCATTCCTCAAGGAATTGCATCAGGAGCAAGCGATCAACAGTACCGAGGATCTTACGGAGTTCCTGCGACTCTGCATTGATGCATGCATCGACTGCTACGACCGGGAGGCACAGAGCGTGCGTGGCAGTGTTGACGTTGCTTTCTCCCATGCAGATGCACTTGCTCGTCTGGTCATCATGCTGGTCAAATTCCAAGGTGATACCAACGGCGCCGTCCGACTCAGCAAGGCACCATATCTGGAGACCATTTTGACAGTACTCGTTCTCATCCTAAATCACCACCAAGTCATGCGAGGTGTTGCATTCCATCAGAGACTCTTCAACCGACTCTTTGCTAACATGCTCTATGAGTATTCTGCTGCACGGCTGGACGACACTCCCGATCATACAGAGTTGATGCTTGCTTTCGCCAAATGTTTCAAATCACTCCAGCCTTCATGGTTCCCAAGCTTTACGTACGGTTGGTACAGCCTTATCGTCCATCGGGTCTTCGTTACCGGAATGCTCAGACCAAGCAACCATACCGGATGGGACACGTATCGAGAGCTCATCGGACTACTCCTCCTCTACATTTCAGAGTTGTCCAAGACGCCAGGCCTTGATCTGCTCAACCTTGATCTGTACAAAGGCACCTTGAGAAATATCCTGGTCTTGCTTCATGACTTTCCCGAATTCCTCTGCGAAAATCATTCCTATTTCTGTTCCCGGATTTCATATGGCATCCCGCAGTTGAGGAATTTGGTTCTCACAGCGAAGCCATCAGCATATCATGATCTTCCAGATCCAATGACACCGGGTTTGAAGATTGAACGCCTGGACGAGATGAAGCGAAATCCCGTTCTGGCTCGCGGTTTCGATGCGCCCCTTCAACGTGACCAGCTTAGAGATGTCGTGACGGAGGTCATGCGCAAGACCATCGATATCGAAACTGCCTTCAAGCAGATCAAGCCGATCTTACAAGACGAACGAGGTCGAGCTTCGGCGATGGCTCCCGCCAAGAGTGTGGAGATGATAAACGCCCTGGCACCATTCATAGGACAGGACGCGCTCAACAGGTCTCCAGGGAGATTTGATCCCAACTCAGTGCATGTGGTCTTTCTCCACAAGCTTGCTGGCAGTCTTGGATACGAAGGTCGTTACCAACTCCTCAATGCCATCGCAGACCAGATTCGCTACCCTAACGCCCACACTGATTTCTTCTGCAAACTGATGCTTCACTTTTGGGGATCTGGGAACGTGGGTGAGCAGCAAATGGAGCTTCGAGAACAAATCTCCCGTATCGTATATGAACGGCTGACGGTTGCTCGACCACATGTTTGGGGAATGACCATTCTTTTCCTAGAACTTCAGCAGAATGGCACCTATGGATTTTGGGAAACTGTCGCTCCCGACTCCAACATGCAGCAACGCCTCCAACAGGCCATGCGGCCGGCTCATTAGCTCAGAGCAAAAATGCTATGGTGGAGACTGGCATCAGCCTTCCAAGTCGATGCGCGGAGAGGAGAGCGTCAGCGGCAGGCTTTTCGGTGGTATATTGATCATGTCGTGCATATTCTTTCGGCGAGGGGAATGGTTGTGGAAAGTTGTTCCGAGCCTCGCATTGCGTTTGAACAATTCCTTTCTTGTACACTTGTTCTCGCAACTTTTGTATGTTTGAATGCCCCCAGGTCACAGCATTTGTCGCCTTTGCTTGTGTCATGCATATGATGGAGCGATGACCCCCTGATTGGCACAGGATGGGACGGGGACTGGGATTGGTACAGCCTCTCTATGCGTGAGCAAGGCAGGGGGGAAGGACACCGGCATAATCACAGCATGAGGGACGATTGGAGTTCTAATGGGCAGCGTTGCCCAGCCCAAGGAAAAGTGCCAATTATGTTATTAATGCTCGAATTTGTCGATACAATCGTGGACGATTCGAACCAGGGAGAATGCACAGGGAACCTTGACACGAAGGAGAGACGAGGCTAGCATCTGTCTGTCTTGGCCAAAGCCCCCTATCGCCCGAACCTTTTTGTGTAACCATAGACGGCTTTTGAATGAACGTCAAGTCTACTTACTACTACTACCATTATTATTATTTTTAACGCGGTTTTGGAAGCTGTTTTTCAACTTTTTTAGTTTTCCAACAGCTGCAGAGAGTTTTGCAAAAATTGCCAGAGCGGTGGGATGGGTGGTACAATTTCTGGGCCGACATCTTCTGACAGCTGCCAACATGATTTCACTGATAAAGCTCTAGGGATTTCATTAACTGATCGGCCTCAATAGCGACAGAGATGTTTTGATGAATTCTGCTGATCTACAGGGCTCCTCTCGCGAACCGCGATGTTCTTGGTATTGTGTGGTTGGTGGCCGGCTCTTACTACTGACGCTGGGCCACGGGCTCTGACGAGTTGTCAAGCGAGCCAGATCGCGTTATTCGGGTTCCCTTGAAAGATTCTGGCAGATTGCAGAGCTGGTGAAAGTTGAAATCTTACACAGCCACCAAACCTGTGAACCAACGAATAGACTCTCACAAGTGATATCACTTCTCATCAAAGTCACTGTCAATTTAAGTCTGTCGAGCGGGTCGACAACTCCAGCTGAACGGTGGCACCGACCTCCACAGTCCCGTCAGACTCCAAATGAATGAATCAGGAATCCCAAACTGATCCAGACTTGGATTAGGTTGTTGCAAATCTGGAGTCATTTGGAGTCTAGCGAGCCACAAAGCCGCCCAAATTTCGTCATACAGGGCCTATAGACTCTAGGGTGTGGACGTGCTCAGCCAGGGGACACCAAGTGGTGAAGGGTCTTTACCTTGCATCATCGCCAGAAGGTCCGGGCACACCATTCATTTCCTTGCGACTGAGCCTTCAATACAGGAGATCTATGCGAGGCTGTTTCTCTCCCCTTGTCTGTGATGAAGTTCTTCCACCGCCCAACAGCAGGTGAATCTTTTGGAAATGGAGGAGATCCTCAACCACGTTTTGTATCCTCGCCAGGTACGTTAGAAGAGAAGTCGTGGGAACTGCACCTGCTGATATAGAAACAGTCCCCGGGCGGTAGTCGAGATCAGGGCTCCAATTCCCTCTCCGGCATCATCTCGACACTGGTCCCCACTCTCGTCATTGCAACGGTCGCTTTTTCTTCTTTCCTCTTCCTCAGGACTCGTTGTTCACGCGTATATTGTCCCAGAACGGATGAGCGAATTTTGGATGAAGAAAACAAGACTCCGCGATCAGGCGCTGGCTTCTTCACTCTCTTGAGGAATTATTCTACGCTCCCAGATGCTTATGTCCTTCAACACAATTCCCTCGATGGCTACCTCTGGCTCCGGTTCTTCAAAATCCTCATCATTATCAGCTTCGTCGGCTGTTGCATCACGTGGCCGGTTCTTTTTCCCGTTAATGCCACGGGAGGCGGCGGCCAGAAGCAACTCGACCAGCTGAGCATGAGCAATGTCGATGATCCAAACAGATACTACGCTCATGCACTGATAGCATGGGTCTTCCTTGGATTCGTCGTACTTCTTGTTGCACGGGAGAGAATCAACTTGGTGGGTCTGAGAAGGGCATATTTCCTCTCTCCTGCACAGGCTCAGCGACTCTCCTCACGAACTATCTTGGTTCTCGGACTGCCTCATGAGTGTACAGCGGAGAAATCCTTGCGTCAGGCGTTTGGTTCCGGCGTCCGAAAGATTTGGCTCGTGACCGATTGCGGCAAACTTGAAGACGCGGTGAAGAATCGGAACAAAACATCTTTGACACTTGAAAATGCGGAAATGAAACTGAATCAGGACGCAAATGCCCGCCGCCTTAAAAGTGAGAAGAACCAGTTTTCCGATTCTCCGGCGGCCGAGGCGGACCCAACGCGTTGGATGGTCGAGAAAAAGCGACCATCTCACCGACTGAAGCCACAAATCTGGAAAAAGGTCGACACGATCAACTGGTCTCGCGGAACGCTGTCCGAGCTCAAGCGATGTGTCCAGCAACAGCAAAATGAACACCTAGACCTGAAGCATACCCGAGTTCCGGCAGCCTTTATTGAGTTTTCAACCCAGTCGGCTGCTCAATACGCATATCAATGTGTTAGTCGAGAGTCCATGACCGAATTTGCACCAAGGTACATTGGAATTCAGCCTGAAGAGGTGGTCTGGAAGAATTTAAGCGTCAGCAATGCCTCGCGAAGGACCAAGCTTATCATTGCTACTTGCATCGTCTCCTTGATGATTTTGCTCTGGACCATCCCCGTTGCCGTTGTGGGTGCTCTGTCCAATATCAACTATCTGACTAACAAGGTCCATTTTCTGAGCTTCATCAACGACGTGCCCGACTTCATCTTGGGTGTCATCACGGGACTTTTACCGGCCATCCTTCTGGCGATCCTGATGGCCCTAGTGCCCGTCTTTTGCGGACTTCTGGCTCGGCTTGCTGGAGAACCTACCTTGTCGGCCATCGAGCTCAAGACCCAGTCATGGTACTTTGCGTTTCAAGTCATCCAGGTGTTTTTGATCACCACATTCACTTCCGGGAAGTGGAAATCTTGGACACGATGGAGAAGATGGTGAGCTAACAAGAGACAGGTGCCACCGCCGTTGCCACGCAAATTGTGCAGAATCCCAGCTCAGCTCCTACTTTGCTCGCTACCAACCTTCCGAAAGCATCGAATTTCTATATCAGCTATTTCATCCTCTTTGGTCTGGCTCAAGCCGCCCTTCAACTCCTCAACATAGTCCCATTGTTGATGTATACCTTGGTTGGCAAATTCTTGGACAAGACTCCACGAAAGAGATACAATCGGTTCATCAATATTGCAGGACTGGGCTGGGGTTCATCCTACCCTAAATTTACCAACCTAGGAGTCATTGCCATCGCCTATGCTGGCATTGCGCCCTTGATCATGGGGTTCTCCACAATCGGATTTTGCCTGTTATATCTGATGTTCAGATACAACTTCCTCTTCGTCCTAGGCAACAAAGTCGACTTGAAAGGCGAGGCGTACTCCAAAGCACTCAAACATCTCTTGACCGGCGTATACCTGGCCGCCCTCTGTCTCATTGGACTCTTCGCCGTCGGCTGCAGTAAGAGTGCTTCCAGCTCAGGTCCTTTGGCAATAATGGTGGTGTTCTTGGTGGTGCTGATTGCCTTCCAATTCATCCTTGATCGAGCATTGGTGCCATTGGAGCAAACCCTGCCTTTGGATTTATTGTCTGGAAACAGGTACAGCACCATTCTGGTGGAGCAAAGTATGGACAAACATCAACTGAAGCAGGAGAACATGGAAGCTGGCACTTCAAGTCGGGGAAATCCTGTTCCAGATCCTGCCAAAGCCGAGAGTGGTGCGCTTCGGCCGAAGAAGACACCTGTCGGTCTTGTGCGTCAACGCATCGAGCCTCTGGCCCACAAGTTCTACGAATCGAACAAAGCCATCGTGGCGGTGTCTCGGTCTGAATCTGAATCTTGGATGCCTACGTATACATCTGAGGAGTATGAACGGGCGTACCTCAACCCGGCTATCACTTGTCCAGCACCTGTGATCTGGTTGGCCAAAGACCAATGTGGTGTGAGCAGGCTCATGGTTCAGGAGAATAGGGAGGCGGGAATTGAGAGCACCGATAATCAGGCCGAGCTCGATGAGAAGAACAAGCTCGTCTGGCAGGAGGAGCAGGTTAGAGAAGCACCGTTGTGGGAGAGGGCTGTAAAATATTGACGAGCAAGTTTCATTTCGATGGAATGATGTGTGCTTGTATTTGGAAGAACGATAAAATACTCCAGTACACGAGAGGTACTTATCGAAATGTCAAAGTGTTTCCGTCTGACGACTAGAGTGCCAAATTTCTCTAGGGTTGCCGGGTCAATCCAGCCAAAAAAAACTTTTTGTCAGACCGAATCGTCCGTTCAAATTGACGCCCTCACGGTACCGTATTGGTACATGTTTTGTTGGCGACGTCATTTGACGTCGCGTTGCGGCGTCGACATCACCATCTCAACAATTTTATTTCCACATCTTTCACGCCATCAAACAATACCCCTTCCCTTATGATCCGGCTGTTCTCGATATGCTTAGATGCGATGTGATGTCGGTACAACTTCTCAGGCATGGTGGATCGACTTCCGCTTGATTGAAGGGCCATTTACCAAACTACTCCGTTTGTCTTCGACATGGCCGATCCCTCTAGCTTCGACAATGAGGAGAATGAGTCCCTCGCCCGACAAGCTCTGGTATGTTCTTAGAATGGGCAACTGACTTCTTGACTGACCATCCCAGTCTTTGGTTCTGGCACCGGTCCATCTCCTTACCTCTCGAACCGCGATCAAAGCCTACCTGAGCACTCTCCTGTTCCTAGCCACGTCCACCGTTCTTCTGGCCATATCCTCGTTCGCATATGGCTTCTTCTACTATAACTACATCCCCCAGATCAATCTGGAACGTGTCATGTACTTGCAATATGGCCAGGGTCCTCATCCTCACGCGACAACGGCCCTAGACACCTCGGCCTTGGTATCCCAACAAGCATACGATGTCGAATTGATCCTCGATATGCCCCGGACACCCAAAAATGTGGACGCAGGGAACTTTATGTTGGACTTGTCTCTGCTTGGTCCGGGAGTCCATGCAAAGAATATTCCTGACCCAGTCTCGGCGTGGCTGGCCAACATCACTTCCGAGAATCTTCTCTATCACTCTCGTCGACCGGCCACCCTTCCATACGCATCTCCCATTTTGTCCGTCAGCCACATGCTCCTGAACCTCCCATGGCACTTGCTCAATTTTCGGGATCTAGACTCGTCTCATTTGGTTGTGCCAATGTTTGAAAAGTTGTCTTTTCCACGTGGATCTCGCAACGTACCCACTCACGCCAGGCTAGAGATACAGTCGAGTACCATCCTTCAGGTCTACGACGCTAAACTCGCTTTTCGGGCCAAATTCCAAGGTCTGAGGTATCTGATTTACAATTACCGCGTCACGGCATTCGTCATCTTCACGGCATTGTTCTACACGGTCAGTGTCACCAGTATGGCGCTGGCCTGGGCTCTCATATCGAACCTGCTCTCTTCTGGTGAGAAACCCGATGGAGAGTCGGGGAGAATCAAACAAGAAAGCCGTGATGACAACTTGCACGTCAAACCGGAACGAGACTCGGGGTCGGGGACGAAAGTGAAGACCGAAGATGACACGGAGTCATCGACCCACGGTTTGTCCCTGTCAAATATATCCGACACCGCCACACAGTTTCCTCCAGGAAGAGGCCCAATGCCTCTAACATATTCCAATCGCGCGACGACGGCGGAGGGGAGAGGTGACCATGCTCCAGAGGATGATTGGACACGGCCAATGGGACCCGATGAGGCGGCTGATGATGAAGATGAGGATGATGACGCGGAAGAAATCCATGACCGACGGCTTGATGGTGATTCTGGTATTGGCACGAGTATGGAGAGTGAACACACTGCTTCAGGCCCTGTCAGAAGAAGGAGCTCACGCGGGTTTTCGAACCGATGAAACACGGTTGACCCTGATGAGACCAATCTCGACTCCCCCCTCTATTGACCATTAAGGACATGGTCAACGATCCGCGCCATGACAGCCAGTCTCTCATCCTCCTGCTTCATACCAATGAGCTGGACAGTGGTTGGAGCGCCTCGGTAATCATCCGGACCGGTATACATGGCGTACACCTTCTCATCGTTCTCTCCATACTTGGCTGCGTGGTCGACCACATCTCCTGGTTCGACCTTACCGGTGGGGATGATACAAGACGGATAATCTACAAAGTTCCACAATGCTTGTGCCACGGCGGCCCAGCAGTCCAGTGGAGTGGCCGTGTGTGGTGCCAATGGATTGATGACTGCATCCAGCTTGTTCTCCAGCCACACATCTCTATAGGCTGTCTCTGCTTTATGCCGCGCAACATTCCAGGAGAAGAGGTCTTGCAATGACTTCGACGGCATAGCTACCAAACCGATCCGTTTGACTGATTCGACGAGAGGCTCGTCGGCAGAGGAGATGTAATCCAGCACGGTCTACAACTCAATCAATCTTCGCACGAGGACAGGGAAATTGAACCTACCTTGGAGCCTTCCCATGAAAACGAGGTCCAGACTGTCCCAATATCCTGAGCAACATTGGGCAATTTGACCTCCACCAGCTCCATCCCTGCTTTCTGCAGCTTATCCGTTGCCTGACGGAGAGCTCTCCTCATAGGCGGTGTGGCAGTGAACATCTCCTCGTCTTCGAGGACTCCAATTCTCAGTTTGCCTCCATTGGGCGCCTGCAAGCCCTGCCACGGAATATGAAGGCAGTCAACGTCCACTTTCCAAGGTTGATTGCTCATGATGGTCTTCATCATGAATTCACAACTCCTCATACTCGTCGCCATGGGACCTGCTACGGGCAATATACCGGGCATGCCTTTAGCCACTGGACTCTGTTGGCCCGCATATGGTACGATGTTGGCAGACGGTTTGAAACCGTATATTCCACAACAGTGGCTTGGAATGCGAATGCTGCCTGCAATGTCGGTGCCTATACCGATGATGCTTCCTCGCATGGCGATTAGGGCACCTTCTCCTCCTGAACTGCCTCCGGCTGTCAACGCTCTGTTGTGAGGATTCATGGTCCGACCGAAGACGTTGTTTTCGGAGTCGGCCGTCATCATGGTCTGTGGGACATTGGTCTTGCAATAAAAGACGGCGCCGAGCTCGAACAACAGCTTGGGCAAGGCTGAGTACTCGTCGCATGGTTGGTCGGCAAAATGAACGAGTCCAATGGTTGCGTCAAACCCGGGGATTTTGAAGCTATCTTTCAATGACATCGGAAGACCCCAAAGAGGTGGAAGAGTCTGCGTTGGATTCTTTTCTCGCTCAGAGTCGAGCTTCCTGGCTCGTTCGATGGCGGCATCGAAAAAGATTTCGGTCAGGCAATTGGTCTAGGTGCGCAGACATGTCAGGGGTTGACTCAAAACGGACGAGAGAATTTGGTTGGGGGTGCCATACCACCTGCTGAGCGATTGCAGCCCTTTTGCAGAAAGCTGTCATGACCTCTTCGACGCCGTAGCCTCCTTGGGAAGGCCCTTTCTTCAACATCTCTAGCAGATCCACCGCATCATGGCTCTCGGTAATATCCAGTTCGTGGGTGGTCATTATGCCACAGTCCTTGGGAACGTCGAGCACACTGGCTGTGGGACTGGAGGTGTAATCCTTGAGAGATGACTCTGGAATTAGCCATTCTTTGGGGATAAGCTGAGAGCGAGCGGCTTGTTTGCGTTGAGCGATGACTTGGTAGGGGTCTCGTGTCGCGGCCATTGTGGCGGACACCATCTTTACGGGCACGTCGTTTGGTCGGAAGAATATGGAAGTCTAGGAGATCGATATCGATGGATTTATATAGAAATTATGCTCTCTCACGCAGTATACCACCCCGTGAGCTAAGACGGGGCTCGAGATGACTGGATTAATCTATTGCAGAATCCTCTTTGGGATATTCCACCGTCCCCGACATTATCCAATGAGATCGAATCGCGCACCAGCCTGATGAACCTTTTTCACAGCCTCGGCTAGCTACCCGACCGCCATTACATTATCCTATGCAAGGCCGGTATTTCTGGTTAGTCCCAAATGTATGGACGGCCTGACTTTGACACCGTGGACGGGGAGACCGATTGTCATCCGGACTTTGGATCACCAGATGTTTGGGCACAGAGTCGGCACAGAGTCGGCACAGAATCAGCACCATTTGTTTTCATTCCATCCAAGACAGATCCTTTTTGGGGATTGAGGCCGCTATCCAATGGCCTCTCGGTGTTCCTCTTCTATTAGCCGAGGCAATGTGTCATCTCTCCATCCGGCCCCTTCTCCGCATTGATTGTGTCCGGATGGAGACTGAAATAATCACTCGGTCGGTGTGGTGGTCTGTCTTTTCAAGCTTCGACAAGATGATAGATCATACGGAATTCGCCTGTCACTATGTCACTGAAGGTGTATGAAAAGGTCGAGGTATAGAGAGATCTCACCTCATGGCAGCCATGCGATCCAATCCACTCGGACTCCCCCTCGAATACTGCTCTCGAGAATATCGAAACCAGCTCGAAAAGAAATCCGGTTCATCACCACCAGGCCCTGCTCCTGCTACAACTACTCACGATAATCCCACTCCATTATGGACGCCATCACACCCCGAGTCGACGCCCATGTCCAAATACCGACGACACATCAACTTGAAGTTCTCCCAGAACCTGAAAACATCCCACGACCTTCACCGATGGACTGTCCAGAACCCTCACCAGTTCTGGATCGACCTGTACGACCATTGTGGCATCATCCCTCCTCTCCCCCAACATACCCAACTGGCGTACAATCCTCATCTTCGACTGCGTGACATCCCCACGTTCTTCCCGGGCCTGAGGATCAATTATGCGGAGAATGTCCTGGTGCCCAACACTAACGTGAATCCTGATGCTGTCGCGCTAATCGGTCTGCGAGAGAACGCCCTGGACAGCCCGGAGAACATCACTTGGACCCAGTTGACGGAGTTGGTCCGCATCGCCAGATCCGCGATGATTAGACAAGGCGTCAAGCAGAACGACGTTATCGCCGCGCTCATGGCCAATTCCATCTGGATCATCGTGCTCTTCTTGGCCTGTGCCTCGATCGGAGCCATCTTCACCTCCGTCTCTCCTGACATGGGCGTTTCGGGGTGCGTCAGTCGCTTCTCCCAGGTATCTCCCAAGCTGCTCTTCGCCGACGTCGACCTGGCCAGCCGAGGCGTCCGTCCCAGCATGCTCGGAAAGGTCTTGCAGGTTCTACGCGCCCTTCCAGCTTCTGTATCCAAACCAAGAGTCGTCTTCGTCCCGACCAGCCCGAAGCCCCATCTCCGTCGGAACCTCGAATATATCACCCCCCTAGGCATCTCACTCCACGAATTCCTCCGCCCATCCCGGCCGAACGACGCACTCACATACACTCGACTACCGACCGACCACCCGCTCGTGATTGTGTATTCGTCCGGAACCACAGGGGAGCCCAAATGCATTGTGTCCCCACACATGTCGATCCTGAACTACAAGAAGATCGCACTCCTGCACAACTCATTAGGTCCTCATAGTACGGTGTTCCAGTATTCATCCACCTCCTGGATCCTGTGGAACGTGATGAATGGTCACCTCTCCATCGGGGCCACAATCATCTGCTACGATGGCGGTGCGCTGTATCCGGACCCATCAATTTTATTGTCAATCTGCGCCAAATTCCGCGCGACGTACTGGGGCACGTCGCCCCGGTATTTGCTCGAGCTCGAACAATCAGGCATTTCTCCGTCGTCATTCGACCTCTCCGCCCTCACACTCGTGACGACCACCGGCGCCACACTCACCGGCGAGCAATTCCAATGGTTCTATACGGCCTTCCCGCGAAGTGTTCACTTGTCCTCCGTCGCCGGCGGCACGGACATTGCTTCGTCGTGGATCGCGACCGACCCCGCCGGCCCCGTGTACGCGAACGAAATGCAAATGTGGGCACTGGGGCATAATTGTGACATTTTGGATTCGAACACAGGCCAATCTATAGCGTTGACCGGTCGGCCTGGCGAGCTTGTCTGCCGGGCACCGTTTCCGAGTATGCCGAGCCGCTTCTGGGGGGATGTAGGGCATAAGAAATACCACGAGGCCTATTTCGAGAAGTTCGAAACTCACGATCCCAAAACGGGCAAGGCGACAGGGTGGCTAGATGTCTGGGCCCAACACGACTTCATCGTCATGAACCCAGTAACCAGGGGAGTCCAAATCCTCGGTCGCTCCGATGGCGTGCTTAATCCCTCGGGCATCCGCTTTGGAAGTTCGGAGATTTACAATATCGTCGAGGGCCCGCACTTTAATACCCGGCTAGCAGATACATTGTGTGTGGGCCGTCGGAGGAAACATGATAAAGATGAGACCGTCTTCTTGTTCGTCATCGTGGCGGCAGGACAGGAAGATGGACTGACACGGGAGTTGGTGGATGAGATTAAAGAAGCGATACGCCAGGGATTGAGTCCGAGGCACGTGCCGAAGTTTATATGCGAAGTGAAAGAGATTCCATATACCGTGAATGGAAAGAAGGTGGAGATTGCGGTGAAGAAAACTATTTCGGGTGAAGAGGTGAGGGTCAGTAGTACTGTGAAGAATCCGGAGTGTTTGAGGGAGTATGAGAGGTTTAGGGATTTGGAGAGGGAGCCAAGATCACGAGGGAAGTTGTAGGTGGTGATCTTGTCGAGAAGGCCGGAAGGGTCAATGCCCAATGATGTGCTGTTGAGAAGGGAGATTCAAGGAAGAAGACTTTTGGGTTGGCTGATAGCGATTGATTTACTGTCCAAGAAGTGAAATAAAAAAAGAGACAAGAGATTCTTGTTAGACGGGATAGAAAAGAGAAAGACGAAGACGAAGGGACGAATTAGAGTGCTTGCAACAGATTGTCGTGTTGCAACGAGTAAAGAGACAATAAGGAACGCGCTGGTATGAACCGTCTCGAATGTCCGTAGTATGTATCAGATTCTCATTCGGTCTTCGGTCCGATGGAAGGAAGATGAAAATTGTAGATCCTCGTCCACAGCCATCAATACAAGTTCTTTGTCCACCGAATCGCAGGTAGCTTCAAAGCCAGACTACTCATGACCACACTGACACTGCTCGCCGCCATGGCGACACTGGCCCAGACGGGTCCCAACCTCCATCCTCCATGGTCCTCATTGGCACCAATTGGGAAGAATACCCCAGCAGCAACCGGTACAAGACACAGATTATACACGGCGGCCCAAGCAAAGTTGAGCTTGACGCGCAGGAAGACCCGTTTGGCCAGTCTAACCAGCGAAAGGATGGTGGTCAAGTCCGAGTTGAGGAGGATGAAGGACGCGGTGGTGACGGCGACGTCGGAGCCTGAGGAGAGGGCAATGGACACGTCCGCAGCGGACAGAGCAGGTGTGTCATTCGTGCCGTCGCCTACAAAGGCGATGATTTGGCGGTGGGAGTGCTTATCATTTGGGCTAGAGTTGTGATTTGATGGCAAGCGCTGTAATTCGCAGATGTAGGCCGCCTTGTCTTGAGGGAGGACTCCCGCACGAACATTGCTTACTGGAATTCCAAGCTGAGAAGCAATGGCCATGGCGGTTGTTTGATTATCGCCTGTGCACATGTGGACTTCGAGGTTGGACTCTCGTAAGGATTGAAGAATACTCGGAGCTTCGACACGGATAGGGTCGGCGATCGCAAAAAGCGCCACGGGCCGGAAGAGTGCTTGAATTGGAGAGATCTCTTCCGACTCCGGTGGTGTCTCCCTGATGGCGAATATAGCGGTCGAATGACCGAGGGACTGATGTTTTCGTAGCACTGGGTCAAGGTAGAAGTCTTCATTCGTCGCAACTTCGTTCTTGCTTTGGCTTGATGACAATGCCATGCCGGATATCGATTCGGCGCCCTCTGAATGGGGAAGTGACCGGACAAGCCTTTCATTCCCCAGCGCCGCCTCATATTGCGTGGTGGTGGGACTGGTTTTGACCGTGAATTTGACGGTCATCCCTTGCCCAGGTACTTCTTTGACCTCCTGGTGCTCGACCGGGGCTTCGTCAGCTTTCTGTGCACAGTAATCCACGATCGCTTTTGCCATTGGATGAGTACTGGATTGTTCCATGATGCGAGAAGCGGCCAGAATGATTCCTTCTGCGACCGTCCGGTCATCTGCTGGATGAAGCATTTCAAAATCAGTGACGCGCATTTGACCTTCCGTCAATGTGCCCGTCTTGTCAAACACAATAGCATCAATTTGAGACGCTTCTTGAAATGCTTCACCTCCTCCTTGGACCAAGATCCCCTGTTGAGCGGCGAGTCCACCACCAACAAAGAGCGCCGTAGGTGCCGCCAGACCAATTCCACAGGGGCAGGCAACCACAAAGACCGCAATTGCAAATTCGAGAGACCAGAAAGGCCACCCTCCTTGAGATACGTCAAGCCATGCCTGTGGAAGTGCTCCTGACTGACCGAGGCCTAACCAGATCAGCCAGGTCAGAATGGCCAGAAGAGTGATGACAGGGACGAAGTAACCGGTCAGGCTGTCTGCAATTCGTTCAATCGGAGCTCGCTTGGCTTGACCCTCACGAACAACATGAACAATTTGGTCTAGCATGGATGTACCGCTCGTTGCGGTCACTCGAACCCGGACGGGGTCGGACACATTGACCGATCCTGTGTAGACTTCCTCCCCATATGTCTTTTGGACAGGCTTTGACTCCCCCGTGAGAGAGCTCTCGTCGAAGAGGAATGTCCCTTGCTGATCGACAGTGCCATCCGTCGGCGGAGAAGTTCCGTGAGGAATCTGGACGATATCGCCCACCTCTAATTGATCCACAGGAATTTTCCGGATGCTGGGCTGTGTTCCATGAGTGTTTGTGTCACGGTTCTCCACCAGGAAAGCGTCCGACGGTCGTAGCTTGCTGAGCATGGCGACGGCATCACCAGTCTTGGCTTTGCTATACGCTTCTAGGAAGCGGCCGATAAGGATGAAGAAGGTGAGAAACGTGACCGTATCAAAGTATGCCGCGGATGATCGGTGCTCTCCCTCGGACTGGGACTGGTCGGTAGCATCCATGATCAGGATGGCCAACGAAGAGAAATAGGCCACTGAAGTTCCCGCACTGATCAACAGATTCATACTCCCGAAACGATAAAATCGACGGAGAATGGGTACTTTGCTCGTTGGCCTCCACATGGATTTGATTTCTTTGAAGGCTCGTCGATGGAAAATGTCTGTACCAAAGAACATGACCGGGGTGGTCATGAAGAAGAGTGCCCATTCCATACGCGTAGCTTTACCCGCCATGATCGGTCCCTGAAGCCATTGTCGTGTTCGGTTGGATTCTGGGACCAGGCTCATGTACACGACACCAATGATGAAGGTGGGGATAGCAACCACGGCCGTGAATAACAGTCGCCAGAGGATGTGTTGCTGTTCTCGCCTTTGCATTCGACGGGAACGTTCTTCCAAAGTCGGTGGCTGGTAGACGCTGGCATGGAATGCTTCATGGGTGGCATCGATCACCGAGATGAACGTGCGCACCGTGAGGTCCGGAGGAGAGGGTCGGTATACGATTGTAATGAGAGGGTCATCGAGTGTCGGCCACTGAGTAATAGTGTGGTTGGGCTTGCCATCACCACGAGATGGAGATAAGGTGGTCTCGAGAGCGAATTTAATATTATCCGGACAGTGCTCACAATACATGCCGTCGATTTGGATCTGCACCGCTCTCTCCTGCTCCTCAGCTGGGATCGTATCATCAAGAGCGTCCACCTTTACCACGGCCGAGTCGTATCCCAAGTCATCAATCTTTTCCAAAATCGATTCGAGATTTTGCCGGTCGGAAAAGACGGCCACGCCACTATTTCTAACCAGATCGATGTTGACAGAGCGTACAAATGGCAACTCCTGAAGCCCCCGGGTAATGGTTCCCACGCAACTTCCGCATGTCATACCGTCTATGTGGAGAGAGACTTTATACTCTCTTCTGGCGGTCGTCGAAATCCGCTTTTCAGGAGTAGAAGGCAACACGTCGTCAATCGTAGCTTCGTAACCCAAGTCCTCAATCGCTTCAACGATTCGACCGGAATTTTGTGGAGGAGCTTGGAAGACCACTCTTGCATTATTGGTCATAAGGCGAACGTCAATCGATTTGACAAAGTCAAGGTTGGCCAACTCTTTCGCGATTGTGCCACTGCAAGATGCACACGTCATTCCCCCAATGGAGATGTGGGCAATGTACTCGCGGGGTTCTGTGTGGACATCGGCAGGCTCCTGTTCCACCAGGGTATCATCCGAGATTCGAGTGCGATTGTCGGTTGATTTGTTTCTGAACAAACTGGGTCGACAGGCACGGGAAAGTGCTGCCCAAGACCCTCTCCTTGTCGGGGTTCGATCTCTCTTTTGTTGACATGCTTTGCAGTTGGCAATATGTTTGCGTTGAGCCCTCGACATGAGCCATGTCGACCGTGAGACCGAGGCGGTAGTGGAGCCGTGTGAAACATCATAGTCATGACTCTGAACTCCACCGGGGCCGACAGTTGTGACGTGCTGGACTTCAAAGGCCGCTTTGATTAACTCCTTGACGATGATTTCCTGAGTTTGGTCCTGTTCATGTTTGACACGAATGGTGTGGTCAATCAGTGAAACGTCCACCGAAAAAATAGCTGGCACTTCACGCAGGACATCTTGGGCGTAGGACACGCAGGACGGGCAATGGATGTTTGATACTAAGATGGTCGACGTGTAGATCATGGCCGTCGAAACGATAAGGCGGAGGGTTCAAGAGCAATGTGAGAGAGAGAGAGAGAGAGAGAGGGTATCGCGGTCGAGGGGAATTTATGAAGGCGCAGGCAAGGCAAGGAAAACGTTGGACAGCAAAGAGACCAGAGCAGAGCAGAAAAGGAAAGAAAGCTGAGGAAATGGAACAAAGCATGTTGGCCAAGACAGATATTCTTTGGAGAGCTGCGTAGTTTGTGCGTGAAGCAAACCGTTACTCAGGAGATTGCATTGAATAGGAGCCATTGACACAGAGCAGAGGAGATCGAGGTGCGCGACTTGTGCGTAAAAGTGACACAATTCACCGGACATGATATCACATGATTCGCGCTAGTCCTGTTCAGGATTAGGTTTCGCTGAGCTATTCTAATTGGTCAAGTATAATGAGCTAGTAGCAGTATCACGTGACGAGAACTCACGTGCGGCGTGTCGCATCGACTTCTCGAATTTCACCTCTAATTGAGCTCGATATTCCAACCGTTTTTTCCACTCGACTCGTTTTCAGCCCTGGCGGCCGCGATCCATCCAACAAATCGTAATGGTGTCCTTCCTTCGCGTCACACTTACATGTTCAATACTGAATTGATTGAGGTCGAGACTGGGCAACACGCATGGCCCCTGCCATCCCACAACCCGACCATCTGTCATGGCTTCGCCACCAAACAATTCATTCTTAACTTCACAGAATGAGGTTGACAATGTGAATGACAAGGACAATACCACGCAATTGATGTTGACGGACCGGGACCCTGCCGCGGGCGACCTCCACTTCAACATTCCTCCTCCTGTGCCTGCCCTCATCTTTGACACCACTACACACTCCCATTGGAACAATCCCGCAACCGGTCAACCAAAGAAATATCCGCCATCCAGTTGTTCACACCATTCTACCTCCACCTCGAGACGCTCTTCCGGTTCCGGGCCTCGCAGAGGTTCATTTCCAAATATCATTCCTCCTAGTGTCACGCCACCTCCTCCGACGCATCCTCCCATGGAGAGATTGACCGCTCCTGATCTTCCAGATTCAACCTCGATGCCCTTACCAATACCCGACCCCACTCAAGGAGACTCTCACCCTCAAAGTGGTCCTGATTTTCGCTTTTCAGGGCCGTCAAGGATGAGCCAGGCTCCCGGTTCGGCTAGTGCGGCTGCGTCCTCAGCCGATGACTCGATGATCACGGTCGCTAGTGCTCAAGATGCCCATGTGGCTCCATCGACTTCAACCCCACCCCAATTTACCTCTCGCAGAAATAAGCAATACGTTCTTCCGGATGGATCGATCGTGTCTGGAAAAGGTTTAGGTCGGGGGAGACCAGGCATCAAACGTGGACCCCGAAATCCAAAGTACCCAATAGTGGATAACACCTCACCGCAGATGGCTTCTGTCCATGGGGTCCTCTCGTCTTCCACGGATCTCGGGCGTGCCAGTAAGAAGCTCAAGAGCGAGGGTTCAGAAAATCCCATCATCAAAGCAAGAGCTTCCACATCCGAATCTGTCACCACCGCATCTCGCGAATCTTCGGAAGAGTACAATCCTTCCACCACACAAACTCGATCGGGTAGGCAAACTCAGAGGCCTGTCTCACTCGCGGCCACCACCACCGCCAGCGCTAGTCCTTCTAGAAAGCCATCTCACGCGAGTCCGGCAAACAATGCTACTGCGACCCCACCGGGATCCGTCAAAACCCATCCGAAGATCAAGCGCAGAGTCTATCGTGGCCGAGAACAATTTGCTCTTTGTGAACACTGTTTACGAGGCTACGGCCCGCCAGGAAATGTTATCGTCTTTTGCGATGCGTGCAACAAATGCTGGCATCAACGTTGTCATGATCCTCAGATCTCAAAACAAACCGTGTCGGATTCAAAAGCTGACTGGTTTTGCGCCGAGTGTGATCAAATCTTGCACAGTGGAAAGAAAGGGAAGAAGATCCCGAGCAAAACAAATTCGCCACCAGCTGCTGCGGCTCCCACCGTGGTGAATGCACCACCCGTCTATACGGGACCGCGTGTTGGCGGACGGACGCTCCATTCGGAGCAAAAGTTAGGATACCTTCAAACTCTTTCCAAAGATGATTTAATGTCACTTGTCATGCAAGCTTCAGAGCTAGCACCGGACCTGCCCCTATTCGAAACACCGGTCCCCGCACCACAACTACCGAGCATTCCACAGGCGCCGTTCACGTCTTCCTATGTCACACCCGTCTCCAAACCACCTGCCTTCGCGGACTCGGATGCGGCGAACAGTCAAGATGCCCTTGATGAAGGTTACGATGGCTATTATGACGAACACGCCGCACTGTACCCGAAACCAGGAAGTGGAATTAAGTTGCCCCCGGAAAGCGAAGATCTGCACATATTGTTGGAAGGAAAAGACAGTAGAACTTTCAGTCACTGGTTTCGAGGCATGCCAGGAAAGGAGTTTAGTGGAACCGGAAATATCAACATGAGCTAGAATTGAAGAGAAAGGCCCTTGGTTGGACTGTTGATGAACATCAGCGAGAAGTGAAAGGGCAAAGGAGGTCATAAAATGACACTTGTTGAATATTGAGCCCTGCTCTGAGTATTGATGTCTTGATAAGAAAGGGACCTGCAGCACAGAGCTAAAGTGATGTTGTATAGATGTGATGTCGTTGTCAAGTCAAGATCGAGGAACGAACTTCTGTTTTGACTCCTCACGGATGTGAATCCGTGCACCCGTCTTCGTGCTAACTCTGGCAGCCGTTGTAGCCCATGGAAAGCCATTCGAGAAAAATCATAAGTCTGGATTCGTGCTCCGAAACGGATCGGTTAGGATATCTCAGGTCCGCGTCCATATTTTAGCTTAAAACTCGTCTCTTTGTTGAGGTTACGTTTTGGTGAAACGGTCCCAACACTCCGCGGTAGATAAACTACGGAGAAGTATAATTAGCAAACTTGGACACTTCCAATTCTTCTTTGAAGCTACCAAGGACTCATGCCGCCTATGCCGCCTCCGGAGTAAGTTCTTTCATAATATTAAAAGCCGACTCGACACCTTCCTCCGACGTCCTCCCCAATCCACACGGTGGCGCAATGCCAAAGTCACCCAGTTGTTTCTTCGCCGCGGCAACCCTCTCCTTTGCACCCCCCAAGTCGTCCGGATACACGAGTCCCAGGTACACGGCAAGGTTCTTGTCCAGCTTGCTGAGTGGCTCGTATGGAGTGGCATCCTTCCATTCGGGCAGACACCCAAAATGTACCCACTGCACCGGTCTACTAGCCTTGCGGACGATCCGGTTCGCCAGCGTGACCATGACTTTCATATCCCGCGGTGCCAGCACTGGCTTGTTGTTGATATTGCCCACACAGATGTGCAGCCCGGTGTGTGCTTCGACCGGGACTTTGTCAATCAAGCCCGCGTACTGACTCGCGTACCGTTCCATCGCATCTTCCTTGGGCGGATGGAAATCCTCGCGTAAGGTGCTCAGATAGGACGGGTCCTGTTGGGCCTCGTTTTTGATATAGTCACTGGCGATGTCGAATTGGACAGCAAGATCCTCGGAAGGGATGGCCGCAACGATCGTCCCCGTTTCCGCCATCAGCACCTGGTACGCAAGGTCTTCCACCAGATACTGAAAGGCCGGCTTCACAAAAATAGCAAAGCTGGACATGCCGGGCAGACAGACTTGGAACCGCACGTGCTCCTCAATCACCCCTTCCTCCCGCAGCTTGCAGAACGTCTTGTATGACTCCGCAGCGTCTTCGGCGTACCCGAGCTTCCACGACGTCGACTTGATCAGTTCGCGCAGTGGCGCCGCTTCGTCCTCGGGCATGTCTTGGACGGGCAACGGGTCATATTTCTCGTCGTATTCGCGCCAGATTTTGCCCATGGCTGGGTTCTCCATGGCCTTCTTCTGCACCAGGCCAATCGTAAAGTTCCATCGCCAGCCCGGCTCGCCGTCAGGCACTGCTGTAAGACGCCCTTTCAGGGCCGTGCAACATATGGAAAATGCTGTGGCCGCGTCTGGAGCTGGGAAGCTCCCCACAAGATGCACGGGAGCGGCCTTGTATACGGACATGGTCGGTGCTGGGTCGGAGACCGGGCACGTTGTCTGAACCCGGGGCAACAGTTATAATGTCGGTCTGGGGAAATGCAAGAGGTGGAAACAGGACAACGGCTCAAGCATGCCCAGCAGGAAGAAAGACCGTCGAGGGTCTTTCATGGGGTGCTCGCATATGCGATTCAAGAGATGATGTGCTGGTCCAGTTATGGATCGACACTCTGAGGGGGGCGACCTGGTGGACTTGATACGTTTATTTCTAGTTTGGCTGACAGGGTGCTCGCTGGCATGGACCACCGAATCCGGTGGTGTCATTTAGGAAACCGACGGACGGACGGACCATCACAGCCGCACATAAACTAATCATGCAGGTCTTTACTCGCGGAAGTCGAGGTCCATGTATACGGCCCCGTCGAAATAATTACGGTGTGCTCGATGCGCGCCACGGGCGGGAAACTCTGAAGATGCCCCCGTCTGCTTGGGGCATTTCACCAGGTCGCTGACTGGCTCGTCGAGCAATTCTTCAGCTCAAGACGAATGACCAGCTACAGGCGCTGGAGCTTGTCCTCTTGGATGGCCCCCACGCTGCATGATCGGCGAGTTGGCCACCCGTTCCCAATCATGAAGCATTTCAGTGTTTTCCTTGGACAAGCGAACTTCTTCTCCGGCACGATCTACCAACTCCGTTTGGTATGCCGCGGCCGCTTCTTCAAAGGTCATTTTGCCGGCCACAGCGTCCCGGTACTGGAGCACCAGACTTCTAGCATCGGCAATGCCATGATTCAGCCCTTGACCCCGTTGAAAAGTCATGGGATGAGCGGCATCTCCGGCAAGGAGAATCCTGCCTCTACGAGTATCCCAAGGACGAGGAATCCAATACGACAGGTTATTTGCGTAAACGGGTGTCCCTTCGGGAATCCACAGATTGGCAGAGCGGAACGGTTCACCAAATGTCTCAGCCTTGGCCTTCAAGTTGGCGAGTGAAGCTACCTCCTCTCCTTCCTTCTTCTTCCACGTGGTTTGGAGCTGGAAGACCCAGGTGGCGGGATCACGCGGATCTGGTACATCCTGAACTGTGGTGATGGTCAGCGTGCGGCGGATCGTGACGGCCGACCGACTCACTGGAGATCCACAACCAGTATCCATCAGGATGCATGCCCATCGTCATGATGGGATGGGCTTGACGCACAAATTTCGCTTTCTCGGCGTCGTGGTAGCAGACATGCAGGTTGACGGCAGAATAGGGAACCGTGGACGGCTGTCCTTCTTCTCCGAATATGGTCAACCGGACTTTGGATTGGGCGCCATCGACCCCGACCAGCATCGTTCCAGTGGCCTGTGTGCCATCCTCGAAAACGGCCGTGACCGTGTTCTGGTCATCGTCATAGGTGACGTCGGTGAGTGTCTTGTTATACTGTCGTCCGTTTGGATGCCGGGTCAGCCGATGCAAGGGAGTGACGTTTCACTGATTTACCTGCACATCAATCCCTTCCGAGCACAAGTTCCGACAGCGTCGACGAGAGACGCGGTACATGCGCAGCAAAGGAATGTTCTTCAATAATTCACCCGTTTGGCCGTTCCAGGTGGGGAGAACGCCGGGGTCGGGAGGCTCAAAGGTCGGATCATTCGCGGCGGTGTAGAATCGATCGAAGAGGTCCGGGGGGAGGCAATCTTTGAGCATGGGCAAGCCCCATTGCACTGACATGCCCCATTCTCGAGGTCGATAGGTGTTGGCTGACAATTCCGAGTCATAAATGGCAAAGGAGATGCCTTCCTAAGAGGGAGGGAACGGAATCACGGTCAATGGCTGCGTCATGCAACGGGGGATTGACCAGACTGTCGGTACCTTTTTCAAGCCCTGTGCAATGAGGAGGCCAACGATGCCTATTTATGGGTTTCAGTTAGCTTTCACGCCGTGACAGATGACAGGCCTGCGTTGGACCATCAGCAAGCCAAGGAGAGGAGAGTGTTATTCCATGCTCCATACCTGAACCGATGATGAGAACATGAGGTCTTTTCTGATCGACCATTTTATGCGGATGGACGAAGAGGATGACTGGTGATATGACGCAGCTGGTACACGAGGATCTTATGACCGGGGAATGGCACAGATTGATTGAGAAGAGATATGGACCATGGACGAGAGCAATCGGGAGTGCCTGCAGGTGATGGTAATGGAGTGGGGGATTGAGTGGTGAGCTGGCTGAAGAGGCACGAGTTGGCACAAGTGATGGGACTGAGCGTGGCCCTGTTATTGGCGGAAGAGAGGTCCGATATCAGCTACGGCTGTTAGCTCTATTTAGTGGCATGCAACTACGAGTATTCATATAGAATCCGCATTTGGGGCGGGACGGACCAGCTCGACCGCCTATTAAGCAAACTAATGGGGATCAGAGCTTTCAACTTACAGCTGGTTGAAAGTGAGTGAACAGCCAGCCCCAGGAGATATAAGTCACAGTAAGGTGAGAGCACCTTGAAGTTATTCTAAATCTCAGTTACAGTGTGAGGCACTTGATACGGACAATTCCGTTCTTCATGCCGCTTCTTCCTGCGGTCTTCAGTCCTCGTCAGAAATGTTTCCATTGTCTTCAATTCGTCAGTTTGTCTCACCGTCTGCAGCTCGTTCCGATCCTACATGGTGCTGCGGATAGGGCTTGATGGTCTCTTCCTCCTCGAGCCGAACAGGACACTACTCAACTCACCATCCAGTCCCGTCACTCCACGCTCTTCGTCTCAAATGTTTCCAAAACCCCCAACCTCATTCCGAGTCCAAGTCGCATATCCTATCCTCTTCTCGTTCCACCTCGACTCTCCGCTGGCCCAGACTGCCTTATGAAACGGTCATCCATGCCCACTCCCCTCGTCATTGCATCACAATTCGCTACCACTGGTTTTCGGTCGTTCATCATTTGTTGTCCAGCCCTATGCTCCCAGCACTTGCATTTTCGATCGATTCTTTAGTTCGCTGTCAATGATGGCGCCATCTGGGAAGCATCTGTTGGTTGGAATTAAAATACACTCCACACGCCACCTGTTACGGGTCTAAAATCTCATAACCCTCTCCAAAGTCGACACTCGGTGCTTTAGCGCTTTGATATCGGATCTTCAGAGATGGCATCACAAGCCCATACTTTTGAGCAGACGGATCCAACCCCAGCACAAGCCTCAGAACATCATTCTCGAGATCATCCTGAGGCACACCAGCCGTTGCCGCCTGGGCCGTTAATAGCAGCAGGAACACATCAGCAAATTGAGGTCGATGTAGGCCGAAAGTCCAATATCATGTCTCTGAACTCTAGAGTAGCGTACTAATCAACCTCCTAATTCACATCGAAACAGCGTTTCGATGATGTTGATTCCGCATACGGAGAATCCATGTAAGGTTTCTCGTCCCATACGAGTATTTCAGACATGGGTCCCTGACGGGCCATAGAGCAAGCGATTTGACCTCCTTGGCCTCAAGCGTTGCTCGAGGCGTCTGGGAAAATGGTCGACGGTACCACTCCTACGGCCAATCCCGTATGAATGTTCATCTTTAATGCCCGGTCGGGAGCGCGACCCTGCTGACTCGAACTGCAGAGTATGCATTCCCAAATGACGAAGCCGAAGCCGAGAGATTGGACATGCAACACGCCATGCAGACTCATTTATTGGGAGACAGACTTTTCTGGGCACCGATCAGCCCCAATCCCGACAAAGTCTTAGATCTGGGAACCGGCACAGGCATCTGGGCTATCGACTTCGCCGATATCTTTCCTTCCGCGGAAGTTATTGGAACCGATTTGAGCGCGATTCAGCCCGACTGGGTTCCTCCCAATTGCCGATTTGAGATCGATGATGCAGAGACCGAGTGGACTTGGAGAGAGGAGTCTTTCGATTACATTCATAATCGCAATTTTGTTTGCGCAATTCGAGACTGGCCCAAACTCATTCGTCAAACCTATCGGTATGAGACATTTGCGTCGACTCCTTGGCGCTCTTTGGTGCCGTTGCTGACCGAGCGTTGAGCACAGACATGTCAAACCGGGTGGTTGGGTAGAATGGCATGAAAAGCATCCGTACTTACTCAGTGACGATGGTTCCCTACCGGAAGACTCGGCACTTTCTCAATGGGGAAAGAAATTTTTCGAGGCCAGTAAGTCGTGCGTTCCCCCGCCGCGATATACCGGCCAAAGTCTCATTTCCGGATAATCACCAGGTAGGACGTTTGGCGCAGACGCTCGTTCACCCACCCAATTGAAGCAATGGATGAAAGGGGCCGGCTTTGTCGATGTGGAAGAGCACATTCTCAAACTTCCCGTCGGACCCTGGCCACGAGATCCTCGACTGAAAGCAGTCGGACGTTTTGAGAGTGTCAACATGACCGAAGGTATCCAAGGCCTCACCATCATGCTGTTCACTCGTTGCTTGCAATGGACTCCGGCCCAGGTGGAGTTGTTCCTTATGGACGTACGAAAAGATGTCAAGAACCCACACATTCACAGCTACTATCATTTGTAAGTGAGCTCCAGACACCCTTGCTAGACCCACGGCAGATGCTAACCCTGATGTCTAGCTACGTGGTGTTTGGGCGGAAACCGCCGATGTGATATCAGCATATTTCATTGCCTCATTGGACACGGTCCCTGGACGACGATACGAACATTTCATTCTTCAGTACCAGATTGACAGCGGTTGATGTCGGGATTTGGGTTTGGAATGGGAGAACGAACTAATGACAAAGCACCACCGGAGACGTGTCGTGGAGGATAACTTTCAGGATATTTGTCATTTCATTTACATCCACCCAAATGTGTAACTACGTGACCATCCTCTTGTTCCGTCAAAATGCTTCTCTATTCCATCATGCCTCAAACTTTCCATCACTTTTTTTTTTTTTTTTTTTTTCCCACCCTCGACATATCTAGGTTTTCCATCTCTCGTAGAGCATTTTGACCGATGCAAGGAAGAGAGTGTGCGATCAAAGGCTGACCTGAAATCGAGGGTGGGTCCTTAACCAAGCACCATAACGCATGAAAATCAGCGGCAAAGGCACCATGGCCAGTGCAATGAATGCCAACAAGGAGTTCCCCCATCCCAATCCCAGGTCGGAGTACAACGGACGCCCAGCCAGAGGGAGAAAGGCGCCCACGAGTGATCGCACGACGGTATTTGCGGCTGTCACAGACGCTGCGTATATGGGGTAGCAATCGACTAGATAAGTCTGTACCGCCATCTAATAGGGGAGAGAATCAGTTCGCGGGGGTCAGTTCAGATAGAACAAGGGACTTTCGGCTCACGAAAATGCCAATCAAGCCCAAGCCGACCCAGGCTGTGCCAATAATGGGCATGATCCAATGAATTTGCTTCTCTGCAGACCACCCATACCAGAATAAGCCGATAGGAATGCATATCGCTGCGGGGACCAAGCCCTCCAACCGAACCTCCGGTGTCGTGTCGCCATGCTTTTCCTGTTTTCTCCGGATTCGCCGGTCGCTGGTCGCGCCGAACAGGCCGAGCCCGATGAACATGCCTACTCCAATTCCGATGTATGAAAGACCTGCCAGGCCCGTCGAGAAGCCATAGGTACCTTCGTAGACCTCGGTAATAGTGGTGAACAGGAGGTAGAGATATCCGTATATGATGGAAACGTAGATCTGTCCGGCTGAACGTCAAATTCCGAAGCGTTGAGGCGGCGGGAAAGGCAAATGAGGCATACCACAAATAGGAACACGATGGAAGATCGGAAGAACATCTTCGTTGGACGGATTAGGGCTTTCGCAAAAGCCGTGCCTGGAGAATCGCCCGTGGACAATTTGGATTGGTACTGTGTGTTCCCGCGTGATTTTCGCAGTCGGGCGGCCTTGCGCTCGAGGAGGACTGGGCTATAAGTCTCTTTCATGAAGAGAAGACAGGCCATGGTAACCACTCCAGCCTGTGACATGTCAACAGAGAGGCCTCGGGCTGAAGATTCCACGCTTACGGCGATCGTGATCACCCAGAATATCCAACGCCAGCCCACGTTTTGCGCCAGGAAGGCGCCCGCAACGGGTCCTGCCCAATGGGTCAGCCTCGAAACAGGAAAGCCATGGACAAAAAAGCCGCTTCCCTGCCACGGGTCCGATCAACGGTCCCATCGCAAATATCGCCATCTTCGAACCTCGTTCTTCTCGTCGATACAAGTCCGCCACACTCCCACCCCCGAGCACGAGGGGTGCTGATCCGGCCGTGCCAGCCAGAAATCGGAACCCAACCAAACTGTCGAGCGAGGGCGCGACCGCACAGGCGATGGTGAAGATGATAAACAGCACATTTGTGATGTGATATATGGGAACCCGCCCGTATAGTTCAGACAGAGGCGCGCAAATCAAGGGACCCGCGGCATACCCGATCAGGTAGACGGAGACCACGAACGAGGCGAGAATGGCGCTGTCGCTTTGGAAGTCTCGCATCACCCTCGGTATGCCTGGCGCGAACATGGACGATGCGAGAGGCCTGGGTTTGAATCAGCTGATGCGTCCGTCCGCTCGGTGAGACTATCATCGAACAACGATTCCCTCGAGCTCGAACATACGTGACAAACGTTAAGCAAGAGAGAAGTATGATGTTGATCGCTTTGCGCCCTGAAGGCCAATTCAAGGGTTCCGCGGGGTCGTCAAACCCTTCCCAGTCGACGACGAACTCATTGGAAAGGATCGTATTTTTGATCGCATTTTCCTCAGCCATGTTGATGCTGGGTGTTGATGGTCTTGAGAAAGTTGAACGATTGAATGTTCAACCCATGATTTGGGTGGTCAGGAGTGTCCTTTATTGGAAAGCACCCAAAGGAAAGGAGTAACCTTCCGAGTAAAGTTTTGTTCGATTAGATGGAGATCTCTTGTCGTGGACGGGTCGGAGTTGGCTTGTAGATTGAGTTTGTGCAAAGATATGCAAATTGTGCATCACCAAGAGGGGAGGCCGTTGTCGTATGGCAAGATATGGAGGACTGCTTGAGATTCAATGGGGCCGTTCCCCTTAGTGAGGTAGCAATTGTCGTAATCTATGCCCAGAATGACAAGGAATACGTGTTAATAGGCGTTTGGCTATCGGGACAGGATATTGCGGAAGCGAGGCTTAAAATGCCTTAGGAGCCCTAGGAAGGCAATCGATATCGTTTGTACCGATCTTGAAGCGGTAAGACATAAGCTTAGCGGATGACTACGAAACATCTGCGAGTTTGATTCGGGAGCGTCAAAGAAGCCTCAGATTCGAATTGTGGGGGATGAATCGCCCCAGTGTCCAGAACTGTATCATGAATCTTCCATGGGAGCCCCTCGTTCAAGAAGGCGAATGATTCTTTGACCGAAAAATAAAATTGTCCCTTGTCCTTGATGCTCGACAAGGCGTCCCCGAGCGGAGAAGAGACGTGGAGAAGGGTAACGAATGTGGGAGAACAGTTCCACCTAGGTCGCCTTTGTCGAGATGCGAGCAAGTTGAATTGAAGAAGGGTTGCATCAAAAGGCTATCTGTCTTCCGGCAAGTAATCTACCAGCCTCCATTCAGCCTTCAACAATTGTGCAAAATGCTTCGGTTGGATGATACACATCTGCTGCTCCAGAATGAGGACCCTCCTGTCGAGAGAGGGCACGGGGTTTGACTTCTGACAATATGTACCACGTTGCAGCTCAACATATAGCCAAACTGCTCGGCAGAACACGGGAAAACTATAAACGTGAGCATCCCCATGACCACGTCTTCTCGGACTGGGAGGGACCCCGAGAGAACAAATCTCAATATATTGGTGGCCATCATCTCGTCCATGAATATATCGGTGGTGACCTGGCCATATTGAAGATATCTTTTAAAGGCCCCAGCGAATACGTCGGCGCGAACCGGAAGGAGTTCCAACGAGCAGGTTATGGCACAGCCATTTGTGGAAGAGTCGGCATATGGGACGATAGCACCGGAAATGTCCTTTACACCGGGCATCTGATCCATCTGGTCAAGAACGAGCCAGATGGTTGTCGGATGAGATCAAGATTCTGGTTGGGAGACATTGAGGGAGTGCCTGTTGAAATGGGGGACGGGGCACCTCACTGGCCGGGAGCGGGCTTCATGAAGCACTGCACAGAGGAGATGGCAATACTGGCTTCAAAATTGCCTGGATTGTATCAGAAGCATCGCAAATGGCTGGACAGAGTCTGATGAGGAATATCGTAGAGAAGGCACCATGTGGGCCGTCGCAAAACCGTCAAAACTGCCAAGCCAAACAAAATGCTCGACGAGTACAAATGTATCATCTTGAAGGAGCATCCTGGCAACTTGTCTATTATCCTTACGAATCAACCCCGTGTCCGGCGACGATGTCGTCCAGACAGACGATCAGGAAATATGTCTGCCCCCGTTGTGATCGGAGCTATGGCAAAGCGGAACACTTGATTGTAAGAACCGTCTCCTGGCCTTTTCCATCCACACTGACACCGAGATCTTTCTCTCCAGAGGCATGAGAGATCACGTTAGGACTAGGAAAGATGCCAGTTGCCTTACAGGCTAACTCCAAACTCCAGATACTGGCTCTCGACCATTCGTCTGCGAGCGGTGCAATCGAAGTTTTACCCGGGCAGACAGTCTAGCCCGCCATGCCAGGCGTCATCCGAGTGAGGCGAGCCGAAATACTCCACGAGCTCCTCCAGGGCGATCTACAACTCCGCGTCCTGAACGAACAAACACTGTTCCTCCACCGCACAATGCCAGTGATCCCACAGTGCCTAGTGAATCATCGAGCAACCCATACGAACCTATCTCGGATTTTCAGACGACCTCCGAAGCTGCCTCCCTGGACAATGACCCCTTCGGCTCTCTGAACTGGCCAGATTCTGCCAATCTGCTGACTTCCATTCTCTCCGCCGAGTTCACCTCTCTCCCCTCTCTCGATGGGCTCCCATCTCAATCCGTCTTCCGCGGCGGGCCGGAGTTGCCGTCGGATCCCGTGTCTCCTTGGGCCACTTTAGATATGGATCAAAGTCTTTTACATGGCGGTAATCATGCGGTTCATCATTTGAGTCAGATGATCAACACCTTGGTATGTTCGACTGATGTGTGGGGCCCTGGGTGGAAGCTGATTTCGACAGTCGGCCGATGTCACGTCTGAAGCACAGGGCACGGGGTTCACGAGCGTCTTCCTGGACGGTTGCCTTCACATGTTCTTTACTCAATTTCTCCCCTCATTTCCTGTCGTCCACGCTCCCACCTTTGTCTTCAAGGACTGGACTCACCCGTTATTGCTGAATGCCATTGCCCTTGGTTCGCTCTTCGTGGGAAAGAAAGATTACTTGGCCAAGGTGAGCACCTCGCCATGGGGGCTGAAGAGATCTGCTGACCGTCCAGGGCGAGGTCCTGTGGAGATTGGCACACACTGCCGTGGCGACTTCGGTGAAAAATGGCTGCCATCACTACGAACATACTACTGACGGGCGCAGTGGCACACCTTGATCAAACATCGCGGCCCCTTTGATAGCTGTCATGGGATACAGCTCGTTCTGACCGCTCTATTGGGACAGGTTTATGCGACGTTGTCACAGGTAAGGGGCTAGAGTATTCCTCGGTCGTCCAGCTAAGAGAACAGAACGCTAGTCTTCGCATGACGGCGCAAGTTTTCCACAGTCTCGGTTTCTACTGGGCACGGGAAACGGGAATGTACGATATCGAGGAAGACGATGACCGTCCTGCTCTTGATCCTGGCCACGCGACGGATGCCATTGAATACAAGTGGAGAGTATGGGCGGCGAAGGAGACTCAACTCAGAGCCCTCCTAGGCCATTACATCCTCGATGGCCAAATCTCAGAATATAACGGCGGTCCAACCTGCCAGCGTCACACATCACATTCGTTACCCATGCCCGCTGATGACTCCCTCTTCGAAGCCAAGGATGCCTCGACGTGGATGGAAAGAGCGAGATTGAGGAGACGGCGCCCACCGCCTTTTTCACGTTTGTTTACTTCAATATTCTCTGAAAATGTCCATGTGAGGCATTTAGGGAAATCTCTCTCCTTGTTCACGGCTTCCATCACATTGGAAGGGTTGAAATCACTGGTGGCGGAGAAGACGAATGCAGGCTCAACCATGGTGGGTGTGCCCTCTAGTTTCGACATATCAAGAGCTCTCGGGAGACTGTATGCCTTTATCATGCAGAGTACATCCATGTCAGGGGTGGCCCAAAAAGTAGCTCTGCTCCGGTGGCACACCATCGGCCTCGACGTGGCGACGGACTTCAGTTGGCTCTGTCGGAATCTGTGTCGGAAGTATAGTGTGGAGCAACGAATCGTCGGAGGACGAACAACGCCGGCGCTGAATCTGGAATCATGGGTCCATTCTCCACGAGCCCGACAGGCACTGCTTCACGCCACCTGCATTCAGCGTATTTTGCAGGAACTACCCAACGCGCAAGCACAAATGATTCATGTTCCGGTGGCCATTTTCAGTGCCGGTATTATCTACTGCGCGTTTCTCCTGGGGGGCGTGTCCAGTATGGCCGTCCCCGAGACCGAGGAATGGGAGAGTGTACTGTTGATGAAGATCGACGCTCCCTTCCATGTCGCGGACCAAGAACTTGACGCCGACGTGCGTCAATATCTCACCGGATCGTTCAATGGCACTCAAAAGAACCAAAACATCTTGTACGATATCAATCTCTTTTCTACATCCCTCAAAAGCCTTACACAGCTTTGGGGAGTATCTGCGCACATGCAAAGAGTGCTAGATCAGCTGTCCTCCCTATGCATCTAGCTTCAACGTCTTTTGCCAGCTTCCAGAATGATCCTAGCTTATATGACAACATAGGCGAATGCCGAATAAGAGCAACGGAGTCCAGGATCCTCTGAAAGGCAGCTACGGATTGACCCTAGCCTTAACTACCGGGCCAGCAACCCCTTATATTTTGATGAGAATAAGGCCATTGACGTCCCCACCGACAAGCCTTTTTATCTTCTCCGCCACATTGTGACTTGCTTCTCCGCCCGATCTTCTCCTCCAACTTCTCCACATCAGTCCCGAAATTTTATCTTCATGTACATTTCATACGTCGAGGTCGATTGGATGTAAAAAAAAAAGCGATTTCACTTCTCCTTCCTTCTTATTTGGAGGTTGATTTCACTGTCTGATGATTACACAGGACCAGCATATGTTTGACACGTCTATTCCGTGATGGGCATCTCAGGGTTCAATGCTATTGAGAACTTGGATCATGATTCATTCGGAGTGGATGTTCCTGTGGTAATCATCGGTGGAGGCCCAGCGGGACTTTTGCAGGCTCATCTGCTATCCCAGCTAGGAGGTCGGTCCGACAAACAAAAGAAATGGAAGAACTTACATTAATCCGTCTGCGCAGTCAAATGCCTAATTGTCGAGAGATATCCGGAAAGACTGGGGGCGCCGAAAGCCCATGCACTCTCGCCCAGGTCATTGGAGATCTGTCGACAGTTTCACTTGGATGTACGGAAAATTCGACAACTCGGAACTAAGAGATCAGATGCTTTCTGGGTGAATTTCGTCACCAATTTGAGTGGCCAGTTGGTGGGGACCCTTCCGTACGAGCGAATGGATGTTGATGTACTGCAACACACTCCCGAGGCAAGTCTATCGTGCTGAGCCCGACTCGGATACTGACAGATAAAGATGATTCACAACATTCCACAGCCAGTCTTTGAGCAGTTGCTGACAGATGTCCTTTCGAAAGACTCCAACGTTGATCTTCGAAAAGGCGTCTCCTTTGTATCGCTAGACCAGGTGAATTTGTCAAGAAGCCTTCCACAAACGGGTTGCTGATGAACAGAAGTCGGAGGGAATCACGACGACAGTGGAAGAACGAGCCACTGGGCACCGCTTTCAAATCCATTCGAGGTACTTGATTGCCTGTGATGGGGCGAGAAGTAAAGTTCGAAGCGTTCTTGGAGTGGAAAGTGACGGCGAGGACTCTTGTAAGTCCGGCCCGGGGCGCATTCATCCAACGAGACTGACGAACTAGATGAAACCATGATGACCATCCATTTTAATGCCGATCTTCGGCCCATTGTGGGCGAGCGAGTGGGCATGCTCCATTGGATCATGGATCCTCTCGGTGCAGGATTCATCATTGCATATGACCTCTCAGGAAACGCTGTTTTGATCTGCAATTTTGATGTAAGACCGACCTCAAAACAATTGCTTTCCGTACTTACTCTTTTTGGGCTGAAAAAATCCCCGTGGAAAGCTGGAATCAAGAATTATGTCGCCAAGTTGTAGTCGCAGCTCTCGGAACAGACGTACCGTTCGATGTTCACAGCTACCGACCGTGGCTCCTTAGTCGGAAGGTGGCGAAGACATATCGAGTTGGCAATGTGTTCCTGTAGGTTCGATTCCGGCAGACACGCTCGTCGCTGAGAGGTGACGATTACAGGGCTGGTGACGCTGCGCACTCGTTCCCACCGACAGGTGGTCTTGGACTGAACTCGGGTATAGGAGATGTACACAACCTCGCCTACAAAATTGCATTGGTGCTAAAAGGAGAAGCCCGCGATAGCCTGCTTGAGACATACGAGTCGGAGAGACGACATGTCGCCGTCGTCAACTCGATGCAGAGTGTGAAGAACGGAAAACAGATTTTCGGACTTCTCAAGAGCCTGGGAATTGGGAATGATTTGATGGAGAGCCGGAAAAATCTGTACGCCACTCTGCAAGATCCAGAGAAAATGAAGGTGGTAAATGCGAGGATCGAGGAGCAAAGAGAGCATTTCGATAATGTACGCACTCCTGTCGACAATGTCCCTTGTCTACTAAATTTTGGCCAGTTGGAGCTGCATATTGGATATGTTTACGGGAGCGAAGCGATTCCGCCACATGCTTCAAAATATACGCCCAAGTTTGAAGTCGGTGCGAGGCTTCCTCACACTTGGATCCGACCAACAAAGACCACGTTGAGCGCGGTGGATGTCTCATATGTCGATGAATTGTCTCCTGACGAGGTCAAGGCTCGCCAGTACAGTACGCTCGACCTGTGTGAGCTCGACAAATTTACATTGATTGGCGATCTGGACGTTCCCGGAGTCAAAACCTGCCGCTTACATCAAGATTTTGAAGTTATTGGGCAGGCCGGTCAAGAATGGCTGACAGCCGCGGGCCTAAAGGACGGTGGAGGTCTCCTAATCAGGCCAGATCAACACATCCTAATGGTCATCCGCCCCGATACGACCGTCGAAAGTGTGCAACGGGTTCTGAATCAACACTTGGGAGTGTGACCGAAGAGGGTTCTCCTGCCTGAAATTTTTCCCCTTATTCAGCGGTCTTCTTTGCTGAAAGCCTCATCTACCTTCGGAACGCAACAAGTATCACACAGGTTAACGTCCCGGCAACGTGTGTGCGTCAATCTAGTACCATCCATGCTTGAATCCTCAGCCTCGTGTTGACTTTCATGACTATTTCTTTGAAACGCTCTCGCTCTTACTGTTTGAAGCAATTTTATTAAATGTATACGTCCTCCCTTCATCAGATTTACTATCTCTCGCCTCGGCGTTAACCAACTCTAACTAGGTTGGGTAGAAATGAATACACGCATGGGACCGGTGCTGGATGCTTCTTCTCTTTTCATTTTTGTAGACCTGTCCATGTACCATACCCGTGCGGTCTTGCCCTTTGGATCGGCAATCTGCGTGAAGTCGCTCGTAGAGGATTGCATGAGACGACGATTGGCAGACAAGGACTCCCTCTAGGCGGTGCATGGCTGGTTCAGACACGCAAAACATCTCTCCCTCATTTCGACTTCCAACGAGTCCATTTGCCATCTTTCATGATTCCTCTCTCTTGTGATTCCATCTTTGGGGAAAAAGAGTAACCCACCCCTTCGGTTTATCTCCCAGGTTCACATTGGACTAGAGAATAGGATGGAGCGCAATGAAGATGGTCGAAAAGCACGTAGGCATATATCAACCCCGGGTGATTGTCAGCTCGACGCTAGATGTAAATTTTCCCACGATCTCCCTTCGCACGACCACAATAATCTAAGAATCTCTGCGAGACATATAAACTGGGAGTGAAGGAAGAAAGAAACGGGAATAGCGGCAACTTTCGTGCTGGGGGATTCCATATTCCTCGGACATCGACGAGATGAGGAGGGCGACGGAGTTTCGTGGCTCTGGTCCCAGTGTGGTGCTCTTGTGGGTGGACGGAATCATCAACCAGCGGAAAGTGTACAGCATGTAAGAGACTTCGAGCAAAAGATTTGCCGAGATGCAAGTCTAAAAGTGCCGGTGCCGGTGGCTGCTGGTGATGAAGGAAGCGTGAGACAGTTACTTGGTGATCGCCCATTGTTGATAGATTCCCAGTGCATTTACAGGGAAAGTCATCAGTTCTTCGTAGCCGTGGGTAATACCACAATCGTGACAGGGAATTTGCTGCATCTTCCGAAGCCTGGAGGCAATTTCGTCAATCCCTTTCAACTGGGTTGGGACCAAAACAGGGGTGTTGAGAGCTGAAAATGCAAGCGACAAAGCCACATTAACGGCGTAAATATGCGCCATCGTCGCCAGCAGAAACGGTGCTTCGTCGCTGATGGAAATAAATGACGTAGATAATGACTTCATGAAACTGGAGAATGGGAAGACTACACGGAACTGATCTTGCTCCCGCCAGCCCCGTGGTTGCCCTCTGACTTTGTACAGTAGGTCTCGAAGACCGCGGACCGTGGCGGACGCTTCGGCGTTATGCCGGGTGCAGAGTGAGATCTGCGCGAGGGAGTTGATTCCTTGGTTGAAAAGATATCGGAGAGCTTTGTGGAAAGAGGACACTTTGATGGCGTTATCGGGGTCAAGTTGTCGTTGCGATGGGGACTGTTCAAGGTTTGAATATGAAGGCCATTGACGGCTCGTCGTGTAGTGTAAAGAGGAAAAGAATGAGGAATTTTGCTGCCAGGGTTGCATTTGTTCCGCGACCTGGGTTTCTTGGTAAGTAGGGCGGGGCTGAGGGTACCCTGGTCGCCTTACCGCAGAGCATCCATTCATGAGAGTCCTCCATTCGCTCCTTTTTTGCAATGAATTCGTGTGAGTCGAGTTCGACGCAAAATGGGTTGGACATACCCGTTCCTCTGTTGGAATAACAACAAGATCGAGGCAGAAAGTACGGCGTCGGAGTTGTCCTTGGAAAATGAACTCAAAGCACGCTGTAGCCCCTTGACTGCTAGGGACTGGTAGTGCAGCACGTCTTCAAGTATATTTGATGATTTCGTCAAAGATGCCAGACGATTTGCCGAAATGACCATCATGGAATACGCCACAAAATCATATCTTGCTGCGATCTGCGGGAAGCTAGGATCAAAATTTATCAGCGTACGCTAACGACGGGGGAATAATAAAAGCGAACTGACGTTGGAAACTCGTCCCACCAAGTACAAAATCGCTTCGCCTTCACCCGGTCCAGATGTACAGACAGCACCGATAGGTGGTACAGATATCTCAATCCTCCGATTGGCAAATGGCGCCATTCTGAAAAAAGGGGTCCAGCGAGGATTGGAAGCGGAGGCCTTCCAGATTCCTTCCAGCCTTTGCAGATCTTGTCGAAGGTGTCGATCCAGTGAGAAGAGCTAGAACTCGAGTCGTTGGAAGTCATAGTCGCCGTGTATTCACAAGTGCGTCCGCACCGGACACAGTTCATGCTGCTTTCGTATCAGCACGTAGTCTGGGCCGGACAAGGGGCATTGAATGATCCAACTTACCAAGAAGGCCGAAATTCGTCGCATTTCACTCGGCGGTCTTTGCAGGTTTGGCACCCGGTTTTGGACTTTGCGTGGCTGCGACGAATGATTGTCATTCGGTAAACCAGTCCCCCCCCCTTTTTCTCTGTCAGACTTTTGGGAACAGGCACAGTATATCCGCTGAGTATAGCAATATTTAATATCATATCTGAAATGGTCTTCTCCAGAAGAAAAGAGTGTACTGTACGAAAGCATCGAAAAGAGATGGCGCTGCTTGTGATTCGACCGCGTTTATTAGTCAGAGAGAACGTTACATAATGGATAGAAATCGTATCGCAAGCTGCATAGCCCTGTCTTTCGTGTCAGATTTTAGTCTCGCTTGTTTGTAACTGGGAGCAGTTTTCCGTCAGATGATTGGTGCCTGTCGATCTCGGAATTCAGGGCCAGATGTCCGAGCCTTGCATATCCGTCCGGGTCGTGGTCCGGATTAACGTATGACATGATCTACAACATCATATGCATCCATCGCCGCCCGCCCATTACGTGCTAGCTGTATCATTTCTCCCACCACACGAGGCCAATTTTTCTGCATTCTACACCCATCAAGATGGCATTTTGGTTCATTGTGGTTGCGACAAAACACATCTGGTCGACCCATTACGTTGGCAAGTGTATGGCAGGGTTTTCTGCCCAGATTGATGGCCGCCGTCTCAGGATGGTAGTTGAGGGGATTGATGTCGCCTCCCGCACCATTCAGGTGAGACATGTTGGCGCTGGAATTGGTACAATACCAGTTCCATTGGTCACGGCTCAACCCTCCAACCACCAGTTTCATTGCCAATGTTAGTGGGAACTGAAGAGTATGTTGTTGATGGTGTTTTTTGCAGCCCACCTTCATAACGAGGCGTTGCACTTGACTGACATCTTTCAGCTCGCAATTGTCATCCCATACCATGTTTTTGTGATGATACTCGTATGCGGAGAAGTACCATGGCTTAAGGAACTTATTCCCACCGTTCTTGTCCTTGTTTGCCCAAATTTGGGCATAGTTCTTCTTGTATTCATTGTAGTTGGCAGGGCCCACGAAGAAACAGACGACCTCTCGAACCCTTGCTTCTGCGTTTGCAAGGACTTGGTGATAGGCGCCAGCCTTGCAGTTCTCGTGGTCACGCAGAAATCGTTCGCGAATTGCATCCTTGATCTGATCGTCGCTCCAGTCAGGATGATCACGACGCATCTGAAATTTTGCTGATTTGACAGCGCCAGACGGTAGTTCGAACTGCATCTCAATTTGGGACGCCATTTTGAGTATGTGCTGAGATTCAAATTTCAATTTCAGTTGAGAAAAATTCGTGGTCCAATGGCCCCGCGGTGCCATAGGTGCAAGTGTGATCCGCACACGCCAGTGGCGCCCACGTGAATCAAGGCGTGAGTCGCTTTTGGCGTGGGGATGTCGGTCCGTCTTAACTCAAGTGTGTGTTGAGGTGTGACAAACAAAGACGGGTTTCGAACGAATCAAAGCCAGGCTTGGGCCTGTCTGCACCGTGGGCGTCGAGGTTTCCGTTAGTGAGCTTCACCTGAGGCACCGCTGGTGGCTGTTTAGGAATGATGCGAGGGAGGAGCGCGTCGCCGTCGACCGGTTGCGTCCCTCTTAGGATAGCTGTCGCTGCCATCATGGAGGGATCGTTCGAGTCGAATGGTACCCAAATCTAGTCCCAATCACGAGCAAGTTCAACTTGAATATTCAGAAGCAGGAAGATCGGGGCTTTCAGAGACAACGACGTGATCAATATTTAGAGCAGCAAAGTCCAGGTTCAAGAACCAAAAACTTCGGGGAAAATAGGAATCTGGCCCTGGATAAATGGAATGGGAGAACGCGGGACTCGACGCTGAAATTAGCGTCCAGGTCATAGAGTATTGAGAATCAAACGGAGAGGGTGGTCTGGATAGAAGGATGGAAGGCCTACACTAGCCCGGTAATGGTTATTTCGCTCGTGCGCCAAGACGCTAACACCTTCCTTCCCTTTTCGGGACGGCTTGTAAATATGGTCTGATCGAATGAGAAAGATCCGACGAAGTTTCGCAACGCTTTTGGGCTATTTGTCTAGCGTTTCCGGGCTCTGGCCTAGAATGCCCTCTTCTACTTTGGTTCCCAGTCCGCGATCCTAGGGATAGGACCTCTACCACCCCGTAGTTGTCGATTGGTGGTCTGGACTATGACCCGCTTGTAGGTGGTCATTAGCTGGGTTGCCGTGGTCTCTGACCTCGAGGATAAAATGATAGGTATGTCCTTTCTCCTGTGGCCTACCGCTCACGTAGTCAATTCCACAGGCTTCGGGAGGTGGCATTGTGATTTCAACTTTCCGACCCGGAAACTCTGTGTCGACATTCACTATGTCTATATCGGGAATGAGAAGATCCCATATTCCCATGGCAATGGTCGGTTCTTTGTAGTGAAACCAGTGGAAGGTCAAGACATCTCCATCCGGGTCGTAGCTCTCGGAGGCATCTAAGTGAAGCTTGTCACCGGCCTCGATCTTGAGCCGAAGAGGGAGTGGTCCCTCCATATGGCCATTAACAATCGCCAGAGGCGCGTGGTTGGCCTTTGAAATATCAGCGGACAGAGACCACGGCATCCGGACTGCAAAATCGTTCTGAAAGGCTTTCGCCCAACGCCAGACGGTGGCGAAATTGCTCTGGTATGTCTTTCCGTCACATCCAATGACTGTGTCAACAGTATCGGCGGAGTGATTTGTTTGGAAGCTGAGATCGACGGGATCGTACCTCCCCCCCCCAGCTCCCGTATGAAGGATGATCCGGACAACTGAGTCCGTTCGGGATCAGATATAAAAATGACGGCGAATCGCCTTCAATTTGCCGGGCAGGGAAAGGATAAGTGCGTCCCAGGGGTCCAAGCTGAATGTTGTCTTTCAACCATTCCCTGCTAAACTGACTGGTGTCCACACCCGCCTCGGGGCATGCAATAACCCCACCACGTCGCAGTCTTATATTGACACCAACCGTGGATCGAACAAATCACGAAGATATCTGGAAAGTTCATCCTGATCCACGGACCAGTATCATCTTGATCCGATATCATGTAGATCCAGAGTTTCGAGCAGAAGCGCTTGACCGCTGCAGTGGACCTGGTCTCGCGGACATGGTGGAGCGCTTGCGCAATGACATTAGATCCGCCCCCAGCATAACACCCACAAGAGCTCCTCCGATTCATCAATTGATTCGATGAGTAACTTGGTTCCGTCGGCGAGCGGGCAATCGGGCTCCAAAGCAAGCCGTCCATAGACTGTCGGACCGGACTTGAGCAAGTCGAACAGTGTCTGCGCATCCGGGTATTTGTTATCTGGATCTGTATGCGCGTTCAAGTTGTCTACCACTTGAGCGTAGCCACGAAGGGCGGCTTCCATAAGATCAGGACGAGTTCGTGTTCTCTGATGAGTAGACGTGCACGGCACTAGACCCTTTGTTCTGCTGTAGAGAAGATATCGAACGAAGGACTCCGAATCATCGGGTTCGTTGCCAATGTCAGAGGTCACAAAGACTCTAGGTCTCGTTCGGCAGACTCGAATAATACGCTGGTCAGCCATCGAGGTCAACGTCGGCCTAGGTAGAGAGAGGTTGTCGCCGTGCCCGAGTTCCTTTTGTTCCAGGAAAAGTTGAGCGCACAAGTGTGAATGGAGAAATAGAATCTATCCACATTAGGATCCCGTTGAAGTCGTTGACCATTGCAGGCATCCACTACCCAGGTTCGTCCATTCAGGGAGTAATCGCATTCACTAGTGATCAAGGCGGATTTATAGCGTACCCTTCCCGGCGGCAGCTGTTTGATTGGTTTCAAAGGGAAAGGGCACCAATTCTCGGGTCAGTGCGGACCGATGGGGCCACAGTTTCGCAGTTGCTGCAAGACTTTTCAGCGCATCCGAGTTACCGGACTATTTGTCGCGTCTCAACTCACAGAGGCAGACAGCATGAGAGGATACAATTTAGGCAGCTAGAGGCCCGCAGGGTGTAGAGTAATCCACTCAGAAACTCTGTCTCGTCCCCAGGTCTCGTAACATCTGGAGCCTCCACAGATCCCTCGCTTCGCTCGGCCTAGCTTCATTATCCCGCTCGCGTGTGGGCTAGCCTACCGGCCAAACGAGTCGGTCAAATCTGGGTTGAAGGAGTGGACTTCGTACCACTCTCTTCGACTTAGTCCCCGGCCACCGTGATTGCCCCGCCTACCTGGAGCTTGTCCGTTCGCAGGGCTATCGACGACGTATCTCATGAAGGTTGAATTTGCAGAGACTATCAAACATCTCGACGAGAGATCCATCAACTATCTTGTAGCAACAAACGACTCTGGACAAATTACACATACCGGCCACGTAGCTAGCCTTTTCGATATCGAGATTGGAATCGTCGACTTGCGTCGTTGCTTCGTCCAGAACTGCGCCTGGTAATTTCCAATCGAGCTGGAAAACCCCCACTGCCACAACTAGACAGCATTTGATGTCGAGCGGCGGTCTGACAGAGCCGCTCCAGTTGGAGCATTGCTGTCCAAGAACTTGGTGTCACTCCGGCCTCCTGTTGCGAAGTCAGGTAATTGCAACACAGCTTTAAAGATCGTTACTGCAATCTCTCCTGCTTTGCAGAACGGGTTGGTCACCATTTGTTCAACATCCAGCAACCCTCACCTAGCACGTTTTCTGGCTTTCGTAACCAACTTCCTCCCTGAAAAGTATAATTGCCGAACTTAGAAGATATGAGTGCCATTTCCTCAGTTGAGGAGTAATGGGAATGGAGATGGTTTCTCAGTTGTATGTTAGCGCGCATGTCCCTGGCTAGCCCACTAGGATTGTCTTCTATCCCAGCGTCAAGGCGATCTAGTTGTCGAAAGAAGCCATGAAATTGGGCGTGAAGATATTGCCGGCAAGGTTTCCGAGAGATACAAAAAAGGGGTCAGGATGCAGTGCTTCCTCAACCATGTGGGTTCTCCTAGTCCGTGGATCTGAGATGGTCGGTCCGTGTATGGTCAGCGGTGTCCCCCTGCCTCCAAGCCCAAGGACGGACATGCAGCAATTGTTGGGCCCATGGATCTTGCCTCAGCTGCATCCAGGATCTCTCGGGCTTTTGTGCAAACTTTTCCCCTTTGCTGGCGGCAGTGCCTTCTCTTGAAAATAAATTTTTCTCATGGAATGGGCGACGTGTTAAATGAGAGGCTGAAGCCGGAGGGTTGTAGGCTAAAAATTAAGTCTTGCATCGTGTTGTCGGTGTAATTCAGTCGACGGCAGAAGGACGGAGACATGGATGGTCGAATGGCAGGTTTTCCGTACGGGATAATTGGCATGTCTTTTGTTTGAAAGCAGCATGTCTCTTTTATCACAGCATTGTGGAACTTTGAGTCAGGACATTCGAAATGCAAGCCATCAGGTCACCGGAGCCTACACGATGCTACGTTTGTTACGCACCTTCCTTCTTTCCTCCTCTACATACCCCGTTCGGGAAGCGTGCCTGCCTGTACCCTGGCATCATCCCTCTCCTCTCCCTTCTTCTTTTCTCTCTCCACGCTTTCCTCGTACAGCCATTGAGCTTAGCTAAATTGGTGCCGGATGAAGTCTCTCCTAGTCATGCCTCGGGGACTGGACGATCTTGGATGCATTGACGTTGACGGAAGACAGGCAATGCAGTTGATCTGGTTGAGTTTCCGTCTCCAGCTGGAAAGATTGAAGACCTTAGCCTTGTGCTTTGGAATAGGGGTGTCCGTAGTCTTCGGACTACGTAATCCTCCGCCAGGTTCAAATCAACTCGCATACATATCAATCTAGCCTGCTTGATGGTGCCGGATGAAGTTTCTCCTAGTCATGCTTTGGAGACTGGATGATCTTTGATGCATTGATGTTGACGGAAGACAGGCAGTACTCTTGATCTGGTTGAGTTTCCGTCTCCAGCTGGAAAGATTGAAGACCTTAGCAGTGTGCTTCGGAATAGGGGTGTCCATGGTCTTCGGACTGCGTAATCCTCCGCCAGACTCAATCAAGATGTACCTGTGTGAGGGGAGTCCAGTTCTCCTATTGAGGGGGGGTTCTGGGAGTCCAGATCTCTGTCTGAAGTCCGGGCTTGTCATCTCTGTTACCTCTCAAATCTGCTTACTGAAAACCTTTTCTGTGCACTTGAGCCAAACATATCTGTGTTTGTATTGCTGTCTGAATTTTTTGGGGGCTAACGGTGTTGGTGTTTTGGTAATTTTCTGTGAGTTTTTTGAGTCACCCAGTTTCCTCATACTAAACATTTTTTTTTATGATAGAGCTTGTCTTGTGTGGACTTCGTGTGTCAACGTGACAAGATTGGTGATTCCAAAAGCCAAATGACGCCCAGCTCAAAACGGGTAACCTGTCCGTCCCCGTGAAGTTAGGGGAGCAGGAGATAGCTATAACCCTTCACGACTTTGGAGCCGATTCAAGCGGATACCTGTCGATACAGATCCATGGAAACACCATGAAGGCGGGAGAAGGCGGTTGCTAAAGCCCACCACAGCCCATGAAAATCATATGGTTAACCTCAGTCCGTGTAATGCAAAAAAGACCTCAAGAGGTGATTTGCCAAATTCAAAGATGCTTAAATGCTGACGGCAAACAGGAGCGAATTGACATTCACAAGAACAGCTGGATTGCTTTCAGGATCTGGATCTTCGACCTTTCACGGTGTCAGCATTTTCAGACTAATTAGGGAAATTGTCTCCATTCGCAAGATGATTGCGGTGGAACTCTTCACGGATTGTGGGGTTATCACGCTGACACTCTCGAACATCCTTCCCGTCTAGCTTTTGAGCTTCAACTTCGCCGCAGCAGTATCTTTCAGTAACCCGGGGTATTTGACTTCGATCAAACTTGGGCGGTGGTCACATCTCCGGAGTATCGTGGCGTTATTCAGAACACTGGCGTCAACGGCTTTCCGAGAGAATCCGAAAGGCTCTCAGTTACTTGGAGACTATTGTATACTACGGCAAAACATTCCTTTATCAGCCACGCGCTGTGACGCCATTGAGAATATTTCCCTTGGATGGACATATATCCACGATTGTGTTCCTTCCGAACCCACCACCTTTTTAATGGAGATCCTGACTCTCACTTAGAGACCGGATTGGAGGACCCCTTCATAGAACAGCGCTCAAGTTGGCCTGGTGACCTGCACAGGTATTCGAAGCTCCGGGACTTCGAGGCGAAGAGGACGGCCTGCGGACTGGAGAGCAACTTGCAGGTTTTTCCCATACCCGACCACCTTTTTCCAAGCCCTCAATGCGAAAAGACAACTATCTACAGAAGTCCTCTTCGCTAATCCCAGAGACAAGGGCAATCTGCCACTTCATTTACCAAAGCATTTTCTCTCTGAGTAGAGAACGAGCCTTGGAAGAGTTTCAAAAAGCCGTGGATTAAAAAACTGACACAGACGAGACAGTTTAGCACGCCAGAAATCCTCCAACGGCAAAGAACCAAGCGCCAGTATGGTCTAAGATTATGCAGACCCTTTCAACAGGAAGGGCCAAGTTCGGCCAGTTTACCTATACTTGGAAGGATCGTACTGGTTCAATGATGACGGACCGTAGACACTTTTTGGTATTTATCCCACGTTCAACAGAGGGGTCAGATAGCCCTAGTATCCCTCCCTTCTCGAGTGGTGTGGCCCACATGGTGCATTGGAAGATCTCGACGGCAGCAGATCCGGGACGGACCATGGTCTTGCGTCCCGTAGAGACACGCGTGTAGGCCGATGCTGAAATCTGTCCTTGAAAATTCAAATGGCACGGATACATGACGGTTTTCCTGTAGAGCTTGTCAAATCAGAGGATGTCGCAAAGGCTACGGCCGACAACAGGATATCAATATTGGTCTTCGTCAGGGGGTCTACTCGGGACGATGCGCAGCCAATTTGTTGTGGTCATGTTGGCTTATCGAGTCAGGTACTGGCTTTCAACAATTGTGGCTATCCTCAAATAGGTCTACCTGACGCGATGAGTATTTCTCTGCCACTTTTCTGTGCACTGGAAAAAACGCGGTACAAAAATATCCCAATCTCGGAACTATTTATACGTGACCACGTGATACTCTCGATTGGGAATCGCACCTGGATGGAAAAGATACAAAGTCTGCCTTTGAGATACTTGGATTGAAATGTATAAATGAATCTAGTGGTCGGGAGATCCTACGACTTACGGAAGCACCTCGTCGTGTGTTTAGTGGGGGGTGTCTAACACTTGCCACCAAGTTTTGTCTTGGGCCAGTGGCTTTTCACTCCGCGAGACCATATCAAGAAGTGAAAGATGTAGGGCTCGTGCAGATTGAGCTTCTGGACCAGGCTACCCATTCTGAAGTGAGCGAAAAAGCCTAGCAAAGTAAAGCTGTAAATGCTTGGATTTTGGGAAGCCAACGATCTGGTCAACTTTGCAAGCGATTTGAGGTTAGTAGCGGTTCGCTATAGTACACCGACTCAAAGGAACCCAGTCACACGTATCGTGGAGTATCTTGTTAGTTCACCTTAGAAATATGAAACCCATGTATACCCTGACTATCCACGATTTCCTGCTGCCGAACAGCGACTTTCCTAGTGCTTGCTTTGCGAGGGTTCTTGGACTCAAACACCTCATCCAATTCCTCGAGAGTCCTACCCTTTGTCTCAACGAAGAAGAAGTAGATGAAGAGTAATTCGAAGCAGTCCCAGAAAACAAAGAATACATAGAACCAGTATCCAATATTGTCCAACGCCACGGGAGCAGCGAATGTGTTGACAAACGAGGCTAGACCGGCTGTGAATTGGAAGAGCCACATTCCTTTGGCGCGCATCTCGTTGGACATGACCTCTGCAGGATAGATCGGTTGCATACTGGTATAGGCGAAGGCGAAAACCACGCCGAAAATATAGATGAAGGCGATACTTGCTCGAGATGAGGCCTGCGAGGCGCTACTGACATATCCGGCGGCAGTTCCCGCTGTGATGGCAAGACAGATGATCATTCCAAACGTTGAACCGAGCATCATTTTTCGTCGTCCAATAATGTCGTGAAAGCGTGCGCCAGCAGCGGCAGCGATCCAGCCAGTGAGTGCGTAAACGGCATTAAGCAAGAGGACCGTATTTGTGTCCGTGACGCCGACATTGGTCAGGAGCAGAGGGAGATAATAAGAGATGACGCTGTGAGAGTAAGTCCAAAGTTTTTTCATCAAAAGGGGGGGGGGGCAAATGAATATACTTGTTGCCCGAAAACTGTCCAAACCAGCTCCACGCAAAATTCAACATACTCCTGTACCGTCTCGAGCGCGATTTGACCAAAATTCGGAGGTCGAAGAAATTCCTCCAAGAAGTCAATGGCACATTGCGCAGGTCCTGCTGAATTTCCTCCAGTTCGAGGCGGACGATAGGGTGCGAAGCATCTCCATTGGCGTGGAACTTGACGATGAAGTTTCGAGCCTCTTCAAGGCTATCGTTGGCCACTAGGAAACGAGGGGACTCTGGAAGGAGCCAGATGAGGATGCAGACAAATCCTGGGCAGAGAAGTTGCAGCCACAGAGGAAGACGCCAGTCAAGGTTCGAGTCGCTCAAATGAATATGAGTCCCGTAGACAGCTGTTGAACTCGTCAGAAATGCACTCAGCTCGCTCTTCTGTAAGGACCTTACCAAATGTGGCGATGATTGAGCCCATATACCACAATGTATTATACAACCCGGACACGGTGCCCCGGTAGAGGGGCGGAGCAATCTCAACGACGTACATTGGAGCCGCCGTAGTGGCCCATGTGGCAAAGAATGAAAGTAAAAATCGACCTCCAATGAATGTAGCCACTGGAAATTTGGTCAGCGAATATGGTTTGGGGGGAGAGAGATTCCTACTTGTCTTCGCCGTCGACGTGACGATTGTCCCAATCATCACACCAAAACATCCAATGAATATGGGCCATCTTCTTCCTTTCCAATCGGCCACCCAGACAAAAAGAGCCCCAGTCATCTGGCCGACCTGGAAGATGGCGAAGACGATACCTGTACCCGCTTGTTCATTTTCCGAGACGTTGTAGTAGTTCAGATAGTTTGGAAGCGCATTGATGCTTCCCATGAGTGATCCATCGTAGCCTATAGCTTCTGTAAGCACCGATTTTACGACAGTTTCTCAGGTGCATGTACATACCGTTCATGGTAGAGCAGAGATAGATCACAATGCAGCAGCCATAAAGGGCGAGGTGCCCTTTTCCCCAAGCACTGGGAGCATCGTGTGCCAGTGCAGCTGCAAAGTCGGCATTCGCAACACTCAACTCCTTGTCTTGAATCATGGTTTTCGCGTTTTCCACCTCATGGGTGGCCATTTTGTCCTGGCAAATGTTAGACTGCGAAAGAAAGGCTTGAGGAAAGGACATGTAGTGAGATATTTACCATTCTGAATGGTGGACCAGAAAGAGTCGAGCGGGAATCGCTGTCGACGAGTTGGAAGAGCAGGAAGTAACAGGAAGATACAGGGGGATCGGTGAATTATAACATACCCCACAGTGCATCAGAGCAACTCAACTTCCCACCAAACCCCCGGGGAGCCCTTGTTAACGATATATTACTCTGTTGTGACCATATTAGGTACGGGCGGACAATCCCCCCGTGCAGTTTTTGGCAAAGCGTAGCCTTCTCCGCCAACGTGGAAAAGTGAGAAAGAGGGGGTGAAAACACAAAGCCCCGAATCACGCTATTATCTGATCAGCAGAGACTTTCCGTAAGCAATATGGCACAAGCATCCCAGTATTTCGAACGAGTCCCATGGATTAGCGTAAACGGTGGCTGTGACTGTGCTTTGGTCATTCTCACGTCTCCTTTCTGACTCCAGGAAGAAACTTTCATGTTGCCTTCCGGCCGAAGTCCCACATGTCAGAGAGAAGCTTGCCTTCAATATTAATCCCTAGTGTGGCTGATGTTTTGGCCAACTTTTCAGAGTCCGCAAGAACAATGTGTCAAGCTGAGTATGCTAAGAGAATGTGTATTGAATGCTCTGTCTACCTAGCAACTGGTCCTGCCAGGTTGCTGGTATTTATACATGCTTGGTTGACCCCTTTCTTCTGCTATTCCTACTCCTATATCCCCAAAGGGGGTACTGGCTACTTGTTCAACCGTTCAACACAATGTCATTCAGGACAAAACGAAGAGCAAGACCCACGTTCATCGATCGCTTTGGAAAACGTGGCGATGGAACATCCTTAAGCCTTCGAAACTGTGTTTACTCTTAGGCCGCAGAAAGCCATCTATCCCGTCAAGCCACATGCCCTTACGGCTACCCGGTCTTCATCGGTGTTGACCGCGAACTCCGTATGGCTGCGGTCTGAGCCGCAACTGCAGCTTTTGATCTCTCCGAGCGCAAGTTCCCAATGGACCCAGCTCAGGCACAGTGCGACCAACTGCTCAAAATTCCACCAGGCTAAGGCTGCGTATTCGCGCAGACGCAACAACACCCCATTCAACGAGTGGCCAATTTTATCATCATTTGAGGTAAGAGGGGGGACATTAGGTTCCCACTGCGTCCAGTCACCATCGCAGCTGTGAAAGAGTAATCTAGTCGATTTCGGAGCAGGTGAGCGACCGCAGTCTCCAGTTCCAATCTTGATAAATGTTTCTGCAACTGCCAGCATCGCCCGTCAACACCGCGATGGGCCCGAAGCCGATGTAGTTTTGAAATTGTTTCGTACGACCACAGAGTCATTGCGGTCCGACTCTATCGAATTTCGTGATCGCCTAGATCATGGGTTCATACTCGATGTCGAAAGTAGCAATCGCCTCTGTCGACTGCACCCATAGATTTCGAAAATTTGGGGTTAGAAATTCATGATATGAGCTATTCTGTTGACAAAGAGGCTGACACTGCGGTTGGGCCGGTATGGAAAGAATTCCCAAGAGTAATTGGTGTTCCAGAAGCAAGTCCAAACTCATCACAGGACACGTCTCAAGAGTTTTGACCGAAAGCATGGCCGTCATGAACTGACACGATAAATTTGATTCCACGGCGGTGTCCTTCAGCCGTCAAATCATCAATGGCATCAAGAATAGACTTGTCAATTCGCCCGCAGACATCTCCTCGAGATTGGAAAGAGTTACGGTAGTGTTTGTGCCTTTGTAAGATCCAGAAGAGACTCCATTGACCCGAATTCTTATTACGCGGATCCCGTCTCTTTGAAGGTCATCAAGCCATGTATCTCTTGTATCTCTGTCGAGACGTGGAATGTGAGCAGAAATATCGCAGGGTTTCCCATCCCAATTCATCATGCGCATAATAACTAGAAGTCCACCAGAACGTGCTGTAGGAGCCATTTGAAGCAACGGGGATGGAAAAGCAACCCTTGAAGATGTGGCCTAGGGCGAGCAAACCGAAGAATTGATCAGTCCACCATTGTAATGAGACAAATCACACTCACCGTGGAATACGCAAATCATAGAGGAGAAAGCCTTGACGGAAGAGTCCTAGATCCGACTTCGCGAAGCCGTATACCAGGCCCTGAATTTGTATTTTGCACTGCCATACCTGACTCATATCCCCTACCTGGTAAGGAGAGACAGTAATCCTGGATACAGGACACCGGCGTGGGACTTGTTATCCTTCAACGTCAACGACCTTCGAAATCCTAGGATGGTGTGTCCGTCGAATGTACATGCTCCAGAGCTAGCCATTTCTGGGATTCAAATTCTTCAAAGCGGCCTTCCACTTTCTAGGAGAAGGTTGCCATGTCGAAGAGAGTCAACGTAGTCGAGCCGAAAAGAAGACGGATAGAGTATGCCGTGCCTAGAAAGGTAAACTCTCCTGGGGTAATATCCGCAAATCACCCCAACATTGGCTTGTCCCCGCTAAAGCCTTTGGGGCCTGACATCTGACGTGATAATGGACGAGCGAGCCTCGGTAATACTGTGTATGTCCTGGAAATGGACCTCCCGAGAACCTGGGTGGTGAGAACATACGCTTTGTTACACGGCTTGATCGACATAGGTGTTGTTGATATCTATATTTCCAAGAAAGACTTCTCATACTTGTAGTGTTCCCCTATCGTTGTCCACACGTGACTTCATTGATATCTTGTGGTTTATCAAGCGAAGGAATCTGTCATTGTTTGACCCTTGATTTAGGTAGGCTGTCGGACGCTAAGCCGAATAGCTAGTAGGAGGTTCGAAGGCTCTCAGACTAGATAGTCGTCGTATCAATATAGACTACAGGCAAAGCGTGCTTCTGGCCTCGGAGGGTGGCTCAAATCAAACCTGTCGAGTGTTGCTGCCTCCGAACTGCCATCTCTCTCACCATTCGATCAATATTCATGCTTTTTTGTCTCCAACAGCCCCAAAGAATCCGACCCTTGAATTCTGTTTTCATTTCTCATTTCGACTCTGAACGAGCAGGGGAAGCCGGTAGGGACTGGCGAATCGATTCATTGTTGACTCTTGCCCTCTGGGGAATACTGCAGCTATTCGCGAACTTGATGATCCCTCTTCAATGTTGCTTGGATCTGATGCGAGAGAATTGACGCTTCGTCTATGTCTCAAGTCGGATTCACCCCCTCGGCCAAAAAATTACCCACACCCATCTACTTCGACCACCACGCATAACTATACTCACCTTTCCACATGTCAATCTCCACCTCGTGATGTATCCCAGAGATTCATTTTCCTCGGTCTAATTTTGAGGCGGTCTTCGGGACGGCAGTTCAACTTTGCTACTCATTGCAAGGCGAGTTTTGCTGTTGTATATTATAACAGACGGCAGTTGCCCACTTCTCACCTCACCCTAGGCTGACAACCCGACCGTCATTGTCATCAGCCCATCGATATTGTCCCTCCCCATTGCTCATCTTCCGAATGTCACATACCAGCGAACAAAATGGAACAGATGGGGCAGCCCAAAACCACCACTACCGCATTGCGTCAATCCCGGCGGATGGAATCGGCCCCGAAGTAGTGAGAGCTGCGATCGATGTCGTTAATCAAGTCTCTCAAACATTGGGCACTTTCACGGTCGAATTTACTCATATCCCGTGGGGTACGGCATACTACAAGGAGCACGGTCGATATGTGGATGAAAATGTCCTCGATGTCTTAAGAAGCTACGATGCAGGCCTGTTTGGCGCCGTCGGAGCACCTGATGTTCCTGATCACATCTCATTGTGGGGGCTTCTTCTGGCGATTCGTGGACCTCTACAGCTTTATGCCAACGTACGACCAGTTCGATCGTTTCCTGGCACCGAAACAGCACTTCGAAGAGCAAACAATGAAGATATTAATTGGCTCCTTGTGCGAGAGAACTCGGAGGGAGAATATTCGGGCCAAGGTGGTCGTTCGCATCGGGGTCAAACATGGGAAACTGCCACCGAGGTATCCATTTTCACATACGTCGGAATTGAGAGGATCATGCGGTTTGCCTTTGAAGCAGCTCAGGCTCGCCCGCGTAAACTTCTCACTGTCGTGACAAAGAGCAATAGCATGCGAAACGGCATGGTATTGTGGGACGAGGTTGCTGCCAAAGTGGCGAAGGATTTCCCCGATGTGAAATGGGACAAGATGCTGGTTGATGCCATGACAGTTCGAATGGTCAACAATCCCAAGTCGTTGGATACCATTGTCGGAACTAACCTTCATATGGATATCTTGTCCGACCTTGCTGCGGCGCTTGCTGGGTCGATTGGCGTTGCCCCATCCAGCAATCTTGATCCGACTCGCAAAAATCCATCTCTGTTCGAACCTGTGCACGGGAGCGCATTTGACATCACCGGCAAAGGCATTGCAAATCCCGTCGCGACATTCTGGTCCGCTGCGGAGATGCTTGCCTGGTTGGGAGAAAAGGATGCTGCCAAAGTGATGATGACAGCCGTGGAACAAGTTTGTAAGGCCGGAATCTTATCTCCCGATCTGGGAGGCAAGGCCAATACGCGAGAAGTGACCGAAGCTGTGTGCGAAGAGGTCAAAAGACTAGGGTCCTCGACAAAGTGTGTTACTGGGATGCAAACCAGCTAGATTACTAGACCGTCTTGACTTTCTTCTAGAAACTGTTCTTTGAGAACGAACTTGGCCGTTTACAATCTCCGATCCCGGTTTCCTTTAGCATGCTTGTTCCTCGTGCTCCGTCCTCCCCCTTCGAAAGACTCACATATATGAGACGGTTGATCTTCTGTTGCCCGGAGGATAATCAAGCGACATCGAGGCACAATCTTTGTGAAGATGTGAGAAAAATCAACCTTTCGACAACATGCGGACCAAAGACCCTGAAAAAATCAATGGGCCAGGAGAAAGCGTGCGAGGAGGTGGTCATCGCTGCTGTCAATATAGTGCCACGACGGTCTATTCAAGACTACAGAAATTGCATGTGTGAGGGAAACTTGATTTCTGTATCACGCCTGCTCTTGCGCATTGTACTTTTTTGGGGACTACGTGAGCGAGAGCTCCCCTACTCTGCATTCCCGACCAACAAGCCGATGGTGGGACGGAAGGACAATAGCTTCAGCATGTCTCAATGGCCTAGAAAAAGACATTTGCTTGATAGGCTCTCGATATAACACATGTATTTCGATACCTCTTTGTAGGGTGAGGTGTTCTGGTCCTGTATTTCGCCACTCGATTGATTCATCGACAGATGTTGAACAAAGGGCTATTGTGAGAGGTTTCCGTAGACGACGACGCTACTGATGGTTGCTCTGCGTAACGACGTAGTATTCGCACGTCTATAAAAGAAGCCTCAATACCTCGACAAGTAGATAGAGAGCAGAGCATTCAATACATCTCGAGTTGCACCCAGTTTGACAACAGATATCTCTTGATGCGGTTGCCATCAAATATACTCATGGTGTCGAAACATATTCGCCCCTCGATTGATATGTGTTGGTGTATGGCCTTGTGGGTGACATGTTCGGCATGTATGCTGCTTTGATCCAGAATTATCGTGATCTTGTCATCGCTCGCTTCTTTCCAGGGCAGCTGAAGCACCATGTGAGTGTCGAGCAGACAGCCAAAATAACGTGACTTACTGGAGCAGGACCCCGATTCCTTCTGTCGGTCTTTTAAAGAAATTGCAATTCGGATTGCAATTCTTGACCCTGCCAATATCCTATCCACGGTATTTTCTGGGCCAATCACGGCATGCCACGTTCTCAACCATCGATGGTGCACAAGGAACTGAAGGCTGGAGATGGTAGGCACTTCCAAATGACTGTGAACTTGGCTGAGAGACTGCTTTGACAGGCTCTTTGTCATTGAAGGTGTCGTGACATTCAGTGTCGCTTTGATCTCCACGTTCCGATACGGATCATCCATTTACCACTCGACGGCGTTCAGAAAGAGAAGTTACCATAACTCAGAAGAGAATAACCTGCGACACGTTGGGAAAACGAAGGCCCAGAGCGCACTCCAGAGCCCGAGAGTTGCATCGTCAGATCCACGGCTTTTCCTCCTCGCTCTGACCTAGAACCTCTCTTCTGCAGGATTCACCGGCCTTTTCCCCGACCGTCATGGGAATCCTTAGGTTCAATTGTACAGTTACATTGGGCTCTTGACATGTCTGCCCGTCGCCTTTGCAACAACAGCTGGTCCACTTCTTACCCTGAGCTCGGGAAGATTCAATGAATGCACATGAAAAATTACTGCGGGCATGACAATGACAACGACAGGCTTTGTGCTTTCCGCCGCAACTCTCAACAATGCTACATGATATGTTTCCCGTTCCCTCTTGTCGACTGGCATTTACTCGGTCAATTCATGCATATTGGGCTGAGCGCGAGCCCCACAGGGCCAACCGACAGAGAAGAAGGCCATTTCGCTGATCTTTGTCAACATTGTTGTCAATGCCATACTTGCGTCCCTCCTCTGATGGGCCGCGGTATCTTTCTGCCATGGGTGCAAACGTAGGGTTCGCAGCGGGAATAATCTTGTGAGCAAGGGGACTTAGGATTTGGTGGGTGGCGGAAAACAGGAAGTTGAAGGCAAATAACAACAATGGTGGCAATGATGGGCTTGCTTGTACCTCCGAAGAACACTGTCGACGTGGATTTCTTTGAGAGTTGGATGGGTGAAGAGATCTCGTAGTAAGGGAAAGGAGGCGTCAGCGGCAAATTGGAGAGTGAGGAAGAATGGTTTCCCTGGGTATGTTTAGAATCAGAAAGCCGATCCTAAGTAATTACAGCATGTATCGGTTAACTCTGTCCTCCCCTTGGGGAGCTTGTTTTCCAGGCCTGACTAGAACCGCTTCTCACATGCCACTTCTCCACAGGCTGACCCATTTGGTAGTAGGCGCATATGGGCTTCTCCATATATTTTTCGCAATCCCTAACTTCTCCATACTCGAACTTCAATGAAGCTTACGACTTCACACGCTACCCGATACCACAATATGAAAATCCTTCGCCCTTGGCCCTCTCGCAATGTCACCCAAGTCAATTGCCCCAATTGAGATTGGATCTTTCACCGCCTCAAATCCCCAGAAGACCGAATTCATCGGCAGCTCAAGCGGGGTCTTCTTCGTCAGTACCGTCTTTCGCGCCTTTGCCCGTTCAGCCTACAAATCGAAAATCTCGGCCACGAATAATACCAACGAAGACCAGTCCCGGCAGAATGACCCTGACTCGATCGATAGCCGTCTCGTTGATCTCGAGACACCAAACCAGCTCGATGATGAGGGCGCTGGGATGCGAGTATACATTGAACACGATACCACCGGATCGTCTTCCTCCCGATCCTACGGTGTTCGAGGCCATGGGCTGGGAGTGGCCCCCGACCTGGAATCTGCGAGAGAACTCCTCATGCTGTATTTCCGAAACTGGCATCCTCTCTTCCCTTTTCTCCACGGACCCACTCTCCTCGAAACAATCCTGGGCTTGTATGAAGATGGACGGGGGACAGGCCCCGGAGTTAGCCTGAGATCGCGCTTGTGTCAAGTCATCATCTGCCAGTGTATCTTCAACATCGCAGCCCTTGACTGGGGTGGGCGATCTCTGCCCGTCGAGTCTCAAGTGGAATCACCCACAAAGTTGTTGTCTCTTGCCGGGTACGTCGCAAGCAACCATGACACCCACTCCATCCAAGCCCTGCTTGCCGCCGAGCTATACCTCGTTTCCACCATGTCACTTCGAGCGGCATCTACAATAGGCGGTACGCTGTCGCGAGTAATGTTTCACGCGGGTCTACATCGGTGTCCTTTTCGATATCCACAGATACCTCCACCAGAATGTGATTTACGGAAGAGGATCTTCTGGAGCGCCTATGTTTTGGATCGATATTTGAGCCAAGCCTTGGGTCATCCTCTTGGAATACAAGACTCGGACTTAGATGTGTGCATTCCGGGGATGGATGAGCTGCACAAGCCGGTAAAGGGTTGTCAACAACACAGCACGACTCTGCCCAGGTCCGACGAGGAGGTCCTCGCACATCTTCCACGAGGCCACCCCGGCCAGACGACAAGGCCGGAAGTGACCCCAACTTCAACTTCGGCAGACAAAGCCGACACCAGCTTCGCGCCGGCTTCCATGGAAAGGGGTGATGTTGAAGCTAGAGGAACTTCGAAAGGGTCAGAAATACTGGGTCATTACGTGCTCTACTGTCGATTGACCGGGCAGGCGGTCGAAATGTTTCATAAATCTCTTCAAAATCGCTCTATCCACACCGAAGATACCGTTGAGCTGCAATTGAATGTGCACGCTTGGTGGAACGGCCTTCCGCGAAACCTACAAGATGAGTATACCGGAGGCAAACTGGAGCTCTCCTCGACTTTCACCTTCTTTTTCATCACAATGTACAACTATTTACTGCTCCTCATTAATCGGCCGTTCTTGTCTCTTCCACCCCAGAGTCAGGAATTCAGATCGAGTCTACAAACCTGCGTCACCGCAAGTCGCCATATTATCACGACATCGAGACATCAATCCGAGTGGAAGCTGGCTGTATCTTGGCCAGGCATGCTGTCTGTAACCTGGATGGCTGGACTGGTCTTATCTTTTGCCTGTACCTGGAAACAGTATCCTTTCAGTAAAGCCCAAAGGTAGATTTCATCCCAACCCCTGGTCCACCTTCCAAATCTGCACCTCTCCTCCTCCCCGGGTCGCGGGATAAAGCTTTTACCAGTACTAATCGACCCGCCTTTCAGAGAGATTGAGGATTGTATTCAACAAATGGCCGCCATGGATAAGAGCTGGAATAACGCTCGACATTGCTCCGAAGCTTTGCGGAGCTTATTGGAGAACCTCAAAATCCAATACGACGAATGTTCGAGAGGAAAGTCAACGATGCCGACATCTCGCAGTGCAAACGTGGGCATACTTTCAACGCCAACGGAGTCTGGCACGTCAATAACTAGCGCAAATCCCTTGAGAGAAGGGGATGATGCATCGAGAAAAAGAAGAAAGACAGGCCCACAGGAAAAGCGGGTGTCTAGATCAACGATCGAGCCCGGGAATTCTTCGGCCGACGCACTCCTCCCGGACCAGGCTGCCGAGCCGGCTATGAATCAAGACTTTATTGCTCGCATGTGCGACATGGGTGATTCAACTGGCTTCGGGAATGCTTCCATGCTCCCCATTCTCGAATACACCGGACCTGATTTCGGATTCAGCAGCGGTGGACAATTCGTAAATATCGACGCGGTGCGCCTGCCCGTTGCCCAGGACTGGTATGCCAGTAATAATGGGGCATTTGGAAATATCGGCTGGGAGACCATGGCATACGGTTCGGGGAGTCTGATGCATGATTCGTCCGCTTGGGGTCCAACGAGACTGTGAACCAAATGGGACAAAGGGAGATATTGAAGGGTGAGCCAAAGTTGTACAGTCCCCAACTGATGTCTAATATGCCCAGGTCCATCCCGTCACCATAAAAATGTCTCCTGGAATTCCTTGGTCAAGCCAAATCTGCTGGCGGCCAGGCTCAGATCAGAATTTGACGTGGGCATGTGTGGTGAAAGGCCCTGCCCCGACGGACGTCCAACTGATCCAGACTCTTGGGGCAAATTTTCATTCCCACCGACTATGCCTTGATTCTGATTCATCCGCGAAACCATCGTAGGCTGTTGAGTAGGGTAGCTTGTGTGAGCTTGAACCTCTCTCTCGTCCCAAGGCGGCGGCGGCGGCGGTAGCAAATGTTCTTCGCCCGCCATGTCATCACTCGAGCTAGTGTCACCACCGCTGTATGATGCTGACGCAGAATCCATTCGATCATGATCGTGATCCGGAAGGGGAGTGTTTGTATTTCTCGCGTGGGCGGGGGCGCCGCCTTGACTACTCATGGGAGATCCTTCAGATTCAACATCTTCCTTCCAGCCCAAAACTTCTTGTGCAGTCTGCAAAGGAAACTGTTCCCAGTACGCGATGGCGGATTTCTTTTCCGCCGTCGTCACCAGCGTCCTCAGAGAAAGCGTGGCCGGTGTCCGAGATTGTATTTCGGAAGAGAAAGCAGCGGATAAGTTATTGTTTGTCGTGACGGAGAGTAGTCTCCAGAGAACCCGCTCTGTTTCTTTCAGCCGTATCTCGAGAGCTTCGACGTATCCCTTGGCAGGTCCCCTGAAGTCATATATCATAGGTAAGAAATCTCATCGGTGCAGCCAAATTCTCGCTAGAAAAAAGATACGAAGAATGAAGAACCTGAGGTGGAGAACTCGACTGACCGTTTTTGTTGTATTGGCCAGCGGCACGACTGAGAAAGTTTCCTACATCGGCTACATAGGGGTCTGATAGAGTTGACCATTGGTACACTGTCAGCGTCCGCCGCAAACTTGAGAGGCACAGAACTCAGCCGTATATCATATGGAACCGAACGCACCTTTCGCCATCGCACTATCATGCGTCAACGAGCATTCTCACACGGGGGAATATAAAAGGGGAAAAAACAAGGGGGAATTGAGGGGTGAGGAATCATTATGTGTGCCAATTACATTACAGATATCGGAAGTCTAGAACATACCTTTTGCTTCCTTGCTCGACAGGCATAGCAGGCAGAGCTGCTTCGGGAACCTGCTCCTATATCCGCACCCGCTTTGGAGGATGGGTTTGGCTGGGTCATTGCTTATACTCTGAACTATGACAGCCCGACAGCAGATGGGTTTCCAGCATATACATCAAAGATGAAGTCGATATTCATTTCAGACGCCGACATAGATTAAGCCAACATCATGCCTTGACGTCAAAGGACGGTGTCAATTTTAGCCGATGGGGAAAACTTTTAAGCGACGCCATCAGACATCTACCACCGTTATATCTAGCACTGGTGAGTATGGGTCGAATTAGAAAATAAGGTCCCATCTCATAATTCACCACGTTATTCGAAGGCTTCGAAAGTTTCCATATTGCCACACAAACAAGACCTAATGTGACGATTCATAGGATCAGAAGCACAAGCGGTGCTAGGTCATTGAGCCCCTCACATCTGCACCTTTTCCTGGCACGCCGGAGTCCCCAAACTACAATCTCAGATCACCATCATTGCCCCTCAACCTGCGCGGGTATGGCCCCTCACCCACTCCCTCCGACGTATCAGATTGCGTAACCGTCATGACCGGCTTAGGTTCGACTCGTCCTTCATCTATGCGCACGATCGCGGCGTCCGTGTCGCTCACAAGCTATGTATCGACTATCCTGAACGAGTCAAGAAAGCCATTTCCTAGACGGATACCCCACACTGGCGATGTACTTGTCGACGAGCTTCGAATTTGCCAAATCCTATTTCCTCTGGTTCTTTCTTATCCAGAAGGAACGAACCACTTCCTGAGACCATGATTGTACAGAACCGAAGACGATTCGAGGAGATGTTTGTGGGTGGAAGACCCGCCAAGGGCATGGAAAATTTTGAGTCAGAGTGGCTTGGATCAATATGTTCGCAGCCTCGGCGAGCCGGAGATTGTACATGCCATGTATCAGGACTATCGGGTGAGTGCTGCGCTGGATATGGGCGAGGTGAGGCAAGATATGGCGGAGCAAAAGCTCATAACATGTCCGTTGATGGTGATTTGGGCAAAGCACGAGGTTATTGAGAAGTGCCCTGAATATCACCGCGATGGGAGGTCAGCTTCCTGATCTGATTGATGTGATTAGTGAGGTACACCCCGTACAACGCGACTACATTGACGATCCACCGTGCATAATCGATGCCTAGCACATGTATCTTCTTGGTGGTTCTGGATGAAAAGCGGGCCAAGAATTGTCATATAAAGCCAGGATGAGGACGGCATCTTTGTCACGATGCAGCACGGCCGCAACATCCAAGATCCAAGACCCTCAATCCATCGATCCCTTCTCAATCTATCTAATCCCTTGTGCGCAAACCCAGCAGAGTCCAATCATGATGGAGGAATCACCAGATTTTGGAAGTCGACGTCCCGGCCAGACAGTCTCAAGCAACCACCGAACACCTTCCCTCCGAGATAGAACCTAGGAATAGTGCAAAGGCGGATGAGAGTCGTGTAGGATTCTGGTATCCTGAACTGCATAGCAATCAGGCATCAAGTCCGAAAGGAATGGGCACGGACAAGCACGTGTGCCTTCTCCTCTCCCAGAGCGGAACATCGATAGCTGACATGCCTCTCAGCGCTCATCCTTTGTGTCTGCATTTTTGGTATTCTCTCCCTCTTCTGGGGAGCTCTGTACAACAACAACGAGAAAGTCACCACTTTTCACGACTGAGTCGTCGACTTCGACGGTCTGATCGCACCGTACACCAACCGCACCGAGACACCCATCGTTGGTCCTATTGTCGTCGATGGCGCAAGAGTTTGGCAAGCCTCTCCTCTGCCACACATAACATATGTGATCACGTCTCCGGCGGAGTTTGACGGTGATCCCATGCAAGCCCACGATGCAATCGATCAGGAAAAAGCCTTCTCTGCCGTCGTCATCCACGCCAACGCCTCTACACTTCTTCGACAGGCTGTAGCCGCGGGAAATTCCTCCTACGATCTTTCCGGAGCATGCCAGACCATCTACGTCGAAGCCCGCGACCAAGTCGCCGTCGGCTCGCACATTGTTCCCGAACTAGAGAGATTCCTGACTTACGTGATATCCACCTTTGCCTGGTCCTGGGTTCCAGAAGCGATGAACTCCACAAATACCCCGACGACAATTCCTCCGCAAGGGGCTTCTCCTGCTATTGGCCTCACCACCATCAACCTCCGCCGCTTCTCTCCAACAACCGTCAACCCCGGCTGTCACCGTCGCGCTCATCTACCAGATCATCATCGCGTTTTTCTCTTTCGCCTTCTTTCTGCCGACGCACTTTGTATCCCCCTGCGCACCTGACTCCGAAGAATACCATCGTAAAGGTTCCTTCCACCAACTAGTCATGTGCAAATATGTCTCGACCGTTGCCGCCTACTTCGTTATGTCCCTCACCTCCTCGCTTGTCAGCCTGACGTTTCAAATCCCCTTTTCCTCCGATCTCCAACGTGATCACGGTGTTTTATCTGCTCGGGCTCGAGGCGGGAGTTAGCCGGTATGGTCTCTTCTACCCCTTTACCGTGTGGTTAAAATTAGTCGGATGGTGTTGTTCGATACCCCGCAGCAATATGTCGGTTGACATGTGGGGAGTCTTGGTTGCATGGTGAGGAGTTAATACGCTTCTTTCCGGGACGGCGGCGAGGCTCTTGAGATGGAAGTCGTGCAAGAGGTTGATGCTGGCGCCGAAAGAGAAGATGAAGGATCGAGCAGATCTGGGAAAGGATGGTCAACTACTGGCAAAGGATGAAGATGCTGGTGTGGTGCCCACGCAACAATAAGAAATTGGATTGGGCGGTATGATTGACAGATTAACCAAGGCATAGAGAACGGGACCTTATATTATATCTAATGATGCTTATGGATATGGACATTTGGTACTGTTGTCGGGGGAAAGGGGATTCAACGTTGCTGATCTCTGTTGTCTATCCCACATCTGTTCCTCACCTCTCTCCATGTCCGTGTTGATAGAAAAAAGGCAACGTGATTAATAAGTCGGTTTCTCCTCCCGAGAGAAGTCCCTTTTAGAGTCAGATCCGAGACGCAAGCCCCCAGTGTTGGCGTCAGCGTTGATGTCTCGGCGCTGGCCTTTCCCACTTCTGTTTGTGCTAGTCCGTCGTGCCTCATGATCATCCTCATGCGCCGAAAACCAGGACTTCGTGGAAATGCATGGATATGCGTCCATAATATTGTTGCCTGTTTTATTGGCAAGTCATCTTCCTGCCGAATGGGGGTGTTTCATGAACTTCCAAGGGACAAAATTGGTCCGAGATCTCGAGGTTTTTGTATCTTGAAGCCGAAGGAGTGGCCATGGGATTTCCGTTTCCGGATGGTGTCACCATTCAGTAACCAATCGACTGGAGCTGGTGGTGTTGGTGTTGACTGACGGGTTACCCGGCTTGCATTTTCCCGCTTATCTTCGCCACTGCCAATGACCCAAGACTTGACATAAAACCCCGGCCTTTTCGGTTCATTTACTGACCATTCTTTAGACACCGATTCTGTGTCATAGACACCGGCGTACAGTCTCATCAGCAGCACGGTGCGGCCATGGTGTCAATGGTATGGGACAGGCTGAGGCAGCAGCTGCGACCAGTCCTGCGTCCACGCATGACATGGAAATACCTCCTGTGCGTTGGCCTGGCCACATATTCGGTCTGCTGGTTCCTGTTCGCCTCGCCTGTATTCTCGTCGAATTATCTCCCTCCATATACGGGTCCTTATTCGGTGGGTGCCATAGATCTCGAAATCCCCACCGAACCACGAGTCATCCATGGTGCCAGATTCAAGGATTCGGGGCATCCAGCTTTTCAGGTGAGCGATAAATAAGATCATGAAGAAATATCCTCGCGGATTAACATGACGCCTCAACCCAGTTGGAAACCGTCCTTTTCACACTTTACTATCCCTCAAGCAAAGGGGTCACCTCTTCCAAACCACATCACCTCTGGGTTCCCCGGCCACTGGGGATCGTCGCCACAGGATATGCCCGTTTCGCACGCATAAGCAACTTCGTCACCAACACCATCCTCACCTGGGGTATGTGGGCTTGGGTGGGAGGCATCAAGATCCCCGCGCAAGTGGACGTGCCACTTCACGACTCTCCTGTTGTCCGGCAGTCCTTTGACCCTTTCAACTATCCCGTTGAAATCGACGATGGGTTCCCGGTCATGGTCTTCTCGCATGGCATGGCCAGTTCTCGGACACAGTACACGCAATATTGTGGAGAACTAGCGAGTCGAGGTCACGTCGTGGCTGCCATTGAGCATCGTGACGGCAGTGGACCGGGTTCGGTGATCATGCAGAACAATAAAAAGAACAGAAACTTGCTCCATTTCTCACTCGGCGATGTTCAGTAAGTCGTCGATGACCATTTCTTCCGCCCAGTTCCTCTTGTCTGACGGGATAATAAAGTCCTGATTCTGGCCTGGACTCTGAGACGTTCAAGCAAGCACAGCTTGATTTCCGCCAGGCAGAAGTCGAGGCAACGGTTCGTGTCCTCCGACATATCAACGAGGGCCGAGGGGGTCAGGTATTCTCCATGAATTCCCGCCGTGAAGGTCAGGATCTGCATCTATGGCAAGGCCGTCTTGCCATGAACAACGCGACCGTGGGAGGACATTCTTTCGGTGCGACTTTGGCGGTACGTCGATGCATTGATCCGCTGAAGCCTCATCTAACCAAATCGGTCAGCTTCAAACATTGAAGAACGGACCTTCAAACGCTCTCCCATTCCAGGGCGCAGTGGTTCTTGACCCGTACGGCTCCCCTTCTATATCCTATCTCGGTGAACCCCCATGCTAATCGAGCCTAGGGGCAAACGAAGCGGCCTTCTTAACCACGACGTCCATGTTTCGACTCTGATCATCCATTCCAACTCTTGGTCTAGTCGACATTCAATCTTCTTTGGCCGCCCGCACTTCGACGTTGTCAAGGATGTCGTACAGGGTATTTTGAAGAGAGGCAAAGATGCATGGTTCTTGACTTCCTGTACGTGACCCTGTCCGTATCGCTAATTCAGCTCCTCTCTTAATCTGTTTCCTAGTGGGTACATCTCACCCATCCGTGACGGATGCGCCGTTGATCGAGCCCTTGTTGCTCAGTTGGACCACCGGTTCAGCCATCGACGCCCACGAAGGAGTAAATCAATATGTCAAGGTGTCGGAGAAGTTCTTGCGTTATCAGTCGACGGGAGAGAAGGCGGGCTTGTTGTCCGAATGCGTCACTCACCCCGAGTATAATGCCGAAGACAAGAATAGGACCGACAGCGGACCTCTGCCCCGCAAGTTTTGGAAATACTGGCAAATCCATGTCGCTCCTCCAAGTTGTGGATCCAAGGAGTTAGGGGACTAAAACCAACTCTTCTGACAATGGAAGCCTCATTCTTGTCTTGTCCTGTCCTTGGACTGATACCGAGTAGGCTGTCCTTATCGGCGTGTCCCTCGTCCGTTCCCACACGGATTGACATTTTTCTGTGCTACAGGACAACCCACCTGACTCAGCAAATGGTTTGCTCGGTTTGGTTGGAAAGTATATGCAATTCTCGATGCGTCTACTTTTTTATCACCTCGACAACTCTACGATGATGAGGCCTCCAGCATCGGCAAGAGTCTCCGTAGATCGGTCCAAATTAGGACTCCATGTGCTCAAGGTAAGACGATATCTCAGCCTCCGAAAGCCTTGAAAAATGGTAGCGAAGCAAAAGGGGGACCGTAGGTGCTCTATATAAACACACGAACGAGGTGCTGGCTATAGCGGCACTCAGAGCGCTCAATGTGATCCATTTGACAACATGTGTTCACAGGTCTTTCAAACCAGATCCAGCAGAAACCATCAACGCCTTGTTCATTCCTGTCACCATCACAATCACATGCTGTCAGCCCAAAATGGAGCAAGCTTGTAAAGTAAACACACACGAATCCTGCTCATAACTCTGACCGCCACGGGCTTTTGAAAACACTCCAATACCAAACCACCATCCGGGGGGAAGTTTGTCGCATCGCTGTGCTCTACTGGTGTCTCCGTCTCAACAGAGAGTGGATTGACTTTGAAAACTAGCATTCGGAAAGAACCTAAGTAGAGACTATGGAAGGGATAACATCTTTTGGTTGGGGGTTTGCCTGAGTTCAATTCCCGCTTATGAAGGAAAGTGTTCGTCTTTTTTGCGAGGAAAGGCCTTTGCGCATGTTTATATATATGTGTGTGTATGTAGAATGCGGTGGTGGCGCTGAAAAGGACCTTCTGTGGTTGAGATGAATGGGAGCATTAGTAGCAGAAGATGTACCGCCCAGGCAAAGAGTGAGTGCAGGTCTCTGGGCTACGGTCTCAATATTGACAACGAGGCAAAATTTCTATGCTCGACTCAATGGATTGCATCCCATGAGTAAGCAAAATTCATTGATGGCAATCATGAGGTTGGCGACCCATGAACGGCACCATTTTGAACCTACTACATATGCGGCATACCTTCGTTCATCATCATGTCTTCCATCATATATCCCTGCGCTGAACGGTCTTTCATCGACATTTCTTAGTCCAGGAGAAGAAGCCAGTATACTAAGACTACGCTGGCTTTTACGGTCCCGACCCTTACGCTAGCCTTTGTTCGCCAAGAAACATTGAGATTGCAATGTGGCCCTTTGGGTTTCACGTCTGTCGAACTCCATAATTTGCTAGCTGTAGGTTTCCATTCATTGAGTCGACAAATTTTCTCGGTACTTTAGCCCTGTACGATTAATGCTTGACCTTCTCACTTGGAGTCCTCATTGGATATATTCCATGGTGATTCCAGGATGGGCAGCGGATATGAGACACGTTCGAGACGCGTGCATCCCTGGGGCCAAAACAGAAACTGCAACGGGTCATGTCCTTGAGGAGTCTTTTAGGGTGGTCGGCTCAACGATGAGTGGGACATTGGGCTCCACCTTCTCTTTTTTTGCCTTTCTACGCCTGTTTTTACTATGTCTCTCGTTCTTCTCTTCTGAGCGGTCTATTTCCTTGATATTTTGATATCTTCCCTTCACTTGCTCTTTTATCGGGGTGAGGCAAGGTCGGTGAGCTTTTCAGCGACCATGGCGATGGGAATAGAACTCTCGACCTTTTTCCTACTCCTCTGGATACTTCCAGTCCGTAGCATCGAAGTCACCATTACCTCGTCGTGTACGAGTCTCTGCAACGGACCAAGTCTGACAGTGTACACGGACCTATCATGCAGTGATCATGAATACTTTGACTCGGATAAAGGTGATACGATGCGTGACTGCCTTACATGCGAAAGTACGAGCTCAGCCGATAATGGAGACCTGAGCACGCCGCAGAATAATGATATTTATTGGTTTTTATGTAAGCAGACGTTACTCCTCCCTTTTTACTGCTGTACCTGAGCCTCAATCGGGATCACCGCCGGAGGGGGGGGGCTAATGTCGAAAGCCTGGTATACATACGTACAGCGCTTGCGATACGTATAATGTACGTGCATAGAGACTAACATAACGCAAGTCAACATGAAATACACGCTCCAATACTGCTTGTTCCAAGAGAATGGAAGTACACCATCTTTACCCGACTGTGAAGTCGACTGTGCCGGCTTGTACCCGGTCCTCACGACCTCGTGGTTCTTGCCTGCTCCGGCAAAGCAATATGAATACTGCTCGATCAATGATATGGCCTTCCCACAATATGCAGATACATGCGCATCATGCCTACAAGCGGGAACTGGATCTGTGGTGTTGGGAAATTGTAAGTTCAAACGCTATGCATGAGAGAACCCTCGCCCGTGAAACATGCTGATGGCCATTTATTTTTATAGTTCTCAATGCAATGCAATCGGCTTGTGATAGTAAACCTGATGCCACGTTGGGAGAGATGGTACCATTGCAACGAGAGCTGTTCGATACCACTACTGTGAATCCATCTGCTGCTACGTCAATGTCAACATCTTCCGCCTCCGCTCCAGCTTCTACTTCAGTTTCTGAATCAGCTTCTGCAACCGAATCTACCTTTTCCGCAACAACGGCAGCTGCATCATCGAGCTCTACGACGACCGCAGCCCCAACATCCGACTCCTCAGGAATCAGCGCAGGTGCAGCAGCTGGCATTGGTGTTAGTTGCGGCCTTGGCGCCATCGCTATCATCGGCGGTCTATTCTGGTTCATCTTGACTAGGGCCCGTCGCCGGAACCAACGGAACAAGTCAGGCTGCGACTTCAAGGACGCTAAAGAGATGCCTTCTCCATTGTATGAACCGCTGACGCGGACCGCCTTAAATCGTGCTTATGCTCAGCAATTGGCGAGCTCCGAGGTACATGAAATTGACTCGACACAGAATGTCAAGGTTTGGTCAAATGAGTTGGATGGTCGACCTGTGCGCGGAGAATATCGTTGATGAACTGTTTTTGATCTCAAGAGGATTTCCTAATGTACCTCGTTGCAGCGCCGATGCCATTCAAAGGGAACATGATAGCACAGGCTGCTCTTTGCCAGCGTCCATCAAGGAATGGATTGAGAGCCAGCATACCTGAAGAGAGATCAGGAGGATTTTTGGCGCCTCGCAAGGTCATCCTTCGACATACCGAATGGGAGGACCCACAACAGGGGAGTCCGGGCCACGAGAAGAAGCGCGGCTCCGAAACCATCTCTGGGCCCGATTTGACAGCTCAGAGCAAGGCATTTGACTTGAGATGGAGGAAAGAAGAGAAGGACGACCCGACGGCGACACTGTCCAAGTAAATGGATGTACCTGATGGACGCATGAAGAAAGGCAATAATCCTCGTCCTGTTCATACACACGTTCATATTGACCATTTTCACAATTTAATACTCTTAACCAAATTGACCTTAATCCCCGTCTTCTCCCCTCCATAACCACCTCGGCCTTCTCCCCCTTTATACACCTGCCTGATCGATCCTAACTTCTTCATTTTCTCATCGAATTTCTTCCTCTTCTTCACCCTTGGGTTCCTCACATCCCTCTTTCGTTTGGGAGCAAGTCCTTTATTCTTCTCGATTGCATAGCTGATTTTCCTCTTGCCATCTTCGCCAATCTGCTCTTCGGCATACATACGCGCACCCTCCTTCGCGGCCTGGACATATGCCTCTGCTCGAGCCTGTTTGTCTGCTTTCTTCTGCTTATTCTGCGCGACGAGAGCATTGTAATATTCGTTCGCCTCCGAGTTGAGTTGGTGGCTGGCAACCATGTCATCATCGTCTTCGTCATTGTTGTCGTCGTTTGCATCATCTAAGACTTCTGCGCCACGAGCGTCGGATTTGCCTCGCTGCTCGGCCTCGCGGATTAAGCGGTCTTGTTTGTCGCGGAGACGTTCTTTGTATGGGATGTCGTCGTCGCCACCTGCTTGGCGGGATGCGGCTCCTCGTTTGTTGGATTTCTGGGTGATTTGTGAAGTGTAGAAGTGTAAGCTCTTCTTTCTTCGTGCCTTTTCTGCGGCTTCTTCCTGTGTGAGAGGGGCTTCGTCTCCGAAATCCGACTCTTCTCCCACAGTGTTTTGCATGGATGTGGTGAGAAGCTCCTGTAGCTCATTTCGTTTGGCCTTGAATTTTCTGGATTTCCTGGGTTTGTTTTCTGCGGAGACGACTTCCACGGGTGGCGGTAATGGTGATGGTGATTTTCGCTTTGACGTGGCCTTTGCCTTGGTCTTCTTTCCGGGAGGAGGCTGGGTAGTCTTCCGCGCCACTTCGTCTCGGTATTGCTCCTGGGAAACCGGTTTGTCCTTTGGGATGACTTGACCTTCGACTGGTCGAAGTGTTTCAGCGTCCTGCCACAATTGTCGACATCGAACAAGATTGTCCATGACAGGATGTTCACGCAACTCTCCAGGTGCTAGAGCCATGCCTGACTTGGAAGATGTGAGAAGTGCCAGATACATTGCAATGGAGCCCAGATATGCAGACAACGCACGAAACTTGGTTAAAGGAACCAATTCCAATTTCTGCCCGCTTTCCTGGCCTGATACGGCAGTTTCAGCCATCTTTTTCAATTCCGGATAAGTGTTCTGTAACCGAAGGAAGTCTTTTGTCAATGGCTCGAATTCGGGATATCGGGTCTTGAGCATCTGCAATCGCTCCTCCGCTGTGGCTGATTCCGGTATTTGCAATTCAGGAAGTTTCTCAACAGCCGGGCGTTTCTGTTGTGTCTGTCGGCTTTCTTCGATCCATGCGCTCTCGTCGAAACCAAAGTCAGCCTCTGTCATTGCCCTCAATTGTTTCTGTTGTAATCGTCTGGCCTCTGCCTCTTCCTCGAGCGCATCCGCCTCTGTCTCGATGACGTCTGCATTGTAATAATCTGCTCTTGAAGTCCCCCAGTTTTGGTCGTCTTCGTCTTCATCACCTTGATTGTCTACAACAGCTTCATCTTCTGATTCGTCCTCGTCTTCGAGATCTTGAAAGACTTCTTCATCTGAGGGTTGTAAACTTTGTTCCTGCTCTTCTAATTTCCGCCTTCTTTTCGCAGCCGGTTGTTCGTCCACTAGGATCTTGTCTCGCCCCGCAAAAAATTCATCTTGGGAATCGTCAAAATTATCGTTAGGGTCGTAAATGTGCTCATTGTGGGAAGTGACAGGCAGAGAATTCACTCTGCCAGCCTTTCTTTTCCTCGTCATCACTGGATGCGGTGCAGAGATCTTTGGAGATGCTTCAAGTCGTGTTCAAATTGTTTGGTATCGGCCATATTTTTTCGAGGAATCTGCGGTCACGTGGAGGAGCCCAGGAACCTTGCATTGAATCACGCAAAGCCAAGCACTGCAAGGCTGCGATTTTGTCCCTTAAAGTTCTTCCCCCTTTCTATATGTCCTTCCCTTTGCTTGCCTGCCCATATCACAACATAGTCCTCGGAGCCTAGATGCGCGGCGAGGAACCCGAGAGAGGCCCTTCTGTCTCCATCAGTGATACGCTTCTTCAACGCGCAAAAGTTGTACTCGCTGCGAATTATTCCAAAATGATGGGCATGTTCCAAAGTCTTATTGTTACCTTTCAGCCTTGTGCTTCAATATGGGCCGAACGTATCTCTCTCCGAGACACATACGTTGGGATTTCGTGTCCAAGGATATAAAACACCTGTTCCTTGCATTGCAGGGCCTTTCGAATCCAAATATGGCAACGAGGAACATCTTTATGAGCCGAATTCGTGGGGTTCCTTGACACACTGTGTTTCACAAATCGTCCAAGGAGGAGCAGCGCAATGTTATAGGCCAGCTAGGAACCTTCATCAACGAGCTTCGTGTAAACTCAACCCCCCTGGGGTCCTCCAAACCTGCCTGCGTTGGCGCAATTAGCTCGAACCCTGTTCACGACGAACGCGTCCGCGCCAGGCCATTTGGTTCTTTTGATAATGTCTCGGAGTTTGATAAGGTGTTTAGTGACTGGATCGAAGAGAAAAGCGGTCATACAGAGCTGGATATGATCATTGAAGCAGAGAAAACTCGAGATTTATTCCATTCGAATGACGCAGGGGCACCTTTCATTCCGAAATGTGCTTGGTCAAGGCCAGGAAGTGGCCGGCATTGTCGACTGAGAAACAGCAGGGTGGTTGCCTGTCCATTGGAAATAAGCTGGCGCCTCCTCTTCCGTCTTTGTTTGCACTGATCTGTGGCCAAGGATCGATGAGTTTCTGGATAGTTATCCAGACACAAGAGAGACTGAGCAGACGCCACGAAGATTGTCCAACATGATGTGACTAAGCTGCAACCTCCTGTACTATCACGATTTGCCAGCCAGGCACAATTGTGGTAGATTTACCGTCCAGGCACCTCAGCATTGGCCACGGATTGACAGATCATGGTGCGCTTACAAAATGTGAGACGAAGGTTAGTTATGTTCGCCCTCTAACATACCACCATTCTTTCCTTTCCTTCGATCAGATCGTACTTGATACTCCTTGGTGTTATCTGGAATCTACCTTCCATCTTTCTTCTCTCATATTCGACAGACATTCTCCTTCGACGGTATCTCAATCTACGACCCCGGTTCCCAAGGTTTTATCCTTTACCGCTTGAGCTGGCGCATTCATTGACCCAAGTTGGACATCTTCCACTGGGATCATCTCGAACGATGGCGACGCGTTGCAGCAAGGCCTCCAAGTGTCTTGCGAGGGGCTTCAATTTTCGCGATCAACACCCGCACAAGAAGTATCTGAGCTGTCACAGACACCAGGGTCCTCTTTTCGAAAGTCCCATGTGTCCTTCGTTCTGCGGTCTCTTTTCGCACGCCAATTGGCCACATGATATTGGTCTGTCTCCGCTTGAAGTCTCCAATTATCTTTGTAGGTGTCGGGGAGTCATCGCATACATGTAGAGTCGATCTTTGTAGGAAGACATGGTCATGGTCCTTCAGGATTGGTCTCAATAGGCAATAATGGTTGTTATTTCTCGACTACTCTCTGACAGCGAAGGCTATCCAGGAGTTATTCTCTTGATATGGGCCGGGCATCCTCCTTGTATAAGTTTTCAGTCAGGCAATGGGTTGAAATTTCATGCTACTACTGTACCATAAAAATACCTTTCGCATTCGGTGATGCGTGACCTGCCATTCCTATTGGGAACTATGGAGACACCAAGGAGTGGGGGTTAGACAAACGGACTACTGTACGATACTTTTCAAACGCCCCGTGGAAGGATGGATCCTTGTCAAATTTTAGCGCGACTCCAGCTGTCGAGCATGGCCCTGTAATCATTTCACTTCCTCTCGTTCACAAAATCTATAATAAATCTCTATGTTGACGACTACTATATTTACTTTCGTCGCAATACTCACTGTGAGCTTGTTCGTCTTCAGAATGCTTTTCTCTGGCAAAAACCGCTTCCCAATCGATGGACTGACTGCGATCGTCACTGGTGGATCTCAAGGACTGGGCCTGTCCATAGCCCAACAGCTCGCATTGAGAGGAGCCAATGTAGTCATCGTGGCCCAAGACAAGGGAAAGCTGGAAAGGGCAGTCAGTACCATCCAAGCACGCGCTGCAAGACCGCAGCAAAAGTTCCTCAATCTCTCCTTCGATCTTCGTTCTCCTGAATCCGCACCCGAGATCCTCACCCAAGTATCACAATGGAACAATGGGCAACCTCCCGATCTTATTTTCTGCTGTGCCGGAAACTGCCAGCCATCTTTCTTTGCAGATGCAAGCATTGACACGCTTCGAGGACAAATGGATACAATTTACTGGTCGTGCGCATATATGGCTCACGCGGCTTTGAACCTGTGGAAGAAACCTTCGTCTCCAGAGAACAGGACATCGACGGCCCGTCCCACTCGGCATATCGTTTTCACTTGTAGCACACTGGCATTTTTCCCTGTGGCAGGTTACTCGCCATATTCTCCGGCGAAGGCAGCGATGAGAGCGTTGGTGGACGGTTTAAATCAAGAAGTGGCAGTATACAATGGTGCACGGCAAGGACCTGGTCCTGCTCCAGATGCAGATATTGCAGTTCATTTATTGTGTCCTATGGGCATTCTCTCGCCGGGTTTCGAGAATGAGAACGGAATGAAACCAGAACTCACGCTTATGCTGGAGAAGGACGACAAACCACAACAACCCGATGAGGTGGCTAAGGTTGCTCTCCATCGACTGGAGGCAGGAAGGTTTATGATCACTACAATGTTCCTGGGACACCTTATGCGTGGATGCGCTATGGGTGGCAGCATCCGACAAAGTCTCAGCGATGTCTTTTGGAATTGGCTCGGATCCATGGTTATTATTTTTGTCGCCCCGGACTTTATTGCAAAGTGTAAAAGCTGGGGCAAACAGAAAGGAATGAATGCGACTGTTGCAGCCAAATAATTTGGGAGACGCCCACTCAACTGGACGGACTCATCCTCTATACCTTGTTCCAGCATGAAATCAAGAGCAGACGCCCAGTCCTCCTTTGTCGGTGCCTGATCAAAGTTCTCATTCATAAAGATTCGTGTGGACCATTCTGCAGCATCCAGAGCTTGAGCATCTTGTCCACTCAAAGCAGAACATATTTCTACCAAATCTTCACCTTTTGAGCTGGTCAACTCAATTCAGTCGGTCGATCAGCGACCTTAGCTGGAACTCCATCATGGCAGCACATTGTCTTCCATAGGAAATATCACTTCGACTGGGCCGAATGTTGTAAAGATAGGTCACTTGACTGCCTTTATTTCCCTCATTGCAATCCTCTGTTCCGTCGACTCGGACTTGTATATGCGCGAAGGAGATGTTTCTGAAATTATTGAATAACCCCTAAGTCAAAGATCTCGTGGAGGTGAGTGGCTACTTGCGTCCTTTGGAGCTTCAGATCCGAGGGACAACAATTGACAGAAGGCCCAGCGGCCAAAACCAGCACCGTCACAGCTGTCAGGAACTTTGCCAAACTAGTCAATGACCACCAAGCTCTTTCTCGTACGCGACTTTAGTGCTTATGGCAATCTGCTGCATATCTATCACGAATGCCGTTTCTCGGATGGGAATCCCAGTCAGGATTTTATCCGTAATACCGATGGTGGCGGATTGGATGGTAGGGATGATTCGATCTGGGTCATGTAGACAGCCAGAGCGACTTGTTTCTGGTAGACTGACTTCCCTGAATAGTTAGGACCGGTCAACAATTACATACTTGGACCCTCCATCGCATTATCATCTTGACCACCTCCACCAACGATGAAAGTGTCATTCGAAACAAGAGATGGAACGCTCATCTCCTGCAACAAATGCCTTCCACCTCTGATATCGATAATATTGTCTTCTGTGATTGCCGGGCGGGTTAATTTGTATTGATGAGCCGCATGAGCGATGTTATTAAGCAGTCAGATGCGGCAATGAGACGTTGTTCGTCCTCGAGAACCTTCTGTGCCAGATTATAGGCAGTCTCCATCTCCAAGCCGCAGATTACAGTGTAGACATGGCCGAGTTCGCCGTCCATTTTGTGCACTGAGGCATCTTTGAAAAAGACATTGCCTTCCGTCGTGAATTGACGCTCCCAGCCCTCGATGAGAACCCGATACGTTGTGTTCAGAATCGTACTCACCGCTGTCCATAAGAGACACCTGTCGCCGGCACTGTAAATCTGGCGTATTTGACATACAGTGTGGATGAGGAAGAAGGATGACCGCAGTCGGCGGAAGGTCGGTTTTCACTGTAGACATTCAGTGTGACATGACATCGGTACGTGGTCCTTGGGGTGTTTAGTGACCTGGAGTCCTCCATCAGCCCCCTCTTCCGTGAATAGAAATCTTTTCTTCCACAGCAATGTCATATGTAGGGCCGACCTTCCCCTTCTCTCTGATATTGACTGCTATGATGACCTGATCGAGAAAACTACCTTCATCTGGGCACTTGGAGTCTGGTGGGATGAGAAAGTTCGTTATGAGTAAGGCTCCTCCGATTGGGAAACGGTTGAGTGGCGAGAACAAGGATCTGACGGGAGTAATAGAGGGCGCTCTCAGGGGTTTCTGCGTATCTAGGTTGATTTCATTGACGTTGGGAGTGACTGCGGGTTGCACCCGAGTGGACATGCCCCTGCACCCGGTATAGTCTGTGAAACCGGTCCACTTGACCGTCATGGAGAGGATGACATTTTGGACTGTCATCCCATGATAGGGAAAGCCAGCATCAGAAAAGAAACAGTAAATGATACGGAGTGGCATTGAACAGGGTAACTAAAAGCCTTTTCAAGGCCGGCGCGACTGCATTCTCAATCAAGTACGCACGTAGTAGTTAAGCTGTAGCGCGAAAACGTCGACAAAAGAATTAGAATCAAGGAATCAACAAAAGAAAAACCATTATCAATGCTTCTCGGCTGCAGCCGAGATGAATCATATACTCATCTTCGTGATGCTGTCTTTCACGGTCCATTAGCTGGTATCTATCGTGGGATCTGCTCTCGTTGGCTCTTCATGATTCAACTCTGAACTTCTCCATCCTGCCATCCTCCTACAATTCGTCCACCTTCGGCTCTCTTTACCCGACACCACATGCCCACTTCCTCATCAGTAATGAACTGCCATAGCACCAAGGGCCAGCTCTTATGGCAAGGTAAAGGCTCGTAGAATTCTCGAGCAAGTTCATAGACTTTGGGCAGTCTAGTCCAAGGAATGGCAGGGAAGTCATGATGCTCGTTATGATAGCCGACGTTATAGGTCAGGACGTTGAGGGGGCCATAGTATGAATATGTTTCGGGGATTGGCACATCCTTTAGCATTTGGCCATTTTGAAGAGTTGATTTCGCAAAGACGTAGTGCTCGGAAATGAAGTGAGCGGCGCATGGATGGAGAGATCCAGCGAAGAATGAGCTCATCAGGAGGTAGACCAGGGCCTTGGGCCCCAAGCATTGGACAATAATGACATCGAAGACAATCTGTGCGGCAATATTGCAGTAGTGGATTGGACCAAAAGGTATCTGGTAGACCATCATCGGTCTCAATGCGTAAAACAGAATCTGGAAAGTACAAAAGAAGGCCTTTCCAAAGACCGAGTCCAAAAGGATCGCTTCAAGGGCCGTAGGCAGATCCGTATCCACCCCATCGACGCCCAAAGACTTGTGATGAGTCAAATGATATTGTCGAAAACCAGCAGAATATGGCAATCCGATTGGAAGATTTGCAAATATGGCGAATAATCTGTTATATATTGGTGTGCGAAAGGCAAGGTTGTGACTGATCTCGTGAATAGCAAGGAAGAGGTTCTGATTGGCAGTAGCTCCAATAACGTAGGCTGTAAGGAGGTATGGCCATGAGAAGACAGGCGAGTCTTTCAGCAGGTTGGCACAGGTGATTTGGAGGATAACGACGAAGAGCACCAGGTATTTGGTGAGTGGTTCTGGGCCACACAATTGCAAGACTTCTTTGTGTGCTTTGATGATTGCTTGCCGCCGGGTCCGATGTGGTTCTTCGGTGTAGGTCCAGAAAAATTTGTCTTCCGGTGACTGTGGTCCACGACGTGACTCTTCCCTTCTTAAATTGCCTTCATTCTTGGTAGGGGTCGAACCGATTGCTCGTCGGGTTCTGCTGATGGACTGAATTTCGGTAGCAGTAGACATGATGAATTCTCAATGTGAGAACAGTCAGCGAGAGATGCAGAAGTCGAAGGAGGGTGGAACGATAGCCATCATCGTTCCTGGAGACGAGTAGAGGTGAATCGGGCTCACCGGTTTGTCAGGAGACCAAATATGCGGTGACGGAAGAAATGGCATTGGAGGGGGTGCAGTTATCCGGGAGGGTGCAGGCAACCCTAAAAAATTGCAGCCCTCCGGCATCTAATGTTCAATCACTCTCTGCACGTGCAGGTAAAAGGCTCTGTTCCATCTAGCCATGGATGTTCTAGATAGTAACATCTCATTTGTCCCAACTCTTACAGTATATATCTTCTGGGTAAGATCTCTCTCATTTACGATGCATTAAGAGGGTTCTTATTATCATGCTACCAGGGCAATGGATAGTCCCTTTCATTCATCGTCAGCCCAGCCCATAATGGTTCTGTTTGAATCCTGACATGCAGCTTGATTGAGCCCCAGTCGTAAACGCCATCGCCATGAGAACTTTTCATTGGAAAATGGAAAATGCAAAGAACCTACTTCACAATCAAGCTGGCACTGGGCACGAGTCTCAATTCCTTCAACGTCTCGCCAAAAAATTCCTGGTTGAATACCTTCTTGGGGAAGTTCTGGGTGAAGCTCTCAACATCTCGTCCGGTCTCATCTGCTACCGCTGAAGCAACCTCAAACAATGTCGTTTCCACAGGGAAGGTTTTCATGATATTCCCAGCCGATGTCTGAAGTCGCAATCGAGTCTCTTTGTATTCCGAGGCTGGTTTGGACACAGTTGGAGCGGCCGCCGGAGGTGGTGTCGCTGTCACGGGTGCAGCCATTCCTGCTCTCAGAGCCTTCTCTCTCTCTGCCTTTAACCTGCGTTCTTCCTTGTCGGCTGCAATTTTGGCTTGTATCCGCCTTTTTGCTTCGATGTCCTCTTGTTTCTCGCGCTTCTTCTTCTCGGCCTCTTTGATCTGCTCCTTGACCTTGAGCTGTTCCTTCATATCCTCCGTCTCCTTTGTCTTCTTCCGACTGATTTGTTCATTTCGCTTCTGATCGATCTTGTCCTGTTCTGCTCGCGCGGCTCTTTTGGCTGACAGTCTTTCTCGAAGTTCTGCGAGTTTCGCTTTCTTCTCTTCCTCGGTCAAGGGCGCGATCTCTTCGGTGGACTCTGAAAAGTCTGTGTGACCTGATTTGGAGGCGTGGAATTCGGCTTGAGCAGTTCCTCTGAATTTCTTCCCGCACTCGTTGCACAGTAAACTTTTCGCCTCTTCAGCTGCTTCGGCCGCCTTTGCTTCGTCGGCAGCTATTTTTTCGGCTTTCAGTTCTTCGATGGACTTTGATGAGTTTGCGTCTAGCCAGTCGATCGCATCTGCCACTGACCCGTGTTCAGTATATGTTGTAACCAGGCAGAAATGTCAAGAATCCTTACAGCCACCAGAATTCTTTAAAGCCAGCTCACTTTTTTCTTTGTCAAACCCCATCATGATCAACTGATCGAGATCTGAGGTGGCCATTTCGCCTTCAGTCTCTGAAAACTGAGTTGCGGTTGAATCGAGAATCAGGGCCTTCGGGAGGGGGATGACGGCCAGACTTTTTCATATGAGATTGGCCGAGTCAAGACAAAATGACAAGTCTGCAGGAGTGTCAGAGAGCGAATGAGATCGAGTGAGTGATGGTCTGTACGGCGACGGCTTTCAAAGACGTAGTAATGTTGGCCTTGTCTATGTGTCTGCAGCAGAGACCTGCAAAAGTGATATAATTGCGGGACACAATCGGCCGCAGCGGTATGTTGATCATCCTCAGTGGCCAAGAACTTGAAGCGCCGCCAGAAGCTCCTGGCCTTAGTGCCTACAGACCACTCACTGTACACGTCTTCCCAGTCCACGAAACTCCTCATCCTCCGTCATACGTACACAGTGCCCCCTGCTGAACAATCGAATCGGCCACTTCCACCTCTCTACCAATCGAGCACCACACATTTATTCATTGCGATCATAACCTCTCCAAGTTTCGCTTCCTCGATCATCCAATTGCCACAACACTCACTCGCTCATACCAAAGCTGCGCATCTATACCGATCCACTTCCATCATGTCCGTTGACCTCCAGCCATCTGAACTGGGCTTCAGGCGTCAGTGAATCCAGTGTCGAAGAGCACAAGACGGGAGGAAGGCTTACATTTCAACAGGCCCCTTTAATCGCGAAGTCACCGAAATACTCAAGCTCACAAATTGGAACGGTGCTCCTGTTGCTTTCAAAGTATGGATCGCTCCCCGAATCTATGCTGCGCATCTACTAATGACCGGTCGAACAGGTCAAGACTACTGCCCCCAAGCAGTGAGTGTTCTAGCTTATGATCAACTTGAGTGAATTCTCTAACGCGGACTAGATATTGCGTGCGACCAAACTCTGGCATGATTCAACCCAATGATACCGTCGAGGTGCAAGGTAGGATGAGAATCCCCCCCATTTCACTTCAAGCTTTTTAGCTTACGATTCCAGTTCTCCTACAAGCCATGAAAGAAGATCCTCCTCTAGATGCCAAATGTCGGGATAAATTTCTTGTTCAATCCGTCCTGACCTCTCCTGATCAAGACCCAAATGTCACAACTCTCTGGCAAACAGTTGAGAAGACTGCGAAAAGTTCGATACAAGAGCGAAAGATCCGCGTCAATTTCCTTCCTGCTGCAGAGGCTCCAACACCAAACGGTGTCTCGTCTCATGAAGAACAACCACCGGCATACTCTTCTCCATCTTCGCAATTTGGTTCTCCGGCTCCACAATCCTCATCCGTCACACAGGCCGCTGAGACCGCCAAAACATCCGCCGCAAATGCCGCTGACGCGAGCGGAGTTACTGCTGTCGCAGCGGCCGCAGCGGCCGTTTCCCATGCTATGCCAATGTCGAGCGAAGAGTTGAAAGAACAATTAGCAGCCGCAAAGGACCAGATCCAAAAATTGACCAGCCAATTGCAAGATACACAATCCCGACAAAGGAAGGTTCAAGAAGCAGGCGAGAAGGTCCAAACAGTTGTTCAACAAAGCCACGAGACGGGAGTACCCCTACAGATTGTGGCAGGGCTCTGCTTGCTCAGCTTCCTCATTGCTTACCTTTTCTTCTGAGCGATCAGTCAGAGCCAAAATGAAGACACAAATGATTCGGTTGGGATATTCCAACTGCGTAATTTGACACAGCCATGAACGAGTCAATTGTGGCGTTATAGCGCCATACGATCGGTGAAGAGATATGCCAGGGGCGGCGTGAATGGATTGCTGGTGTCCCGAGGCTAATCTGGCTCACGCTGAAGGTTTCCAAACCATGGATTACCTTGTCTAATGTCTAGACGCGGAATCGAACGGTATCAGGTCAATGCCTCGTGTCAATGAAGAGGTGGCTGATGGGCGAGATTGAGGAACTGGCGCGGTGTTTTTCTATCCACCTTTTTCTTGAATTCTTCATGTAAGCGTAGAACAACCCAGAGCCAATGTGAGTTTTCAAAACAGAAAAATCAAGTACGGAATTTCAAAATGGACTAGACCGAAGGGTAGGTCATTTCCCGTTGTCCATCCAATATTCCATATTCATATGCCTCCGGTCTTCGCCGTTCGGACCTCTCCTAGAATCCCCCCAGGAAGGGAATAATAATGATAGTCTTCATTGGCGAAGAATGAGGCCCTTTCTGGAATAGATGACAACGCGTAAGGAGCCATGCTCCTATCGCAAGGCTGTTCACATCGGCCCAAACAAACTATTCAAGCAAGTCACATGATCATAACTGCGCGGTGAACTTTTCACAACCTTTGAGCTTACTACTTGCACTGCTAGTACCACACCCAAGTTTTTCACTCGAATCTGCGACCCCAACTCCGTAACACTTTCGACTCTCATCCGCCCACCATGTCTTCGGAAATGGACATTGACCATGCACCTCCCACGTCAGAGGGAGGGAAGAACGGCAGCCCACAAACTGAGACGAAGCGAGCCAATGCGGGTACCGAAGCACTCACTGCTCAGAACGCCGTTGCAGTGCGCAGCATTGAAGGTTGGATCGTGATCGCGACCAATATCCATGAAGAGGCTACTGAGGAGGACATCACGGACCTATTCGCCGAGTACGGGGACATCAAGAACTTGCATCTCAATCTAGATCGGAGGACGGGCTATGTCAAGGTACGTGTGAATCCAAAGTTGTGGTGGATGTAGAGTGAACTGAAACGGGATGACACATTATTCTCTGCCAAAGCATCAAAAAAATAGAAAAAAAAAACCTCCTATTTCCAATGGCTAACACCCAAAATCTTCCTCCCACTACAGGGTTACGTCCTCATCGAATACCCGACCCAGGTCGAAGCCGCAACAGCTATCAAGGCGCTGAACGGGGCCAAACTTCTCGATCAGACAATTTCCGTAGACTACGCTTTCGTCCGGCCACCTCCGAAGGATAAGGGTCGGGGGGGAGGAGGTTCAGGCGGAAAACCCAGTGATCGTCGCGGAGGTCGTGGAGCTAGAAGCCGCAGTCGAAGCAAATCAAGAAGCAGGAGCCGGAGTCGCGATCGAAACAGACGCAGAGGCGCCGACGATGATAGAATGGAGAGGGATTGAAGGCAAATCGTACTTGAACCTTGAAGACATGGCCACGCAAAAGGAGCACTACTGCTGCTTTACGACACGGATTCGGGGTTGGAATCGAACTTCACTCGGTCACAAAGGGGATTGATCAACGAGAAATCAATGACTCTCTCGAGACAATTGCTGTCAAGTCGTACGGGGGATCGAGAACATCAAGGCAAAATGAAAGGGAAAGACGATCCCAGAATCACATCACCTTGTTTGCGGCCACGTTGAATACTATGCCGATACAGGATCGGCTTCATAGCGAGACATAAATCAGGTTCGTTTGCCCTCCTTTCTTACCTAGACTTAGAACACTCTACTGACGAATACACTACAGCATGTAACTTTGTCCAACCTCAGAGATCATTTCTGCCACGCCCACCACTCTGCTGAGTTAGACACGAGCCGAGTCAGGCATGCAGCTCTTTGATGGTCATCCAAGACGACCTACCCTCTACGCTGCATCAATGTCGACCCTCTCAGACCCAATTGCACGACAAATTCTTTTGGAGACAAGGCTGACGCCGGCGAACGGTCGACTTCCGGCACGTCGTAGACGTAACGTGCTCCAGGCTCGGGATGCCTCAGCCATCTCTCTAGACGGATACTAAAGGGTGCATTGTTGTCAAGCCAAACGCCACCCCTTCTGGAACAGATCACTAGAACACCAACGGGTCCTTCCCAACCGGTATGAAAACCCGGTACATTCAGACGGAGTTCTCCTGGACTCTCAATCGCCGTGTTACTCACAATACAATGGCCGCCTCCTGAACTTGAACCGACTCTCCCCCTCCGCTCAAACAGCACGACAACGCTCAACTTTCCTATCCCCACCCCTTTCCACCGTCCTTCGCCAACACTCCTTCGCAAAGGCGTCATGCTTCTTCCGATGCAGGTGGTTCAATTTTCCTCACCACTTCGAAGTCGGTGATCTCATGCATTCTTCGGGATCTAAAAGGACAATTGGGCCTGGCGCAAGACGACACGTTCGAAACATTGGAGCAATGATGGCTCGCGAAACAGTCGTGGCGGCGACAGTCTGGGCCAATGCTGCATGCTGCCTTGCGGGCCATATGCCGAAGTACCAGATACATACCGTCCGTGATCTCTTCGTGATCGTGTGGACATCTTGGATTGTTGCATTTCGACCTCAAATGATGTTCATTGCACAGCCGGCGGGTCTTTGTGCGACGGTTGAAAAGTTCCTGGTCCTCTTTCGTAGGTCGAGGGAGTACGAGGTCAATACGTTCATCAAGCTTGTTGAGAGCGATGGGTGATCGAATTGGACGTTGATTGGGGTTGGGGTCAGGCTCCGTCGGAACTTTACGAATAAATGGTGATGCCAAGAAACCGTTGGATTTGGGAACCTGTTTCGGCGTTGGCGGTGGTGCCGATGCAGGGGTAGGTAAGGGCGAAGAAACATGAGTTCGAGCCAGTTTTTGCTCGTCTTGAATCATGTCGTCCCAGGATCCTTCGAATTGTCGAGGAATTCTTCTTGACGTACGTGGAGAATGATCAGAAGACCAACGATCATTTCTCCTCGCTGGCCTCTGTGATTGCTCGATTACGCCATTGGATTCCCCTTGGGGATATGTAGGCGATGGGGAAGCCGCTTGGTTCCTCCATATATTTGTATCATGACTTTGCTGTTGATAGCTTCCCTTTCCATTTAATGTCGTGTCTTCTTCACCCCAGGGACCTTGAATAGGAGCCGGAACGTATACATTCCCGGTCGTGCTGGTCTCCCAGCTCTGTTCGACCGCTTTGTCAGACTTAGAAGAGGAGTGATTAGAGCCTTGGAGCTTCACAACACCAGCACCGCTTGGATCTTCTAGATGGTTCGCTTTGCTATTGGTATCATCGTATACATGACCAATATTCTCTGGCTCGATGGCCGAGGAAGGTAACTGCTGTTCAGTACTGGGGATCTCCATCTCTATATTTGGGTTGGAGGAGAAAGCATTGGTATCTTGGGTTGCCGCGGTAGAAACAATATTTGGGACTGGTATTGGGCCATATGCATGGTCTTCGCGGGTATGATTGGTGTCTTCTGCATCCCAGGCTTGGCCACTGATATTTTGGAAAACATGCGAACCAAAACCAGCACCTGACGGGATACTTTCCAGAGCCGAAAACTCGACGGTGTGAAATGGTGAGTTGAACCCAGAAGGAAAGCCGTTCGCTGGCCGTGTCAGAGAGGTCTTTCCCTTTGTGCATTCATCATCACTGTACAATTGCAGGATTTTGTAGTACTCGGATTCGTGGCCGAGAGCCAGAAATAAATGCCTGCAATGACAATTCTCGATGTGCAATTCGTAGAATTCTGAAATCGGTCAGCAGAGCTTCACTGCATCGTCGTGGGGAGTCCTTACGCTTCAACTTTGCATCCACAGCCTCATGGCCGGCACCACAATCACTGACTGTAAGGCATGGCTCTGTCTTGCAAATATCTTGGATGAAAGTCCAGAGTTGGTCGAGCTCAGGCAAAAGATTCGCATCAGAAAGATCTCTGGCCAGTCGCCCAATATCAGAGAAAATGTGCACTACCACGGAAATGTTGTCGGGTAGGTCGTTCTTGTGCTGTTGAGCCGCAAACTCTTTTGCCTCCTCGATCAACGCCCGCACCGCGTCTCTTGCTCCTGATGTCCCTGCTCTTATGAGGTCATGTTTGAAGAAATGTTGATTGCCGTCAATTAGAACGAGGATTTGTTGTGCACTTGTCTAGGAGGCGGTCAGTAAAAGAGGATTGAAGAAGCAAGGAGGGAGGCGCACAATTCGTGATTCGACATCAGTTGCTCGCTTCTGCCAGAGACGACGACTCTCGAATTGGTCATCGAGGTCAAATCGGAGTTTCTCATTGGTCTTTTCCTTCTCAACAAGAAGCTGGAGGAGTTTCTGTGGCTGTTAGTTGCTGACTGAGCCGGAAGATCGGGTAAGACATCAGTACCTCGACGAGCTCGTGCTCCTCCGCGGCCTTGAGTCTGAACTCTTGAGACTGCTTTGCGAAGGCCTTAAGCTCGCCTGGCAACCGTGCTTCAAAGTCCTTCATCGCCACTCTCAGAATTCGGACTCATGAAAGAAGGGTTGTCGGATGGGAGGTATCACAATCTGCAAAGGAAGGGATGTGATTGTGAGGTGTCGGTGATGAAGACTTTTTGGCAGTCGAAAGAGCAAACTTTAAAGCCGAGACAAATACGAGGAGAAGATGGTTGACGCAGTTGCGGCCTCTACTTTTGTCCCTCAAATAGGCACGACTACCCTGCCTCTCTATACTACCGATCCAAAATCAACAAGGCACTCCGATCACTGCGATGAGTAGAGTATGGGTCGTCTCGAAGGCACATTTTTAAGCTTCATCAATCTCCAGAACTAGGAAGCAAAAGGTTTAGACCAGGTACAAGTCGGGCTCCCTATTAGCGTCGCCAGTTGCCGACCTCCGCAAGATCCCAGCTTTACCCATGTTCCAAAGTATTTGAGACGCGTCTCGCCTCACCACCAAAACCGGCGCACGAAAGAGTAATATTCATTTTCACCCGATTCTCATTTACTGAAGTAAAGCCAGTGACCTCAAGTTGGAGATACTTCTGGATGGTAACTCTTTTTGGTATTACCTGTCCGCCATTGAATGGTAAGAAGATCAGGATGGGCTGTAGCTAAGAGCATTGACTCTACCAAGTACATTACTAGCTGATGAAAGTTCACGCTTCCAAAGAAAATCGTCCATTACATGTATTGACCTAGCTTTGCTATATAAAAGGTCTAAATTGCCTCTCACTTTTGGTATCCTTCTGTTTACTCGCTAAATGCGGAAAGCCAAGTCACAGCGTCATGAAATTCTAGCCACGCCCATCACCTTTCCAAAGTGCTTCGATCTGGGAACAATCTCTTATATAACTTCTGTCATGACTTCTTTCGTATTAGCCAGCTCTGTGCATCAGTGGTCGAAGAATTATCGTTCAGGCACAATTAACCTGCAGGTTCTTTCTTGGAGCGAACGAATCGATTAACAAGTGTAGTGCCAACCTGTTCGATATCTGTGACCATCACAAACAATGCATCTGGATTGAAAATGGTGTAGCGATATTGCACGAGTGCCTCAACAACCAACCCCTTTGCTCTGCTTGGGTGTCGGGCCGGTAGGGGGTCGTCGATTGCGCCGTCCCCAGAAGGCTCCCCAGGACATAACAAGACCCTGGGCTCGAGAGAAGGCTATCCCCCAGTTGATCGATGGCCGTGGATTGCCGGATCACCATACGTTCGGGGTAAGATCTATCATCGCTCGGATCTCTAACTGTCTCACGTTCAGACGGTCTGGTCTTCGATAAAGATGGATTCCAACTCGGCTCCTGTTGCCTTCGGCGTCCTGTCCGAGACTGATTTTCAAAGGCCAACCCGGCCCCTCTTCTATCGACCTTCTATCTGGTGCAGACACTGAATTTGGTTTATGTTGAACAAATTTTTGGCGGTTCAGACACAGCGATGGAAATTGTGGGTGATGCGAGACCCAAGCATATGATACCGGCAATGACGAGGAAGAGGAGTCGGCGCGAACGTTGTGTTATTCAAGGTTTCCTCCAGCTTTGAGAACCCCTGCGGTCGCAGTGTCTATGGTCAAAAGGTAAAGTCGACACAGTGGAAACCAAAAATTCAATCTGTGAGTCGCTCAAATCATTCCTATCAGTCAATATTCGATATCATTGATCAGAGCGGTACGAGATGACCACGTGGGAGTAGATGTGTTAGGTACCAAGACTAGATGAATTTCGCCTAGACACAAGATGGCAGGCTCGTTCTCAGATGTAGAATTTGGGGCCTTTAGGGAGAGGGAGAGTATGGAATAGGAGAAATCCCGGGTAAACCTCTGCCGTCTGCTTGTCCGGAGGAGCCAAGACTGATAGGTAGGTCGAAGAGGCCCAGGTATGGAGAATGGGACTAGGAGAAATGTATGAGTACATGACACAAGGTAAAGAAGAGACAAGAGGTTGACACTCTCTAAGTCATTGCCTACACGAATCAGTATCGTTTAGTGTCCATTGCGTGTCGGATCAAACAGCTCCTTCGGCGTAGGACAGTGGTAGATGCCCCACTGAACCATGTACAAGAAAAACCCACATGGAGAACTAATACTTGCCTCAAGAAACCGCCATGCGTATCCAAAGAAGGCGAATGATAGTTGCAGCAATGGAATCCCCAGCAAAGAGAACAAGCGACATAGAAAGCATCGCGCATGACTACCTCGACAGGCAAGAAGCCGTGGTTAGGGGGAAAGGGAGGTGGGGGAAAAGCTGGGAATGTCTCGGGAGAGCGACAACCCACAGCGACTCGCGTACCACAGCGACATTGCTAAACACAAATCAGGCCTAGCTTGTGCGAGCGTTGTCCGCATGATGGAAAGGTACCTGGAAACCCCACCCAAACCCTAGTAAATCGCACAAATCGAGGTACCAAAACATCAAAATTGAGGCATTCACATACTTTTGGTATTTGCGAGCTCTTTGCCTCATTGTTGCTCGATTCGCGACTTGTATAGACTTCCTGGTGTTGCAGAGTCCTGTTTGACCCTTTTTGACCTCTTGTTGCTGCAGCCTCAATGGCCACTTTCTTTGTCGGCGACCTCTGGCAAGCGCCCTCAAGGTGCGCTCCAAAATGACGTCCACCTTTCGGATCGATCTAACCTCAAATGCCCCAACAGCAAGACCAACTACTCCTTCTCGCCCCGAGACCCCTCCTGTCCTTGAAACTCCTCCTTCTTCGCCTCAGATTACTCCTCTTTCACGGCGTCTACCGATTCGCACTCCTGAAAGACCCCGACCGCGTCGATCGCCCTCTCCTGAGGGCTCGCCAGGAGGACTACACAGGCGACAGACAGGCCACAGGGGTGGCAGAGAGGGTCTGACACGCCACAACACCAAAATCGAGTGCAAAAAGGCGTGGAAAGGCGAATGCAAAGGACTCCGTTAAAAGGGGTCAACGACGTCGTTGAAAGAACATCAAAAAGCGCCAACTATGTGAGGGAGGCCAGGTGGATGGAAAGGTACTTCAAATCCCCAGGGAAAATGGGGGGTTTCAGGTACCTTTCCATCATGCGGACAACACTCGCACAACTAGGCCCGATTGGTGTTTAGTGATGTCGCTGTGGTACGCGGGTCGCTGTGGGTTGTCGCTCTCCCGAGACATTCCCGAAAAGCTGAAACCCGAAGGACTGCGAGGCTGAGGCGTTACGAGGAGTATTGATACTGTAATGACAGAACTACATCCGTATCTGATAGGTAACCAACTTCAAACCGCGATCTCAACTTCATCTCCTTCTTCAGTCATTCATGTCCGTGCAGAACTGGTGTTATAGTGGCACAAATAGGCCCACCCATATAGCGTCGTATTGGATGTGGAGACCCCGAGAAGACATACACCCCCAAACACTCCAGGGGTGGCAGATTGCCAACGTGCACTGTTGACAATCTCAACTCCATCAAGCACTGTCGCAATCTGTCTTCCACAACAGAACCGGGTGTAACTCTATATATACACCTGGGCCAGAGCTGAATCGTCTGAGAATCCAAACCATGGTCCTCGCCCTCTACTTCATTGAGTGTTTGCAAGTGGACCGTCAACAGTTCGAGCCAGAGGAAACTGCCTTTACCCTCTGAGATGAGATGCTTTGGAGACTAAGGAAGTCCAGGCCACACCACCGATTCTAAAGCAAAGCGCACCAGCACTGGACCTTGGGTTGAATCAAGCCGTTCTTGTCAAGGTTGGTCTACCTGTCTGTGTTGGAATGACCAAGAGTTGTCCTGCGCGACGACGTCGTCAGCTACCATGGTGGAGTTTGGTCCGGATAATATCTGAGAAGCTAGAGTCAAATCTAGCGTCACTGGAATCTGCCTTTCAGTGTGTGCACTAGTAACGACACCCAGTCCCACTCAACATGCTCAAGGGAATTGCTACCGTTCCGCACTATGCATATATACTACCAACAGCCTCTTCCTCGGTGAGCTTTTTGCGATATTGTTGTGGCTTGCATATCACATAATCATCTTCAGGCTGCCTCCATTATATCGATCTCCAGCTTCGAGACTTGCTCAATACCCGTACTCGTCGATGAGGCTGACCATCCGTTTCAAATTCTGTGTTCTCGTGTCCATAGGACGGAACGAGAGTCGATGGCCCAGACACCTCTCCCCCTTTTCCCAACTCAAGGTCTCATCCGAACTCTGCCGAATAGCAAAACTGACAGGGAGGACTGACGTATCCCTTGATTTCTCTGGTAAGTGGTTAACTAGACCTGACATGGACCGGCGCCACCGATGGTGTGGTCTCGGACTCGGATGTCACTTTGCATATTGATCATTCCCTATCACGGGGGGGCAAACTGAATTGTATCTAGGCATTCGAAGAACTACTAGTGCTTTCCTGACCACGTGCTGATGGAGCGGTCCGAGTGCTGTGCTCTCCCCCGATCAGTGCATGAGAAAACGTAGGAGTCGTGGTCTGCCTCACAGTGACGCACGCAGCACCGCAGGATTAGTCCTACCGTCCAGATCCAGGAACCAAAACAAAAGTGACACACAAAATACGCAGAAATCGATCACGGTCGTTCCAAGTTCCCAAGTATTTTTTTGATCCGCAACCCTAAGGAGCAGATAGTACTAAACAATACAGGTACCCGGATGCTAGCTTGCAAGGGCTGTCATACATTCATAAATGATATAGGTACCCGACTAGCTTTTCGACCGGGCCTGCATTCTGTCTTGCAGCGGATATTTGTGTCACTACTCGCCTCATCTCTCCACAACTGCCGACCTCCATTCCCGTAGGGTGTGCTCGACCTCGACTACGGGGTCGACCTTGTATTAAATCGGGCACACGCTTGATTACCCCAATTAGTACGGTAACACTCTCACGAGAATACCTTTAGTCGGCAAAGAGTCAGGCATGTCACGATTTTGGCTATCGGATCGTTGTTATGCAGAGCACAATTTCTCCCCCAGGCTTACAAGAGGCAGGCTTTTCTTACCTTGGCTAGGGAACAAAATCCCCAAAGATTGACTTGCCACATAGTCTTGGGTATGACCAGCCTCAAAAAGGAGCTTTGGGCAGGTGATAGGTCACCGCGTCGCCGGCGAAAGACCGACTCTACCCATTGCTCGTCGTTGATGCGAAGTTTTGTCAGTAACCCTGGACCGTTAGGAGGGATCGATCATTGCCCGTTAAAGAGAGACGCGGGAAGGTGATGGCCGTCATCGCGAAGAAGAAGGTCGAGGTCTCGTGATTACGTCAAGTTTAAGGTGCTCTCCTTGGGCTGGTTCGATAGAAATAAGACCCTGGGGATGAGCAAAGGCATTTATCATGCTATGGCCAGCACTTTCGCTTGCTCCGTCGCGCGACCAAACCAAACACAGATCTCAGAGCGGTGCACCAATTTACCTGTAACGATGTGATGTGGTGTCGACCATGGGGCCAGCATCTCCACAGTTTGAGTCCCTCTCTTGTTGAATCCGCTATTGATATGATTTCTTACCTGCTAGCCTCAACATCCCTCTTCAATGATCTCAATCTCGACCTCGGCTCGGACAAGACGAGACAAGGAAACAGAGTCTGGCGATTTCTTTAAATTTTCAGCATCTCGATGTCGACAGCTCCCATGTCTTTCTCCCATCATAGCATCACTGAAGGCATCTCCATCAGCAACATGAAACTGACCGACTCCGTCCTGTATATCAGGCTCGCAGAAAAGGACAAGGGGACCGAAAAAGGGGCGGAAACGCCAAGGCCCCAGGCAACACGTGATTAGATAATTGGTTGCTGCGCAGCTCCAATGGAAGCTCCTGATTGGCCCTGTCGGTTGTGCGGCATTTTTTCTAAGCTCCGCCCGATTCATTTTCGCAAGGCGTAGCAGGCTCTAGAACTCAAAAAAAAAGAGATCGCAGATTCATTTCAGTCGTTATCTCAACTCTCTTTCACACCTGCTCCTTGCTCTTTGGTGCGAGTATTTACTATCGCTGTGTCTAGACTTCTTTTATCCTCCTAGATTTCCTTGTCCGTCGTATTTCCCCATCTCCACTCTCGGTCACAATGGCTGCCGCCGTGTCTCCCAAAGCTGCCCTCGCAGTTCCCTCCAGCGAACCCAAGAAGCTCTCCGGTCTTGACCTCTACAGCAGATTCGTAAGTCACCTTCATGTCCCTGTCAAGATTCTTCATCATTGACCGATTCAGGCCTTCGCTGGTGCTGTATGTTGTTCAGTCACCCACGGCGCTCTCACTCCTGTCGATGTGTAAGCCTCGCGTCTCACCCTCCTTTTTTTTTTTTTGGTGCGCACCACCTGACAAGCGACCAGCGTCAAGACCAGAATCCAACTCGATCCCGTCACCTACAACAATGGCATGATTGGTGGTTTCAGAAAAGTCATCCAAAATGAGGGTGCAGGTGCTCTGTTGACCGGTGTTGGACCAACATTCGCCGGTTATTTCCTTCAAGGAGCATTCAAGTTCGGAGGTTACGAGTTCTTCAAGCAACAGTCGATCAACTTCCTTGGTTATGAGGCTGCCTCAAACAACCGAACTGCTGTCTACCTCGCCTCCTCGGCCGCCTGTGAATTCTTCGCTGACATTGCCCTCTGCCCTCTCGAGGCCACGCGTATTCGACTTGTCTCCGAACCCACCTTCGCCTCCGGCCTCGTCTCTGGGTTTAGCAAGATCTTGACCACGGAAGGTGTGGGTGCTTTCTACAGTGGTTTTGGTCCCATCCTGTTCAAGCAGGTCCCCTACACCATGACCAAGTTCGTCGTCTACGAGAAGGTTGCCGAAGCGATCTTCCGTCAAATCGACAAGAACACTGCTTCCGATGGTACCAAGACGGCGGTCAACTTGGGCTCTGGTCTCATCGCTGGCTTCGCCGCGGCCATTGTCTCCCAACCCGCCGACACTATGCTCTCCAAGATCAACAAGACCAAGGGTCTCCCCGGTGAAAGCACGACCGGCCGATTGATCAAGATCGCCAAGGAACTTGGTCTCCGTGGTAGCTACGCCGGTATCGGTGCTCGGTTGGTCATGGTTGGTATTTTGACTGCTGGTCAGTTCGCCATCTACGGTGACATCAAGGTAAAGAATCCCCCCGGTATTTTCAAATGACGATCCCCAGCTAACAAAATGACCACAGCGCGTATTGGGTGCGACCGGAGGCGTCGAAATCGCGAAATAAACGTCGAGAGAGTGCCTTTAGAACGATTTCATCCTAGAATACGGGTTTGATACATTTTCACACTTTTACGCGGGCGGATTTTCAGCGTGCACGTACATCAACACTAGAGACACCGCAGATTTAGACCATTCAGCATTTCCACATAGACAATGCTGAGCCCGGTGGATATTTGTGGGCTTGATTTGGCAAAAACTGCATGCGATAGACTTGTGCAGACGAGACCAGGGCTGCATGAGACAAAAGGCAAACCTTTTCCAGGATAGACGGGGATTTGTACCAACAGTTAATGGCACACTATACTTGTTTCAACAGACTCATTTCATTCGCAACCTGACATACCCGCTTCCGTTCCTGACGGGACAGGAGACAAGGGCCATTGACATGACAGCGTTCTACACCGATATCCAAGTCTCTGGTCTTATTCGTAGGTCTTTTATTGGGCCGCCAGAGCAGAGAAGGATGAAGGTCCCACCTCGTTCTCATTCATCCCATTCCATCGCCATTACGCTCACGTGTTCACTTCGCATCGAAGGACACTGGGACACGATGCCATCAGCTCATGAAAAAAGGGGTGGGGCACGGGAAGGGCTATCACAGGAAACGTCACGAGTTCCTTTCCCTATTTTTTAGACATAGCATCCAAGTCTATTTCGTCGTTTGTTTGTGAAGGTTGTCTTCGTCGAGCACGGTGTAGAGACGAGAGACCCGTGGTTGAAAGTATTCCCGAAACGAATGGTGTCGTTGCGAGATGGTCGTCGGCCGCTTTTCATTCGCGTTTCTGCAGTCGAAGAGCCGTTGGTCTTAAACAACACGAGTACTGGAGAACTCCAATATTCCCCGTTGCCCATAGTCGGGCGGATTCCGTGTGCGAATTGTTGGCGCATCACTCACAACATCAACTCACGATTTATCCGACTCTGGTTTCCGGCGAAAAGCGAACAGCGCATCATCCTTTCCCGCAAAACTAGGTAGCGGAACCTGGCAGACTTTCTCCCACCCTTGCTTCTGCGTCATCAGGTATTCGTCGACCATCATATCCTTGAAACCCGTGTAACCATTCCCATTCTGAGTACCTGCCACGCAGACAACGTTGCCCGTGTATGCATCGAGGACTTTGCGCGTAAATCCGCCTCCGACAATCGGATATACAAGCAGCAGCACGACGGAAGGACACCCACCGCGTTTGCGCAGGTACTGTATTCCGTCCGTTACGATGGTGTCGGCGATCCATGTCGTGCGCCACCGGCTCTGGCCGCTGTCGACGGCGATGACGTTGAGCCCGAGCCGTCTTAGCATCAAGCTCCAGTACCCATTGCCGCTTCCCATGTCCAGCACGCTGCGGCCCGATGCGAGCTTCACGATGACCTGTAGGGATTCCCATGACGGCGCCACGCAGCCGAAATGGTGCATGTACACAGGTAGCATGTGGTGGGATAGCGTCACCAGGGCAGTGTTGCCGTTGGGGCCGGCGTAATCGAGGATGTGGCACGCGTAGGCCCAGAAGTCCAGGGCTGGGTTCTCATGGCCTTGAACCGGTGCTGGCACCATTCGGGTTTCGTTATTGTTTTCATCAGGACCACCTCTGTCCCGAGAGGTCGATGGCCGAGGTTTGGGCGTAGAAATTTTCAACTTGGGCACAGTTATCCACGGGTCCAGGTGGCGTTTACTAAGAAGATACCCCGCGACAGTGGCGCGGATGGAACCCTTCTTCGCGTTCGCAGACAGAGATTTCAGGCTGTGGGCCACTGATTTGGTCGGGTCGAATACTGAAATGTACGCTTGAATATCGTTTGTGGGAGGATATCCCGATATTCGTAATGATGGCTGGTTCCGGATTGAGACGGTTTTGTCTTCGTTGTCTCCAGTTTCAGAGGGCGTAACGGGCTCGACGTACCAGGCATGTAATCCGTTCGCTCGTCCAGCGTGAATCGCCGCTTCGACTTGCGACAAGTTGACACTTGCTGAGGCGTGGTACGTGAAGCTGTCACCTGCGGGTAGTTCGAACGCAGACGTGATGGCGGCTTTGAATTCATTGGCGTTTAGATGAGCGTGGATTTTCGACCAGATTTCCGCTGACGAGGGGTCCAAGAGATGCGAGGGAGACCAGGTTTTTGATCCATCTGTAGTTGCTGGTGGTGAAGGCGCCATGGTTGTTCTGTTTTCACGAGAGCTATAGGCCAGGAGGGGTGGAGAAGTGGGGAGGGGACGAAGGAAGCGTTTACAGAAATTAGTCTTAGGACCTTGTTGAGCAATTCTAGATATTCCGACCTTTTCGGAGTAGAATCGGAAAGCACAAGGCTGTGCCAACTCTGGAGGACCGAACTCACTCCCGATTCGGACGAGGATGATGCCGCCCTGGGATCGCGTGCTCACGGTTGACCGTTGTTGGGTGGGCCGCTTTACTCATATATGCATGAGAGTCCTCGGCAGAGCAACACATCCACGGAAGGAAATCATAAGCTACGACGACATCTACAGCATTAACAAGATCTCCAGACCAGGGATTAAGCTTCATCAAGCTCGAACTTGTCTCCATCACTCGGTCCATTGAAACCCTTTGATTAGGCGGTCCCCTGGATGGCATAGAGCACTTGACGGTGGCCAACCCGAAATCAACTTTCATGACATCAAAAGGACGGTCTTTAATATATCAATCAGCTGATCAGCCTCTTTGCCAAGTTTCAGCCTGTTCTGCTCTCTGCCAATAACATCAGTCACACGCCACAATATCACCATCTAATCCGGCCACACAGACGATTATATACTTGTGCCAGTCTGGCCATACACGGGTCCAGCTATGTCAACTATGTGAAGACGTTACTTGAACAACGACGTAGAAAGGAGATGTCGACGCCATGCTCCTGATGATGGGCAGTCTCGGCTATGTCCTCATGTCACAAAGTGGCATATGTTAATGACGGACACTACTCAGATCTGCCGCTCTGCGCCGGTAATCGAGTAGTTCTTCACGATGTCCGCTGCTTTGGCCATTCAAGAATTGCTGTCGTCGAATAGTCGGCCGATATGCAAGACCAGGGAAAGGAAGGGCAAAGACAAGATCTGAGAAGTGCCACAGAGCGAGACATCGCGTTCCAAGACCTGCCCAGCGAGTACGAGTCTGTGCCCAAAGAAGCCCTACACCCAGACGATGCTGACAAGGGAAAGACCTCCTGGGTCAATCGCCAACACGGCTCTGAAGCGGCGTCAAGAATTAAAGGAGGTCTGGGAGATGTTTAAGGCCGATCCTCTCCATCTATGCGACACATATCTTCGCAGCGACGCCGTCGCCGATATCTCGCCTTCTTCACGGAGGGTTATGTCCTGTTCTCCGGAGGGAATATATCCTTCCCTGCTGGAGGCTTGTCCGGCCCAGACGTTAGAACAAGCACATCGTTGGCAACAAATCCACGGTGCATGCATTCAGCTATATGGAAAATTCTTGGTATCATCTATGGTCAGGTTGTGGTTGGCGTCATTGGCGACTGGATCGGTTTGTCCATTGGGGTCGATACAAGGTGCTACCATTATGTTGACCGGCGCTATCCTCATGTATGGAGTCCGCCTCTTTAGTTCTCAGTCGGGATGGGTGGTGAGTATCCCATGACTCCAACCCCTGCCATGACAGGGGTCCACAGAGAAGGTATGACTACATCGAGGCCGATCGACGGCATTGGCTGTCTTAATGCGAGGCTGGGGATAGCTGGCAATTAGTGGCTTTGATTTGGATCATGCTCGTCTTCAACCACAACCTCAATCGTGAAAGTCCCATAGGTTGAACAGGTTCCAGGAGAACCAAATTCGAATTGGTGTCGCTTCTATATCGCGTATAATGAATCAAAAGCCCGACTCATCCTGTCCTGTATTCCCAATCTACTCATAGATCCGGTCATTGAACTTTCCAAATTTATCCCGCCCTTCCGCATCTTGATTTACAAAGATACTTACGCTACAGCTGCCAACACTGAACATCCCGAATCCATCGTCTCCAATATGAACTTGACGGTCTTGCCAGCCCATAATGTCGGTCCAGATCTGTCCCTTGTGCATTTCACCTACAAACATTCGAAGCTCACCCATCTCGGCGTTACTGAGGACCACGGCACAGCCATTAGGCCTGTCCCAAGTTCCTCGCCTGACCCAGCCAATGAGGTTGGGGTTGTCAAAGTAGTCATTCAGCTCACCGTAGGCATACAGCTTGCGGGCGAGGGTCATGTCAGGGATCTTACCTCCTGCTGACGGACCCCGCCAGTCGTTCTCAACGCCGCCCTTGATCCCATAGATATTGCCATAAAATAGACATGGGTAGCCATGGGGACGGAGAAGAATGAAGGCGTATGCCAACGGGATGAACCAATCGGCCACATCGATTTGAAGAGCCTGACTGGGCTGGGTGTCGTGATTCATGACGAGTGTCACCGAGTTGTACGGCTCGACTTGAGTCAGACTGTTGTCGAAGACAGTGCGAAGATCGGCTCGATTCCCAGTGGAAATTCGGTGGAAATTTTCCACGAGTGGCGCGTCGAAGAGGGTAAACTTGTGATGCATCTTACGTAGATAATCGACAAGAGCATCCAGAGAAGTTTTCCAGAATTCGCCGACACAAAAGGATTCATGACCGAGTTTGGTATCGAGATTATTGATGAAGTCTAGGAGGAAAGATTCCGAATAGTGCTTGACAGCGTCAAAACGGAATCCGTTGAGTTTTAACTCGTTGGAGGCCCAGACCCCCCAGTTCTTGACATCTTCTTGAACTTCAGGATGTGCATAGTCGAGATCGGCAAACATCAGGTAATCTGGGAGACTTGAGCAGTTATATGTCACATCATCGAGCTCCACCCACCATAATTGCCCTTCTCTGCATCGACGTCCGTTGCGAAGCGTTTGTTGTCCCCTAGGATTTTGTAGATGGCCGTCTCCTTGGATTTATTGTCGTAATCGGTTGCCGAAAAGTGATACCAATGATATTTCTGTTTGCTGTATTTGTCTCCTCTTTTCTCGAAATCAAATCCCAACCAGCCATCAATCTCGAAGACACCGGAGATGGTTTGATTGCGATCTTCTATGAGTCAGCGTTGCCCACAGCGAAATCGGTGCAATTGTGTCCGTACTATTGGCATCCACTTTGACCACTCGACATGTTTCGATATGATCGGCAGCGGCTTTGTGATTCAACACGGCGTCAAAATATATCCCCATGCCCAAATCATCGGATATTTGGCATGCTTTCAGCAACTCTTCCTTGGTGCCCCATTTGGTCCCGACAGATCCCTTGGTATCAAACTCTCCCAGATCATACAAGTCGTAAATATCGTAGCCATTTCCGCTCGGGGAGGAAGCCTTGCAGGCCGGGGGGATCCAAACGTTGTCCACCCCGGTTTTCTTGAGTTCAGGGAGAGCTCGTTGAAGTCGCAACCAATGCTGGTGGTCATCAGGAACGTACCACTCCATGAACTGAATCATGGTGAAGTTTTCGGGCGTAGGCTCCCGAGAGTCATCTACCTTGTGTGCGACCACTCCTATGATCGAGAATCACTCTGATTAGCAAAGAATAAAGGTGGGTGCAGGCAAGCCCAAGTCAGGGACAGGACTGCAAGTTGCTTAGCTACCTAGAAACGGGCTTCGTCTGTCTTTTCCAAATCTCCCAACCATACGGTTGAAGAAGGCATTACGCCGTTCGGAGTAGAGGGACGCCATGGCTATGCGCTGAAGAGCAGGAAGTTGGCCCAGGTTTCCAGGAGCTTAGGGGCAGCTTTTGAAGCTTGTCAGCCCCATTGAAGAACCAGCGGCTGAACAAGCTGAGTTTGCTAGCTACATTCGAGCCGTAGTTGAGGATCGAATCATCGTGGCCAACATAACATTATAGCTGGCCGATCAGGGTGTCGAGAGCATGTGAATGGCTGCAGATCGAAGTCAGTGGTGGGCATCATGATCCGGTTTTCGGTTGGACCAGAGAATGAAATACGACAGATCTGGCGGCGAAAAATCTCATTGGCATTTCACTTCTTGTTCACGTGCATATTGTATGTACTACGTACGACACGTTCTCGTTCACGGGAAGGGCCACCAGTCTGTCTGCACAGGTATCGCTTGATTGACAGGCTGCTCCTCAGTCGATTCGACCTCGAGTCATCTTTTGCAGGCAACGTACCCCCACAATGCGAATCGGCGAATGGGACGGCATACAACGCTAACAAGAGCCAACAGGCTGGTGGCGTAGACGGTATATTGCTGGATGCAACTACTGTAGACCTTCCTCTTTGCTAGCGAGAACGCCCTCGAAAAGGATGAGATTGAACACGAGTAAGACATGTTGATGGATAAGTCGAGATAGCAACGACCTACGGCAAGCTTCATTTCTCGAACCCGTCCCGCTGTCAGAACCACCGAGACACACTCTTTGGGAATTTGATTGAACATCATCAATCCTTTTAGGAAGCGCCACGTTTTCAGTAGTCCGATTTCCCTGGTCTAGTCACGGTCTAGGGACGGATGACGTATAAGCGAGAGTCGCGTCGACCTCTCCTTTCTACACATGTACGTACAAGCACCACACAGGCTGGCTGGAGCGTCAGTACGCGGCGCGATACAACCCCTGTATTCTACAAATAGTACAAACATGAAACAGATCATCAGGCCCCAGATGTCCCCCTGAATCCATTCGAAATCGAGAAAAACAGCCAGCATGGTAATGAGCATAAGACCAGGGTGGAAAATCCCATCGGTTCCTAATTTGGCAACTTGGTAACTCTAAGAATCCGGTCTAGCAATCATTCCCTGGTTGACTGGACTAGCGATCCCCTTCCAGTCAGTCGCAGCCTTATCAAGTCGATGGGACATCCACACTCCAAGCTGCTACTCGACGCCCAAGCCAGGGGCTACCCATCCCCTGTCCAATGTCCCGGTCAATCCGACATTGACGTCCTAGCGGTCAAATCAACAGGAACCGCCTTCAGGCCGTTTGTGTTGTCAAAAGTGTGTATGTGTGTGTTTTCGAGACGTTCTCAGGGGTCAAATGGCTCATCACGCCTTTATGTTGCAGACTGACAATGTTCCTTCTCGCTGTTCTGAAACCTCAGTTGTCTTCTGGACCGTATATTCCCCTGACTGTTCGCACAGTCCAATCTGATTGTGTGATTATCGAAGAAGGAAGTATTTGGGATGGGCTCCTTGGCACACGATAACCCAGTCCCTGCAGATATCGCGGTTATTGGCCTGGCCTGTCGCTTTCCCGGTGGGGCGTCAAATACGCAAAACTTCTGGGATCTTTTGTATCAACAAAAGGGTACGGCTGATCTGTTACTTGGGAGTGGTGAGCAAGGCTGACACTTTCCCTTTCAGCTACATATGCGGATTTTCCGAGAAGCCGTGACAATGCCAGTACCTTCTACCAAGAAGGGGATAAAATCAATGCCACTGGCAGCCAAAAAGGTCATTTTCTTCAACAAGATGTCTCGGCTTTTGATGCTCCTTTCTTCGGCATCACGGGACAAGAGGCGAAAGCCATGCATCCGACCGCAAGACTTCTTCTAGAAGTGACATATGAAGCCTTTGAAAATGCAGGTCTCGCAATCGAACAGCTTGCTGGAAGTAACACGAGTTGTTACGTAGGGTGTTCCGAGCCAGACTTGGCTGGAACGATCTTGTACGACCCAGAGTCGCCTACGACATACAAGACAACGACCAGCCTCTCGCTTTTGTCTAGTCGAATCTCTTGGTATTATGACTTTCGCGGTCCGAGTCTTACTTTGGACACAGGATCCTCTTCGGGCCTGGTGGCATTACATCTGGCATGTCAAGCTCTCGGGGCAGGCGAGTCGAAATTGGCAGTTGTGAGTGGCGCGAATCTAATTCTGAACATCGAGTACGCCACTGTCTTCGCAAATCCAGACAGATTTTGTCAGGAAACATCATCGAAATCATTTGCCGGTGGAGCGGTATGCCATGGGCGAGGAGAAGGTGTTGCTTCAATACTCCTGAAGCCTTTAAATGATGCTCTGCGGGATGGCGACCCGATTCGAGCAATCATTCGGGGGACTGGGGTAAACCAAGACGGCCATACGATCGGTGCAACTGTACCGAATAGTAATTCGCCAGCAGAATTAATTCGCTCGACCTATGACTCGGCCGGATTGGATTTTTCTCACACTGTCTACCTTGAAGCGCACGGCACGGCCCGGAGAATGGGAGATGCTTTCGAGAGAACTGCCGTTGCCAGGTCATTAGGATACAGTCGAAAAGAAGGCCGCAATCTCCTGGTGGGATCCGTGACATCGAACATTGGCAACCTAGAAGGAGCGTCAGGCTTGGCCAGCATCGTCAAAAGCATTCTGATGTTGGAAAGAGGCATCATATTACCCAATGTTCACACCGAAAACACTGTAAACCCGAGGTGTTCTGTCGACTTGAAGCTCGCCACGCCGACATCTTGTATTCGGTGGCCATTGAACTCTCCGCGACGAGTCAGCGTACACAATCTCGGGTCTGGTGGAACCAACGCACACGCGATTCTCGATGATGCCACGGAATACCTCACCATCAGAGGTTTACAAGATTCAAGTTCTCTATCGCCGTGGGTTAGCAAAAACGCCACACAACCTCGCTTATTTGTGTTTAGCGCTCATGATGAAGCGGCTCTAAGGAGGATGAAAAAGCAATATGCTGACTATCTCGAGTCATACATGACCACAGCTGGGTCGAAATTCCAGGTGAAAGAGTCGGCGTTTCTTGACCAATTGGCCTTCACTCTCAGTGAAAGACGTTCTCGGTTCGATTGGAAGACTCATGTGGTTGCTTCTTCCATCAAAGAACTACGGACCCAGCTCTCATCATCCACAGTCCGCCTCGGACGGTCGTCCACTTCTAATCCACAAGTCGCTTTCGTCTTCACGGGCCAGAGTGAAAACTGGGCTAGAATGGGTGTCGGGCTGTTCCGCTATCCAGCTTTCAAAAAGAGCATCCTTGATGCCGATGAACACCTCAAGGAAGCGTTTGACTGCGACTATTCGTTTATTGAGGAGCTTAAGCGGGACGATAAAGGGATCGAGACCCATCTCGCAGCCATCAGTCATCCCATGTCTACAGTATTACAAGTTGCCCTTGTCGACCTCCTGAGATCGTGGAATATCATCCCAGCAGGCGTGGTCGGTCACTCAAGTGGTGAGATAGGAGCAGCTTATGCCTATGGTGTTATTTCCCGGGAAGATGCTTGGACAATCGCGTACTGGAGGAGCAAACTTTGCTCAGAACTTACCGCTGAGTCGACTCCACCAAAAGAGGCCATGTTGGCGGTGGCATTGTCCAAGGATGCGGTGCAAGAGCATTTGTCGACAATCAGTCATGGACAGCTAGTCATCGCGTGTGTCAATTCCCCTTCGTCTGTTACCATTTCTGGGAAGGAGACCGCCATTGGTCAGCTCCACGAGAAACTGAGTGCTTCCTCCGTCTTCTGTCGCCAATTGAAGGTTCCAAATGCTTTCAACTCTCATCACATGGAGCAAATTTCCCAGAGATACCTTGAGAAGATTTCAACGATACGGCCGAAATCACCCATGTCAGCTAGAAACATTGTAATGGTATCAAGCGTGGCTGGTGAGGTCATTGAACCCCGCGCCCTCGCGCCAGAGTATTGGGTTCGAAATCTTGTGTCACCGGTGAAGTTTTCAGACGCGATCGAGAAGCTGTTCAAGAACAAGAATTTTGATTTTCTGCTCGAAGTTGGACCCGACAGTACGTTGAAGGGCCCTCTTCGACAAATCATGCGGGATCTGAATATCCAAAACGTCACCTACAAGTCAATCATCTCCTCAGGAGAAGATGCAATAAGCTCGGCAGCAAACAGCGCCGGGATGTTATATACACAGGGTTTCCCATTATGTGTCACCGCTATAAACATGATCGACACCAGATTGAAACCGATGACTGATTTGCCCCCATATCCCTGGAATCACTCGCTAAAATATTGTATTGAATCACAAATGTCCAGTTCCTGCCCGGCCGGTGGATGCAGGCGTCATGATATCCTAGGATCCGTTGCTTTAGGTTCTAATGAGTTGGAGCCAAAATGGAGAAACCTTCTTCGAGTGTCGGAGCAGCCATGGATTCAAGATCATGTTGTCAGAGGGGAAACGATCTATCCGGCCGGGGGGATTGTTGCCATGGCAATTGAATCAGTCAAGCAAATAGCCAACAAGGTCGAATCTATTGAGAAGATCCACCTGAAGAACGTCCATATTCCTAAAGTAATCGTTATACCTGACAACGAAGCTGGCATAGAGTGCTCTCTTCAATTGCGACGCCCAAGCTCAACCGGAAGCCCTTGGACAAATTGGTGGGAATTTTCTGTCCTGAGCAGTCTCGACCATCAGAAACCTGAACAAATCGCTTTCGGCCTGGTCAAAGTCCAGTACAAGTCCGATGATATCCCATCATGGGAAATTCAAAAAACCCAAACCGTAAAGATGCTCCGAGGGGATTATCAGAAAGCGAAACTGCTTTGTACACGCAGAATCAATCCGAAGGACTTTTACGAGGCAGAGAAGCAAGCAGGTCTAAACTATGGACCATGTTTTCAAGGTTTGACCGATGTTTCGACTCACAGCCGCCGTTGCTGCTTCAAAATTTCTGCCCCAATCACCAGAGGCTCAATGCCAGGCCGGGTTGAGAGTCCGTATACTATTCACCCTGTCTCCATTGAGATTATGTTCCACTCTCTCTTGGCTGCTCTGGGAGGGAATATAGATTCAAACTTCCACACAGTCGCAATCCCAGTCTCGTTTGATAGTATGACTGTGGCTATGGAACTCCCCGTTGGGGAAAACTCCAAGTTTCATGGACACTGTGAGGCAATCAAGGAAGACTCTGGTGAAGTTGTTGGAGATGTATTCGTGTCCGACCGTTCCTGGGTAGAGCCCAAGGTTCTGATCAGAGGTGTACATTTCAGGAAATTACCGCCGGCAACTACACCAAGCCGTCCCATTTGCCCCTGGAAAGCTCCGTTTGGGACACTTGCTTGGAAACCAGACATTCATCTATGTCAGAACCAGAGTCTGGAAGATTACTTGAGCCAAACAGAGCTCGTAGGAACATTACAAGAAAAACTTCACAAGGCAGGACATTGTTCGCATATCCTTGAACAGATTGCTAACGTCTCAAAAGGTGCTGGACTTGGTCGCCCACAAAAACCCAGATATGTCCATCCTTCAACTCGGTGGAAGCCTGTCTATGACGAGGAGCATTCTATCAGTGCTCGCCACCGACCCTGAGGATACTTCGCGCTTCTCAAATTTGGTTGCCGCTGACACTAATTCTGCTATAGCCCAAGATTTTGAGGACAAATTTCGAGACTGGGGATCCAAACTGAGCTTTATCAAACTGAATGAAGACCTTGATTTACAGGGGCAAACACTAAGTCCGGGATCTTTTGACCTTATCATCACCGGCGCTACTTTCAGCAACAATATGCAGAAGACTCGCTTCTTGCAAGACGTCCAGGGGTTGCTGAAAAATGGCGGAGTCTTTCTAATCCTCGAATCATTTACCGACATCACGAAAACGTATGTACCATTGAAACCTGGCTGTGTGGAACATAGCTGATGAGATACAGGAAAGGGTGGGAAAGTGTCGTAATACAGTCAGGTCTGCAGCCTATTGGCATGCTTCAATCAGACGACGATGAAGTAAAATCAGTCACCACGGCCTTGTGTGTCACCGTGAAAGCGTACACTGAAGTCCAGAAGAAACTTTCAGACGTCATATACATTGTCCAACCTCCGAATCTCACAGAGAAGATGTCTGAAATCGGCCAGTCGGTTATCAGAAGATTCTCAAGCTCTTCCATGCCCGCCCAGATTGTGGAGTGGCCTCCAGACCCTGCAAAATTGAAGGAGCAACCCGTAATATCCCTGTTGGAGCTGACCAGGCCCTTCCTGATCAACATTTCGTCCCGAGACTTTGAGATGATGAAGACGATTGTACAGGGCAGTTCCTCTTTCCTGTGGGTGTCCATGGGCTCTGAACCGATGATGACCGTTGGCATGGGCTTTTTCAGAGTATTGAGGAATGAAAACCCAAAGCTCAACGTTCGCTTCTTGCTTTTCGAAGAAATGGCTGGTCGCCAACCAGACGAATTAGCAGGCAACATTTTCAAAGTTATGACCAGTTCAAACCCAGACGGCGAGTTTATTCAAATGGACGGGCAACTCTGTATCAATCGCTGGTCACCAGACAAAGGAATAAGTCGAATCACGACGGATCAGGGGGGCGTTGTTCTAGAAGCAATGGCTTTGGAAGAGAGTCAAACACCCTTAAGGATCCACGCAGAAGGCTCGGGGCAGGAACAATCATGGTATTTCGTTGCTGAAAATGAATTAAGCGGCCATCCGGCTCCTGGTGAAGTCGACATCGTGACGCGGGCCGTGGTTTTGAGGTAAGCCACGCCATCAATGTTTGTTCCGGGCTCAATGTTAAATCCTTCAATGCAGTAATCAGGACTCAACGGCATCTTCACCAGAACCCATCAAAGAATTCAGTGGCATTGTCAAATCCGTGCACAAAGACTGTCCCAGATTTAAGCCCGGAGATCGCGTCTACGGTTGCCAACCGGCTCCCTATCGGACAGTGTACAGGGTCAAAGAACGATTTTGTCAGCAGATTCTGGGAGACGACCCATTTGAGAAAGCAGCAAGCCGGCCGATCACTTTTGGCACGGCATATTATAGTCTTGTGAAGATCGCAAATCTACAATATGGCCAGACCGTTTTGATTCAGGCCGCATCAACCGCCGTGGGTCAAGCAGGCGTTCAAATAGCCCAAGCCCAGGTCGCGGTGGTCTTTGCCACGGTTAGGACGGAGGAAGAGAGTCTCTTGGTGGAAAAGCTTGGAATTCCCAGGGAACGAATTCTAAACGATGCGGACCCGGAGCTGTGTACCACGATTTCCAGACTCTCGGGAAGAAAAGGCTTCGATGTCATTCTCAACATCTCCAAAGATGGTGAAGATCTTGGTGACCTGTGGCGCTCTGTTGCCTCCTTTGGTCATCTCATCAGCGCTGCTGCCGCCAATCAGCTCAAGGGACCTGATCTCGACATGGCACCATTTCAAAAGGGATGCTCTTTTGCCGTGGTCGACATGAATCTCATTTATCGAGAAAATCCAACCTTGATGGCGGAGATATCGAAGGATCTGGGCCGATATCTAGCGACATCCTCCCTCCGCCCCATTGAGCCGACTAGAGTCTATTCCTCGGAGCAAATCTCCGATGCATTCAAGTCTACCAAGAGTCAAGATATGTCTCCGGGTACGACGATCGTCTCTTTCAACCCGCAAGATGAGCTCCGAATCCACCCAACGGCGAGAAATCCCCTCCACTTGCAAAAGGAAGCGTCCTACGTCTTGGTCGGTGGCCTCGGAGGATTTGGTCGGCACCTCGCCAGGCTCCTGGTGGATCATGGAGCACGCCATATGGTATTTCTGTCCCGATCGGCGCTGATGGCGGCGAATGCACAAGCCGTGGTCGATGAGATTGCGGCTCGAGGGGTTATTACCAAAGTTTTCGTCTGCGATATCTCTGATGAGACCACGCTGAGCAAAGTGGTGGAACAGTGCAGGAACGAAATGCCACCAATTCGCGGAGTCATTCAAAGTACCGCAGTGGATAACGACTCTCTCGACCGAAAGACGACTCATGAACTCTGGCTGGATGCCACCCGCATCAAGATTCGGGGATCCTGGCTTCTGCACAAGTTACTTCCACGGAAGATGGACTTCTTTGTGCTAGTGGGTTCGACGAAGCGAATGTTCGGCAATCGAACTCAGGCGAGTCACGCAGCGGTAAACACATTCCAACATGCGCTGGCGCAATACAGGCGTCATCAAGGTCTGGCCGGCGCTGCGGTGGATTTGGGCCCCATGCTGGGGGAGAAATTCGTCGCAGAGAAAGACGGATCTACCAATATTCTTAATTTAGAAGCACCGAGCCTCAGCGAAGCAGAGTTACAAGCAATCATGGTGGCAGCCATGACGGGATCTTATGGATCAAACCCGACACCGGTACCACTTGTGACCGGTTTGCCCACGGGAGGTCTTCTTCATCGCCAAGGACTGGACGGGCCATCCTACTATAGTGACCCGCGATTCTCGTTCTTGAAGAAGATGGACTTTGGGCAGAATGTGAGAGAAGAAATCAGCGGCGAAGAGAATGAGGAATCAAGTCTTGCAAAACGGCTCAGAGCGTGCCAGTCTCTAGAGGAGGCATCGAAGGAGATCTGCTCGGCGATGTGCGAATTTTTAGGCGAGGAATTGCAAACAGGGGCAGAAAACCTCGAGATCAATTCTTCCTTATATTCGAATGGCGCTGATTCTCTTCTAGCCGTCGAGATGCGAAGTTGGTTGCTTCGGCAGATGGGGGCGGAAATCTCATTGGGCGACATGCTAAGCGGACACAGTATCTCAGAATTGGCGGACAAGATTGCCACCGCATCGACATTGATTCCTGCGGGCGTGAAATAGAAGGAGAATATGGAATTGACATCTGTAGTAGTAATATTTAGTATATTATAACGATAACATATCATATCGACGGCATCAAGGGGAGCCCCCATTGTGGCCCCCCTTCGCCCCGGATCTTCCTTCATCTCGCACCAGCCCCAGCCGAGGGCAAAGACGATTTGCGGAGAAGGGGGAGATGTGGAGGTGGGTCGGAATGATACATTTGCCCTCGGGTAAGTATCTTGATGCCTCTCTTAACCGTCTCCCTCATCTTCGCTCTATTTTTCTGACTCATTAATATCAAGTCAGAAGCCCCCGACCTGGACTTGTTTTCCCTGACACCAACAGCACTGAGTAAGGCAGACAGACAGACAGACAGATCGACAGTGAATCAGTCACGGCAACAATGGCAACCCCAAATGCCAAATCCAGCAAACCTCGCCGGCGAGACACCGACGACGGTCGAGCCGAGAGGAAGAGGATCCAAGACCGACTGGCCCAACGAGCCACGCGAGAAAGAACCAAAAATCGCATTGCATACCTCGAACAGCGCCTCAGCAGTCTCGAGGCTGGTGACAAGCAGGGTGAAATAGCTGCTTTGTCGCGTATCATCGACAATCTGAGAAATGACAACCACCGCCTTCGCAATGCCTTGGTCAAAATGCGTACCACCATCGACCAGGCCGTTATTACCACGGATGATTCCTCCGACCTCCGGTCAGGTGTCAAGCCATGTGGATGCGCTGTACAGTCAAATTGCACCTGTGCGGAGTCGACCTTTGGGACAACTCCTCAGGCTGCATTCGATGAGGCAACCCCCGCGACCTTCCACGGCGATGCTGGTCGTCAGGAATCAGCCTCCACCGACCCTTCCGACGTCATCGAGATTGTCACCGGGCATGGCACTGGAGTCACCATGACCGATGATAACGTGGACATGGCCAATCCGGAGGCCGTAAGCGGAGGGCTCACAGGACTCGAGGATTTTTTCGACTTCAACCCCGACGCTTTGCTGGAAATGTTCGAATTCGGTCCGACAAGCTGCAATGGATGGCACTCCCAGACGCCATCACCATTCGACTATCGATTCCCTTCATCTGATTCCGTGACCAAAATCGCTCCAGACGTGGACAAATGGGACGTGTCCAACGGAGCATTCATCGGTGCTCTAAACTCGGTGAAGAAGCAAACCGCCTCGACGACTACTCTGGATCTGCATGTGCCTTTTAAAGCAGCCATCTGGGGTTGGGACAATGTCGGCCCCGAGGCGCTGCATCCGGTATGGAATGCTCTTCGACAGGTTGACCAGCGAGTCTTTGGCACCTGGACGTCCAAGGCCCAGAGAATCGCCTTGATGTACGTCTGTCAGACTCTTATTCAGTACCGTGAGAATCCCACGCAAGAAAACCTTCAGCGCGTACCCGTGTTTCTACGACCAAGGTATGGTTCCTTCACAGTCCCTCCTTTTCTTTTTCTTTTTTTTAAATTCCGTCATTCTTTTTCCCTGCCTATGAAATTCTCAGCTGACACTGCCCTCCTCAGACCATCCCAGGAGAAAATTCAACATCCGGCAGTCATAGATTTCCTAATATGGTGCGTCACCTCTTCTCCCTTGACTATCCCATGACTTCTCGACCTGACAGCAAGCCAAAAGGCCCGGCCTCCGCGACCGTCTCGTGTTCGAACACGAGAAGTACACTGCGACGGGCGCTTTCTCCGCCGCCTTCGTTGAACATTTCAACTTCCACTGGCCGTACTCGGACCGGGAGATTTTTGCTTATAACCCCGTGCTCAATCGGTACGAGGTGTCCAAGATCTTCCTCGAGTATGCCCACAATTTTAGGAATTGGACTATGAAGCCCGCTTTTTTCAAGAAATTCCCGGAAATGCAGCATGATATAGCGGCATTTGAGGAGACATTGGATTTCCCTCGGCCAAGTTGGTCGGTGTGAGATTTGAGGTCGTAGACTTCTCTCGCGCCCATCCCACCTCCGTGGTGCCTCCTCCCTTTTGACTTTTGGGGAAGGATAGAATAAGTGGCTGGTTCCTCTTCCAGGGATACGGGAATTTCCGTGGTGGGAAGTCGCCAATTTCCATGGCAGACCACTCATATGTCTTGCTTGTAACACGATCTGTTACTAGATCGCTAGCCGTTACCGACTCAGGGCATTGGGAACTTTATATTTCGAACCACCAAACATTCATCCTGTTTCTGCATTCTGCCCCGATCTCCGAAAGTCCAGTTACGAGATAGACAGAATCAGCTATTCACGACACATTATATCAACTCATGACGATACAACTCCTGCATTTCAGACACTACGTCAGCGTGCCCGTGACAGGTGAAAGGATGCGCTCAAAGGAGAGAGGTTTATATCAATGTCTGGAACGTCGTCCTGGGCGTAAAATATATATCAGATAATATTTCTCGGATGCACAATCCTCATAGTTCTCACGCCGAAAACTCGGCCGACCATCGCTCCTTGCTTTCTACAAAAGGTCTTCACGTTCTAGGTTGTATTCTCATTGATCGTAAAGCCTCTGTTCAAAGGTCAAAAGTTCGTCAGCAAAGCATTCCAGTCTGAAGCTCTGGGACCATTTCCTCTCGACCGACCAACCTGAAACGCCTAAGAGCTTCAAAGACATAAGGGGAGAGAAGAGGGAAAACATACCCATCAACAACCAAATTATGTCCCACGACCAAGCTCATCCTCGGCGTGCTCAGGAGCACTACCACATCGCCGACTTCTTCAAAATGTGCCTTCCTCCCTTGCCTTGCCTCGTACGTTTCCCAGACTTGGCCGGCTTCCGCGTCCGCAGCGGCAGAAGCGGCATCGGTGAAACTTTTCTTCTCCTTGAAGAACGGGTCAAGGAGTTGGGTCAATAGGAAACCAGGCGATACCGCGTTGATGCGGATGTCGTGACGGCGAGCTTCGAGGGCGGCCTAGAATACGGCAAAATCGAAAAATGAGAATGTGAGAATGTGGATCACTTGATCAGAGCAAGAGAAATTGGGGATTTGGAATGGGAGCAAGGGTTAGATTTGGACCTAGAGTGGGACTTACGGCTTTCGTGATCCCCACAACGGCATGTTTGGAGGCCGTGTACCCAGTGGTGCCGGCGCCAGCTTGGATCGAATTCACAGATGCACAATTCACGATGGAGCCTCGTTGAGGGGGACGGCCTGGTTCACTAGACAGTAGATCCAAGATCAATAGGTTGAAATCTTGAGTGTGGGTGGATGGAAGTTGTAGCTGTCGAACAGGATCACAACAAGAAAGAGCGAAGAGGGACAGGGGAGGAGGAAACTCACACCTCGATTGGGTCCTGCTTCATCATCTGCTTCAACTCGTATTTATTGCAAAGCCAGACGCCGACGGTGTTGACTTCAATCACACGCTTCCACTGCTCAGTGTCGGTGTCGACGGTCATTCCTAGCGGACCGATTATACCGGCGAAGTTTCTTGGGAAGTTGTCATTACGTATAGACAGGCACAAAGAGCTGGAGGGTAATCGAATTGTTGCAGAGGAAAAAAGGGCAAATGGCAAATCAAGAAGATGAGATGAGGATCGAGGATACTGACGCTGCATAATCGATCCGACCAAACTCTTGGACTGCTTCATTAACCGCGCGTTCCACGTCCGCTTCTTTCGCTACGTCTGCTCGGATACATAGGACCTAGACGAACATGACCGAGTAGTAAATATATGATCAATCCTGGTCCAGCAGGATATGAGCTTATCATGAGAATCCTCTGCCTCGTACGTGTCATAAAGGAGATGACGTTGATCCTTGAGCTAGTGGCGATGACAATAGAAAAAGGTACGTACCTTTGTATTGTATTTCTCGACATTCCTCTTCCCAGCTTCAAAGGTAGCTTCATCTTGAATATCGATAAGACAGACACCACGAGCGCCTTCTTTGGCAAAGGAGACGCCAATGGCGTTGCCGAGGCCGCGGGCACCGCCGGTGATGAAGGCGACACCGGGAGCGACAGGGCCGGTGCGGAAGGCCATCTGACTGATGTAACAAATGAAATGCGAATGGATCTGTGGGCTGACAGCAATCCTTTGTCGTCTAGCGACAGGTAACTCGTGGGCTTGAGGTGGCAAATATTTCGACCTCGAGATGTTCTGAGAATGCAATATAATGCCTTATGGATTCATGGAAAACGATCAGCGATGTTGAATGACGAGCTCAATCATGCAACAAACATATTACGACAATGCTGAGGTGATGGCCTGGCCCCGGTCGAGGCCTCTCAACTACCTTCACGAAGCAATATAGGGGAGAGGTCTCTAAAAGGCATCACCTCGGCTTGGTAACTGTGTTCATGACTTGGTCAACCAAACCGACAGCCTCGTTGGGCCCCTCTCCCCTCTTCTTTCTCCACGTCTCCGTGAATGCACGTTCTTCACACCCCCGCAAATTGAACGTGCTGCAAATACCTGGCCCACACCTCGGGCTTCGGCCCGATACAAGACTGTATCTTTGAGCTGATCAAAACAGTTGGAATAAAATAATATTCTCGGCGGAAAGCTGTGAAGATGGGGTGGTTTGGTACGTCATCAAGTTCCGTCTAGTTCACATGCGAGGCCTCAATCTGTATACGCCTTGCATTAGTAAAGGGATTATCAAATAAGTTAGATGAGGACAATCTGGGTTTCAGTACAGTGACACGAACATATGGCCGTTTCCTGGAAATGGCTTGTATTAAAGCGGATGTCGGTAGGAGTGAGGGACACTCCGGAATTAAGCCTTATATAGGGTGGAGGACGTACCTTGGGATTTGGACGTGGACTGAGGAGAGTCAACGCAAAGGTTCGTCCAGACTGTGCAGTTCGATGGTCAATGTTGACTTGTCGTTTTCCGATTATAGAGCTGGAGAAGACCATCTCACACTTCTCGAAGTTGGGCACCCCAATCATCAAAATGATTTCTGAGCCTTCCACCAGCCAATGGCTGAAACTCAGATTCCCCAAACGGGGACATACATCTTTGATTCTCCGGGCGCTCTGCATATGGGGCTTCCTTAGCTCTCGCGGGCCGCCTAAAATGGCCTCGGCACGTCACTGGCGCTGAGTCGGTAGATACAGTGTCAGAAAACAATCGACATATTCAATCAGTTATGCACGATCAATGTAGGCTCTGCTCATTTCCAGATGTGTTCGAGAGCTTGGATATGAAGAAAGAGTTCTTGAACCTCACCGAAGTACCACACTAGGCCATACTCGGACCCAAAAATAAGGTCCAAGTCAAAATGAAGGCTGCGAGGTACCATGGAAATCGAGGCCTGAGGGTGGAGGTGGAAAATTCCACAGATCAAAGATGGTCAAGTATTGATTGAAATGGTGTGAGGCGGAATATGTGGTTCAGATCTTCGCGAATATCTGCTCGGTAAGGAGGTGTTGTGCAGAGGTTCGAAAATCAGGACCAAATGAGGCCTAGGCCGGGAATCATGCCCACCAAGGCACTCTCACATCCATTGACTGGAGCCATGTTGCTTTTGAAAATGGGGCATGAGTTTTGCGGCAGAGAGAGTAAGATTGGATCCCACGGCAGGCTGAACGTTGGACAATCCGTCATGGTAGATCCACGACTGTATTGTACTCATTGTCATGCATGCATGGCAACCGATACAAACATTTGTTCCAAATGGGAGTTGCTAGGTCTCAGTTCGAATGACGGAGATGGATATTCTGAATATGCGGCCATCAACGAGGATATGTGTTATGTTCGACCCGATTCAGAACCTCTTTCCGAGGCAGCATTGATCGAACATTTAACAGTGGCTAGACATGCAGCGAGATCATCGGGTTTCAATGATTACCAAGACAAAACGATTCTCATTCTTAGTGGTGGTCCTGTTGGCTTGGCCGCAATAATTTGCGCTGGAAGCAAAAGGCGTGGGAAGCTGATTGTCAGCGTACCGACGACCAAACGGCCACAACAGACGGCTCAATTTGTTGATGCGGTGTTGGACCCGAGGAAGGAGAAAGTGTTGAAGGACGGAATGGACGCCTTGCGCCGCGGCGGGACCTATGTCAACTGCCGCAGGTTGGGAGGAAGACGTTTGTAAGATATGCAGGCGATGAGGATGGTCAGACTAGCCTATGGAGCACTTCATGTCGAAGGAACTGATATTCCGAGCTTCAATGAGCTACACGGCGCAAGACTTCAAGGAGACGGTTGATGATTGGATAGCAGGTATGTATGCTTTCCGCTCAGAATATGCAGGGAGTACAGCTGACCGCAATCAGGCAAGTTCAAAGGGCTTGGAGACGTGGTGACGAAAGGACTCGAGAAGCTGGTCAATAACAAGGATGACCACGTGAAAATATTGGTGACTCCGCCGGGGACCTTATAAGCGCTTCAAAGAACTTGCCTGAAGACGCGATTTGAATGAGGAAGAGGCAATTTCTTTGAAGGGTAGAAGATGTAAAGAATGAAAAAGTGTTGGTCCAGACTTCGGGACATTTTGTACGGTGCCTGCTCATGTCAGTCGCGTTTGCTTGCGGTTGCCACGGTTCGGCCCGCCAATTCCAAGCTCTGTTTTTTTTATTTTCCCCCCACATATGATAAAATGATCGTAGTTAGACACAACCTGCAGCAAAGAGTGTCCAATTCCACCAGCACTCATTTTTCAGTCTATCGTCTCCGGCCGGCCCCTCTCCAGGATGGATGCCCATGCCCACCTTCTCTCCCTTGGCTGGGCTGGACCGGGCCACTCCCTTGACTCGCGACCATACAAACAAAAGGGCCACCGCGGACTCGCCTACGATCCCTCCTCAGTCGGCAACACGGGCAACGGCCTCGTGAAGCCTCTACTTATCTCTCAACGCCAGGGCCGCCTGGGCATCGGGAGGAAGGCCCATGAACCACAAGCGGGCAATGAATGGTGGTTAAAAGGCTTTGAAACTGCATTGGGCAATATTGGCAAAAGCGAGAGCGAGAGAAGTAGCGGGACCTCTACCCCAGTTAGGGCCGAACACACAAGAGGCGGAGGCAAACATGGTGGACTGTACAGCTTTTTCATCAAGGGTCAGGAGATGGAAGGTACAATTGGCAAACCTGATGAGAGTGAGATAAAGCGGTTTTCAAAGAAACGGAAGAGCGATGTACTTGAGGATGACGAGGAAGAGGAACAAACTGCCACATCCAAGAAGCAGAAGAAGGCAACAGCCGAATTCGAACAGATAGGCGCATACTTAGCCCTTCGCGACAAAGATGAAAAACGGAGAGTGCGAACGGAGAGACCCAGTCCGGTCGAGGAATTTCGACAAGTGAGTGAATACCTCGAGGCGAGGGAAGAGAAGAAAGTTAAGAAGAAAAAGCGGAAATCAGAAATACCACCTTCTGAAAATGAAGTTGACCCACTGATTGAAGAACAAGATCAAGGACAAGAGAAACGATCAGCACGTCCTGAAAGGAAAGAGAATAGACGCGAGCGTCGACGGCAGAGGCGAGAGGAGAAGAAACTCGAATCTAAATTTGTTGAGGCTGAAGATGCTGCTGCAAAAGCTGCTAGATGTACAGGGCGGAAGAGAAGGAAAGCTGAGAAAGGTGCCCACCCGTTATGACCACTTGCACCTGATCTGGAATGTGAAATGAAAATGCTGTTGTCATGTATAACGATCTATACTCGCCCTTGATGAACGCGATGAGGTGTCCATGACACAGTCTGATGTTCCACGATAGAGCGATCCGTTTCTTAAATATCAGAGTTTAAAGAAAGTCAGTCGAGATTTCTCGTCTTGCCTTTCGTTTCTGTACTGTCGCCGTCACCAAGGAGCCTCCCGGGCCTTCCGCCCCGGATCCACGGTCTCTGGATCCAAAACTCATCCTTGATGATATCGACATGCTTCGTAACAACCTTGGCCTTCTGCCGAGCCTTGCGCATTTTCTCCATTTGTGTTTTCGACATTGGATTTTCCACACCTGTTTCACATTCCAGGATCCCTTCTCCATCATCGCCTGGGGATGCCTCCAGTGCGTATTCTCTGTAGACCACACTCCCTTTGCGAAACATTTCAGGCTCATTATTGTAGTTAATACCGAATCGCGTCCAGAGGATCTCATTCTTATCACTGGCGACGGTGCCCTTGAGGTGCTCCTCGGCCGCCGTATGGGACATGTTGCCCTGCTGGACGAGGGCCCAGAAAGTCGTGTTGTAGAGGTTGTTAATGTGGCCTATTCCCGTGTAGAACGAGGAAGGTCAAGGCGTCAGCTTAATTCATGGCAAGAGCCGAGCGGAATAGAGTGATGTCATGATGAGAATCAGGGAGGGGCAAGAAGGGAATATGAATGAACACGTACAATCAACCTGCCTCCAGCTCAGGTAATCTCTCAAATTCTCCCACGAAGGATAACACACCGCTCGCCCATCGAAAGTAGGGAGCATCGTCAGACTCAACCGCGGCAACTCAGCACCTTCATTCTCACTCTGACCCTGGTCCACGAAGGCAGAATTCCAAAGGACCACATACGCGGCCGTGAACAGACTAACGACCGTGCTGACGAGCTTTGCGCTCCGTCTTTCAAACAATGTCGTCGACTTATGGAACACGAAACTGTATTCGTCCGAGACGCCGTAGGCGACGACGAGTTCGGGGATGGATGTCACGACCTGCGTGGCTGCGAGGTTCATCAGGTTCAAGGCCCGTGTGTCATTGGGTTTGCTGAAGTTGTAGTAGTTTGAAAGCCTGTATATCAGAACATTAGTTGAATGAATTGTAGTGTGGAGGATCAGAGTCGTTCTTTCCGACTTCCATAGGCACTCGTGCAGCGTGAAAGGAAAGGGAATTTTGTCTTTCTCTGCTCCCAAAGATATACACGAATGGGCACATGAGACGTACTTATGGAACCCTCGCCCGTCAATTCTTACCACGATCCAGGTGTTTGGAAGCAGGTTCTCGTCTCGTTCAAAATTGCGGACGTATTCATATCTGGAGACGTTAGTCCAAGGCCCTGGCCCGGAAGTGGATGCGAGGGAGGAGGAACAGGAGTTGTTGGACCTACTTTGAATTTGCCATCTGAGAATGTGCGCAAAGTTTCCTTGAGCAGTGACAGTCTCATTGTTTTGGTTGGGTTAAAGTATCTTGGTGTCAAACGATCGAGGGGGATGAGGATGCAATGAATGTGCGGGTTCTCGAAAAAGATGGACTCGACAGGGCCCTTGAGTCATAATGACAGCCTGAAATTTCTTGGTAAAAAGAATTCAATTATAGTGATCAATCGCACTATACAAAAATATCCATATTCCTCATGCTTCATGCCTCGTCGTCATCTCTTTCCTCTCCGGTTTCACTGGCCCTCTCACTACTCTCACTAATTTCGCTGGCTGTCAAGTCCTCTTTGCCCCCCTTTTTGCTCTTGCGCATAAAGTTCCAATTGCTTAGACTCGTCCTACTGGTCTTTTTCTCCTCCGCGCTTGGTGTGGTCGATGTGCTCTCCAAACTCTTTCCAAGATGTTCACTGGAGCCCTGCTCTTCCTCATTCTCACCATTGGGGGTTGAAGCGTCTTTCCTCGAAAACAGACCTCCCTTATCCTTCCAGCTTCCGAACTTATTGCTGCTGGCTTTTCTCGTGATTTTGGATATGAATGTCGGCTTGACGGGTGTATTCTCCAAAGACAAGTGAGCGCTTGTTCCAGATACTGTACGATCCAGCGTTTCGGAATCCACGGTAGAGATCGTAGCCGCAACAGAGCTGGTATCCTTTGACTTCCTTGACTCTGGAGGAGAGGCTGCTTCCGCCTCGGCGGGCTTGTCTTTCGACTCTTTGGATTTTGTCCGATCCTTGTCTTTGTCCTTGTCCTTGGTCTTTTCACCCCGTTTACCAAATAGCATGGTAAATGAGGGTGCTGCCGGATTCAATTTCGGAGTTGAAGCCTGCTGTGATGATGCTGGGCGGGTGCCAATTGGTGCTTGCAAAGGACGCGACGGTTTCCTGTCCGGCTCCACCACTTCTACTTCCTTATCATTATGTGGAAGTGAGAGGTTGCTCGTAGATCCGTACACAATGGATGGCCGGCGTGAATGACTCTGGGAATATGAATGGAACGAACCCCAATCGGGAGCGAGTGGACTGTTTCGAATAGTCGGCTTGTCCGCATTCCATGCCCGAAACTGGCTTTCCGCCGATGGTCGTGGCATCTTGTCAAATGAATAGGTGGATGAAGGCCGTGGAGAGGATGAGCCCCGGCGAAGACCAGGATCGAATGATCCAGACCTTGCTGTCAAAAAAGGATCGTAATTTGGCGAAGCGGCGGCTGATTTGCCAAATCCCGGAAATTGAAAGGCACGGCGAGCCGTGGCGAATCGAGAAACCTCCTGTTCTCTTTCTTCCGGCGTCCCATTCCCGCGTAAGAGCATCCCAGGGGATGCCCAATTCCCTCCGTAGCTCAACCGCCTTCTGGGCTGGATGGCTGGATCGAACTCATCCATATTTCTCGGAAATGATTGACTCTGACCCGGTTTGAGAGATCCCAGAAGCGGCGGTTGATCTGCCAAGGTTTTCCCACGCTGACGATTGAGGCCAAACATGGATGAAAATTTGGCCTTGTTGGATTGCTGGACGACCTCATCTTCCGGCTTTTCGTCAGACTTCTTCCCAGAATTCGTGGATTTCTCATCAGATTCGACGGCTGGGGTGGATGTTTGCAGAGGACTGGAAAACGACCTACTTGAGGATGAGCCCACCGAGGGACTCTCTGTGCGGCGGCTATCTTCTTGCAGTATCGGCGACCCGATTTTGGGAAATGGGCATGTCCCTGTGTCCGGGGCTCCTTTTTGCTCAGTCGTTTTGGGCAACTCATCCGCCGATTCGTCACCCAGAAGATCCGCGGGCAAGAGTGAATCTGCTCTGGGACTCATCGGAATCGAGCTGATTGCCTCTATCTCCTCACCTGTCGAAGAGGGCATTTCCGAGGGCATGGCCAACGTCATTCCGTTTTGAGGATTGAAATAATTTTGCACGGCCACCGTTGGTGAAGAATTCGCAGCAGATGTATACTGGAGTCCAGCAGGGAACGGTTCAGAGCCCGTAAAAGGGCCTCTGGGCGAGGAAACGCTACTCCCAAGTGAACCGGTATGTCTTGGTCGTCGTACTGGTCTCAAACCTCGCCGAACAGCGTCCATATCAAGGGGCGCAATCGGGACGAACGACATATAGTTGGCTCGTCTTGCTTCCAGTTGAGTGATTTGCTCTCTGGTGTAGTTGACTTGTTGGTTCGCTAGCTGGAGGTCACTCCATAGCCGGGCATAGGTTTGCTGGAGGTCCTCAAACCTCGCTCGCCATCTCATATCACGTTCGCGGTCAAGTCGATCCGCTTCTCTCGACTCATCAGTCTCATCCTCGACATTTAACTGTTTGCGTTCTTCCTCCAATGCCTTTATTTGAAGTGCCTTCTCTTTATTGTCTTCTTCCAGCATCGCGACTTCCTTTTGTTCCTCTTCAATCTTCTTGCGGATTTCTCTAAGCTCGGATTGCGTCCGACGTTCAATGGCGGCTTTCTGGGTCTCGATACCGGCCATTTCTTCCTTCATCGAGGCGATTTGATCTTCCCATTTAGCAATTTCGTCTCTTCGTTTTCGACGCTGATTCTCCCTTTGCTGGAGAAGCCGTTCCTTTTTCGTTTTCTCGCTTTGGGCGGTCCGGCTAGCAGTCTCTGCCTTGTGAACTTGCTTGCGCAGATCGTTGCTAGCTTCATCCCGCTCCTTCAGACTCTGCTTCAACTGATCTCGACGTGCTTCCAGTTCTTTCAACGCATTTTCAAATTCTTTATCTTCTTCTTGTATTTGAGCTTCGATCGCTTCAATATCTTGTTGAACCTTTTGAAATCGCCGAGATAACTCTGCGAGATCACCATCTACCTCATCGTCGGTCCCTCTGGATCCCACATCTTGAGCCGTCGGAGAGTCGGTGATATGATTCGCGGGGGAAGGTCGCCGTCCGGCCGTTCCCCTTCTGCCTACAGGTTGTCCCCCGCTTGATTCCCGGGACATGATAGGAGCGGATGCGGGCGTAAAATTTTGAGAATTCCGCACCGGAATGGCTCTGACTGTCGGGACGGATTCGGAAGCTTCACCCCGGGACGAGGGAGATGACGAATTCGGAAGGCGAACATGAAGCGGTGCGCTTGGAGTTTGGAAAGTACCAGCACTCACACAGAAGATACGAATGTCGTAAATACTTCCCGGCACGAGGTTGGAGATTATGGCACCCATCTCATTCTTCCTTGTAGTTCCAACAACTCTCCCGTTGACTTCGACATGGTATTCTTGCACCGAGGCCGATGGTTCTGCATGCTTCCAAGTAATCTGTACCTCGTGCGCCGAGATTTCTTCAAGGATAATAAGCGGCGCAGGTGGAATATCGAGGCCGAGTTTATCGACCAGGATGTCATTCGGGGTCGAAATGACCGTGTATGCCCTATAAACAAGCCTGCAACAACGTCAATAGTGAATCAATGACGGATTTTGAGTGATGTTTACCATGAAAAAGCCCAGAAAACGGCCAGGAGCATAAGTAGAGCCATGCGACCTTTGACGTTAACTCGCGGCGCAACTAGATGATAGGCATAAGCAGCCCAGTCGACTGGCTCTAAATGCCATCTAGATGAGTCCATCCACAACAATGGTATGGCAGGCATACGCTCGACGAAGTATGTGCGAGACAGAGTGCTGGAAAGTCAAAGACTATGATTCTGCTGGTGTGGGCAGCGCCACTCATTTTCCAACTCCCGGTGTATTTCCACTCCAGTCTTGGCGGGGGTTTTGGGGCATGGCCCAAGAATTTATTTGGGATCGAGATGAGAACGATGATGGCGCAAAATTATACAGAGCGTGCTATAAATACGGGGCCATCAGTTGCTCTGGAAGAACTAGGAGTAGATATGCCAGAGACGACAGAGCAACAAGTCCGTCGGAAAGAGGAAGCCCAAAATCAGAAGATTGATTTACTCCACGAGTCCGCTCCCATCCTATCTATCGTATTTGGGTATCATAATTTTGTATCACCAAAGAATGCCACTCCAGAATGCAATGCGATGCAATGCAATGGCCCTGGATCATCTCATGAAATCTGCATGTCATTATCCCCATCCTTATCACCACCTCCATCATCAGGACCAAAGACATCTTCCATCGTACCCAACCCTTCCTCGTCATCTTCTCCTTTCTCGTCCATTTGCATCAAATCTTCCGGTTCTGGTCGATCTTCTGGCTCTACTTCAGCAACGCTTTCCTCGCCCTCGCTATCCCATTCATCTTTCAATCCCCAACTCAATCCCGTGAGACAATATTTTTCATGGGGAAGTCTGACACCTCCGACCATCGGTCCGCTCTTCTCACCATCTCTGGACTGGGAGATGATGGATATTCGGTTTCTTTCGTCTGCCAGGCCCTTGAGAAATTCCTTGGGCAAGCTGCTTTGAAATTGGTATCCCATGCGAGAGCCGATGGCCATGCGGAGAGCTGCTAGACTCACATCACCTTCCTCGCTCTTGCTTTGATTTTGTTTTCCTCGGCCTTTAGTCTGGGTACCTCCATCGGCCTGATCGTAGGCCTCGTTTTGTATATGTAATGCATCACTCAGCACAGAGCTGGTGTATCGATAGGCAAAATCCATGAGTTGAAGGGGAACACGTTGCTGATACGCTGAGATTCCATGTGAGACGAGTAAGAGGTGAATCAGTCGGTGATCTCGAGGCCTTTTTGATTTTCCGTCGTCTGATAGTGAAGTCAAGGGTTGAGAGAACAGTGCTTCGGCTTGGGGTTGTGTTGTGGTCTGAGGCGCAGGTTGTGGGATTTGGGACGAGGGTTCTGCAGGAGGTGTGAGAGGTCCAGGAGGATTTGCTGGTGAGCTCATGTTGGCTCTGGAACTCGAAGGGAGAAGGGGGGGGGGGTGGAAAAATTAGAGGACAGGAACCGGTGCGATCGAGAGTCCGGCTACTAGACAGGAGCCATCGCGACAGATGAGAAATCTGAGTCGAAGGTAGCTGATGAAAGGTGCTGTACGGGGGTGTATCAAAGAAATCTGGGGAAAATAGAGATGTTGAGGCTGGAGGGGCGTATTACTGTGCCAGAAATTAGAGATGTTTGGGGAAATACTTTTAAAGTGACTAGCGGCCGGGGTTAGTCGGCTCTAAAGCACATGCCTCAGCTCCCCATCAGTTCCGGTCCTCCCCATCCCTTCTCCCTCCCTCTCACTCGTTTGCTGTCGACCTGCTCTGTACATCACGCTTCTCTCCAGAGCCTTGTTTGCCTCTTGCTGTATTTCTACGAGCATTGCGTTTCCGGCGTTGTTGACCACATCTCTTGCGGCTTCTGACGTCCGTCATTCAGATCAGGCACCTCAATTATGTTCCCACTATAGACACCATCTCGCCACATCCGACAACACTCTCAAGCTAGACCCGATCACTTCTTGCTTCTACCACCATGCAGTACGTTCGCAGCTTGGGGAGCGGTGTCTCCAAGACTTGGAATTCCATTAATCCCGCAACCCTGTCCGGAGCCATTGATGTCGTTGTGATTGAACAAGAAGACGGCACTCTGGCGTGTTCCCCTTTCCACGTCCGTTTTGGAAAATTCTCTTTACTCCGACCTTCCGAAAAGAAGGTCGAGTTTAAAGTCAATGGGGTCAAACAAAACTACGCCATGAAACTCGGAGATGGTGGCGAAGCCTTCTTTGTCTTCGAGACTTCGAGCGACATCCCCGAAGCTTTACAGACCTCGCCTCTTGTATCCCCAGCCAACAGTCCACCTATTAATGCCGCCGATAATCCACCCTCGCCGGGACTTTCGGAGCCGTCGTATCTTGATATCGCAGAACCTAGCAAGGGTGGCCGTACTCCGGAACAGTCTTCGTCACAGCGGACCATTCCACTCATCAGAAGGGAAGGGACAAGCCTCAGTGAACGAGGTTTATATGGCTCCCTTCCAGCGTCTAACACCCCTCTTCCAGCAACGCCTTTGTCGGCGCCCTCTCTCTTGGAACGTTCAGTCTCCGAGGAGGTGCTAACCGTTGCGGAGCGAGAGCAATTAGATTCGGTCAGCGAATCGTTTCACAATAACGGGATCCCAACCTCGCCCAAGTTTAGTCTTGACGGCACCAGCACTCCCAAACCTTCTGCCAGTCCCCCGGCGCTGAAACCCAAAGAAGCCTATGACCGGGCGATGACACTATCGAAAAAGCTTTCGTCCTCTAATATCCGATCCCAAGTCACCGAATCCGGGGATCTGATGCTGGACATGACCGGCTACAAAACAAGTGAAGACGATGCCCTTCGAACCGAAGCCGTGGCCCGCAAACTTCTTTCGGAAGAACTGGAAGGAAATTACGATATCGGCTCGTTAATCGGAACCGACGAGCGTGGTAATCTTTGGATCTACAGCAGTGAGGAAGCTCGGGATGCTGCCAACCGAAAAGCGGTCACTCAGAACCTCGAGCAAACCAACGCTATCTCGATCGACAATGCCTCCGACCCCGGCTATCACAGTGATAGTGACCGCAGTCCTTCGCCAGAACTCTCCGCTAAAATCCAGCCACATGGCCATCAACGAGCGCAATCCGAAGAATTACCACCAGCCCCCCGGATGTCTGGGGAGCAAGGCCGAAATTTTGCCAAAACTCTCCGTTTAACAAGTGATCAATTAAAAGCACTCAATCTTAAACAAGGCGAGAATCAAATGTCCTTCACCGTCAACCGCGCCACTTGTACTGCATACATGTACTACTGGACTTCGGATGTTCCCATCGTGATATCTGACATTGATGGCACCATCACCAAATCCGACGCTTTGGGTCACCTGCTCAATATGGTCGGGAGGGATTGGACGCATGTGGGAGTGGCCAAACTGTATTCTGACATTGTTGCCAACGGGTACAATATTCTATACCTGACAAGCCGGTCAGTTGGTCAAGCGGACACAACCCGCACATACCTGAACGGTGTCACGCAGGAGGGTTGGAAATTACCTCGAGGACCGGTCATAATGAGCCCGGACCGGACCATTGCAGCATTACGACGTGAAATATACCTCCGCAAACCAGAAGTATTCAAAATGGCTTGTTTGCGAGATATTCTCGGTCTTTTCCCCGGCAAGACCAATCCCTTTTACGCAGGTTTCGGGAACCGTTTCACCGATGCACTGAGTTACCGCAGCGTCAATATCCCGTCCACCCGGATCTTCACCATCAACACGAATGCCGAGGTCTCGCTGGACCTATTGACGTTGAACAAATATCGAAGCAGTTACGTTACGATGCGTGAAGTGGTCGACCATTTCTTCCCCCCCGTGTCGACACTGGTGAAGGAAGGAGGCGAAGAGTATACCGACTTTACGTATTGGCGTGACACACCCCGGAACCTGGAGAACTTCACACCGACGGATTCAGAAGCCGAGGACGAGGACGACCTGGACGAAGACGAAGAGGAGGAAGCAGAAGTTGAATCAGGAAACGAAATGGGAGATAGTTTCCTCTCACGAGAAAGCCTAGACGAATCCGCGTTAGGAGATTCAATTCGCGAATCGATCGAAATCGACGATACAGCCGATGCTCTGGAGGCTTCACAAATTAGCGACGATCGAAACGGCAGCGCGGAACCGGATGACGAGCCTGACCAGGATTTCACAGATGACTATCTGGGCAATGACAACTCGCAGAAGTTGAGGCCAAAGACACCGTCGCAGCCACCGACTCCCAGGGAGAGTGCGATGCCGACAAAAGCAAATGGTTCTAGATGGGCATGAAGATGACAGACCAAAAAGCAAGAAAAGTTTGAACTTTGATCATCACAGGAGTCAAATTGCATGGGGCGGGATTATCGGGGGTCACACATTAACAATGGCTGTGTTCGGGCACTGGAGCAATATGTTCTGTTTGATGTGTGGTTTTACATGGGACTTTGAATTGTTGGAGGAAAGGGCGAAAAGGCTATCGAGGTGACAGGGACCATGATTACAGTAGAGTTATTGGAAGCATTGGAGCCGGAGTTCTTTTCATCTAGAGGCGCAGTTGTTCAATGTTGAAGGTTAACAGGGTCATCGTTGGTACATATACGGCATCATTGGCGTTTGTGGACAGGATGAAAGAGACGGCTTACTCGGCGTTGCCTCGGAGCATGAATGAATGCACCATCACCAGGACTCAAGTTCCTAAGTCTGTGAACCGATCGATACATCGGCGAACGCGAAGGAATTGTTTATCTGGTTTCTGATTCGTGATCATGGTCCGCGATCCCCAACATGCCATGCAAACGCAAGGATGAATCCAAGCTATACAGACGATGGCCTTCCTGGGCCATGTATTTCTTCCACAATTTATAGGAAAAATAGATCTATCTGTTTCCGCCAAATGGAGAAATGCAGTGGTCCTGGGCGAGCACCCTCCATTCAAATTCCACACCTCCCGTCTACTCCGCCCCCGTTCGTCGATCCAGGTAAGTGAATATTGATGAGGTAGTTTCAATGCTTCCCATTCTTTGCCGCCTCCTTCCCCTTCACCACCCTCTGGAAGCGTTCCAAACACCCTCCCCCTTCGATCACACAATCCAGCAACCAAGCAAACCAGACACCGCTCCCAACTTCGACCCAATGCCTCCTTAGCTTCGTGTTCGCGAGCCACGCAGCCTCCGTCCCATGTACCAACACCACGAGAGTCAACACATAAGGCTGCAGCGTATAGCACAACCTTGCGAGACCCGGTACAGCCCCGCCTAGTGACCAAATGCTCGCGATGATGGTGCCCGATTCAGGCTTCAGCGCTTCGCGAAACGGAAATGTCGAGAGAATCAAAAGAGTAATGCCCGCCAATCCCCAATGCCATGCACGATCGGGCGGAACGTACGTATCGATCACAATGTCACTGAGGTCTAATGCAGAGAGACACTCATTGTGCATGGCGACGAGGCGCTCGCGGGCGTCGAGAAGGGATTTCATCTCCGGTTCAAAGGAGATGACGTGCCTGCCAAAGCTGGATGTGAGAATCATATGCTGAGTGGTGATGTCGGTGAGGGTGGCGGACGAAGTGCCGGAGAGTGGAACATGAGAGTAGTGCATGAGATAGAGGCGGAGAGAGAGAGCGTGGTCGGTGTTCATGTGTGTGATGATGCGGGTTTTCATGGCTTGAGGGTCCGGAGGGCCGCGGGGAGTCGACATGTTGAGTTGGTCGTTGATCGAAGCGGTAAGTCTTGGGGAAAGCTTGTGAGATGAGATGCAAGAACGAGATGTGGGTTGTTGTATGCTCAAGTAAGTGAGGAGGAGAATGAAAAGGAGACGATGGCCTCGATCTTTTGTTTTGATTTAACGAGTTGATATCGATGTGGTGGTGGTGATGGTGGTGATGATAAGTCGGCGAATACTTCCGCTTCGGGGAGCCGACACTGAAGGCGGTTCAGACGAGGGAGGCCGCGGACCGTGACACGCCGCGCGACTGAGCGACAGGATGAGCGACAGGATGCACGGCAGATGACCGATGAGACGCTGTTGTAGTTGTTGTTTGGAGTCCGAAGGTATAAGCGCAACCTCGCTGCTTAGATGACGTAGCGTCTAATGCAGCCTTGCGAAATCGGAGGGGGAAGGTGGGCTTCCTGAGATTTGATAATAGAATTTCAAGCAAGCAATGACACCGACGTCGCTGAGGAATACTAACGGCACACTTTCGAGCCATGGTCGGGGAATCGTGAGATAGAGATTCGCAAGGCGAAACGTAGTCAATATTTGTAGCCTTAGAGCCTCTTTGTAACAAACCCAGGCCGCTAATATACGGCCAATAACTCAACACCAAATACAAGGTAAAGGAGTTTCACGGTCCATTCTACGCATCATCCGCGACCAATCGATCCTTGTACCAGTCCAGGCTAAACTCTCTTTCCCAATAGCCCTCCATTTTACCCTCCGCTTGCCCATGTTACCTATCCCTATCCAACTTCATAACCCATCAATTCGTAGCTCGTCAAGGTATTCCAGGCCCGGGCGCGATTCGTGACTCTGCTAGGTCTGCTCGCCGTAGGCCTGACCCTGTAAAAAGCCTGTGTCGAAATAATGCATCGTCTTGCGGTGTTGATTTCGACCTTCTGTAATGAGGCGGGTTTGAAGACGTTCTGATGGCTTTCCATGCCAACTCTGTATGAAGTTCAGGTATACTTCTTTATTCCCCGATCGTCCGAGAGCCTATCACTCAACCACCTGCAACCGCCTCACTATTTACCACGTGAGCAAATAGTAATAACTCTGCATTTTGTGGATTTGTGGAATTGGCCGCATGTGTTTCTCTCCAATCAAGCAAAGCTTCATGAACTGCTTCGTCACTATCAATCAACACGAAGTCGCCATCTTCATCTCGGTATCGTAGTCGGACAGATCCAGACGCAATCGAATGATTGGTAAACCGAGCCAACTTGGCGTCGATTCGATCTGCCAATGAACGGAATTGGATATTGCTGGCAATGATCATCGAGACATAATTTTCATCAAAGCACACTTTCGCCTTAAGTTGACTGGGTAGATACGGATCTCCATCGCCCGAAGGTGATGACACCGAAGGAGGGAATGTCCGACCTTGCGATAGCGACGGCGCATGTCCGGTTCTTCTTTGGTCAATTCCATAAGATGGATCATAAGTATAACCGTGATTCGGAATGCCAGGTCGAGGCGCCGGAGGGAGTCCATATTGTTGTTGGTGTGGAGTGCCTCCTCGTGACGGTGGCGCATTGTTCGGAGAATTGTTTTGACTTCTGTTTGGAGGAGCCATCTGTTTCGCAACATGTGCCGGAATGGGAGGCACTGTTGGCACATGTTCGCTGGACACATATTTGCGACTCTGCTGCACCATAGGATGAACATCGGGGCTGCTCGCAGATCGCATCCGGGGCGCTTGCGTCCCAGGGCCAGAGGACGGTCCTCGATTTCGACCATTAGCCAAGTAAGGATTGCCACCCGATTGACCATTCGGATTTCGAGGCATGGCCGGAGCAGTATTTCGATTGGACTCCTCTGGACGATACATTCCAGCACCGACAGGAGTCGTTCCTCGGTGATAACTAGCAAAAGCGGATTGGGAGCTTGATCTGGCCGAGATTGACGACTGTGGTGTTGATTCTCGCTCGGTCGGAGAGAAGTATGAACCTCCGGGGTAATCTTGTGGAGATTGCACAGGAAGTCCTCGAGTATTCAACGAAAGACCTCCCATCTCTGCGGTGGGAATTCGCATGCGTCCAGCCGACATGTGCGGATTGCTATTTCCACTGCCTCCTGTGGCGGATCGTGATCGCAGACTTGTGCTTGAAGCATTTCGGCTCATGCTGAATTCGGAAAATCCTGTCGCATCGGTGCCTCCATAGGTGGTCCCGGAAAGTCTGCTGTAGTCGTCATCATCATCTTGGGTAAGATATGGGTTCTCCATATTCATTCCTTGCAAGGAGAGAAGTTGCGTATCAGAGGTCCCCCTTTGTTTGGCCTCCAACATGCAGGATGACCGTTGTGTTTCAATCATGGTATGCCACTTTTGGAGCGTATCGTCATTTTTAAATTTGATGATGAACGTCTCCACGGCCGGTTCGCCTTTCCATGATATTTGCAACGCATAATTCCCGGAGCTGGTTTGAGGGGACACCGCGGTCACATTGGTGAAGTAGATACGTCCTTTCAAGTTCATTTTCGGTTTCCCGCGTTGACTCAGGGCCGGTTTGCTGTTTGCCAGTCTGTTTTTGGGCTTGTTAGCATTGACATCCTTGCACATGATCAAGATCCGGCTAAAGAGGTAAATGTGATATTCTTTCTCATCAGATCGGATGCCACTGTCTTTCATGACATTGAACGTCCCAAGCAAAAGAAGCTCGCCAAAGGTTGAAATTTGTAATTGCTTCCAGTCATCTATTCGTTCTTGTAGATCTTGAAGGGCGTCATCTCTGGTCTCTTTATCGATAGAAGCATCGGCTTGCATGAGGACATCTTGGATAATTCCAATCGCGTGGGTCAAATCCGATTTGAGGTTGTCGTCTTGCGTTTGATTTTGAAGATCCTGCGAACGTCAGTATCGGTCGGTCATGAGTTCCGGCAAAACCTACCTTGAGCAACAGTGGATATTTTGTCAACCGCTGGAATGGCTTCAGTAAAAAGCCATTCAGAATGGTTGGATTTGCCAGCATTTGTTGAGTCAGAGGAGACCTAGCGTTCGCCACCATCTTATCCCATTCCTGTTGGCAAGTCGCTTCACATCTTCTCTGGTTGGCGATAAATGGCTCGTACTGTCTGAAAGGATCTTTGTAATGAACGAAGAGTTGACCCCAGTTTTGCTGGTCTTCAGGAACCTCATTTTGTTGTTCAATGCGGATCAAAAATCGCTGAGCAAAATCAAGCAGATTGTTGAGGTTGAGAAAGATGTTGTGAATGGAATCACCGGTCAATGCACCGACTTCTTCCAATTCCTTCTTCAACGCCTGCAAGTTTTGCAAATGATGAACATACTGCCTCTCGGTTTCGACGAGTTCTTTCAAGATATATTGTCGTCTAGTCAGCGACTTGGGGGCTTGGTCGGGCGCATTAGACCCGCTATCGGTTCCTTCGCGAGAATCTTCACTGTCCGTAGAAGGATGCAGTTTCCCGCTCAATTTCAATATATCCAGGACGCGATTGACCAGTTTGGTCACCTTCACAAAGCCCGTAGTATTGTCGCTGTACAGGTCAGTGACGGTGAAGGTGTCGGCCGCAGGGATATTCATTTGTTGCATGCAAGATTTGATGAAGAGAAACGCCGCTTCTTTCCCCACTCTTTCTGGCCGACTTGTGTCCACATGAAGGTCGCCTTCTTCGGGATTCGAAGCATTGTAAATTGCTAAGAGTGGCAACCCACTCCGGAAGCATTGCCATAAAGACGACACAGGATCAGTCAAGCCATCGGCCTCGCGCTCTTCCATTTCATCCAGATAAGGACGGAAGCCGGGAACCCCCGACAAGCGACGACGCAGTTTGATACATATTTGGTAGAGCGACTCTCCGTCTCTTACATTTATGATGTTGTTCTTGTCCAACATAGGTCCATGATCACCGTTCATTGTTGGCGGAGATGCCAACATGGTCGTTTGCGGCTGGAAAGCGCGCTTGTATGAGTCCGGGATGCGCTCGAGAAAAGTTGGGTTATTAGTGCATAGGTGTGGACAATTTGGTCCTTATTACGGTTCGAAGCAATGCTAACTGCACCGAATGCGACGGTAGATTATTGATGTGAGGAAGAGGGGCTCGCAATGGTCCCAAGAAGACGCGTGTGTCAGTTCGTGTAAGGATCGTGAAGTCGATTCGGAGCGGACCAGCGCAGGCAGGTAACAACGAGGGATGTCTGAGACCGATGTCTTAGAGATGAACAAAAGACTGCAAGTGGTTGGAGGTGACTTTTTTCATCTGGTAGCGAGCAAGGAGACCATGGGCATACTGGACGTACCGAAGCAAGGAGAATTGAGTTGACGGGTTGCTTCCCCAGGTTCCACAGATAGGCGAAGGGCGATAACGAAGGGGGCGGGATTGTACGAGGCTCCCAGTCAGGCGTCGTTTCTATTGTTGGGTTTCTGATCAAAACTCGACGAGGTGATTTGGAGGGTTGGAAGAAGTTGTGTGGTTGGTTGATGAGGTGCAAAGAGAACCAATCAATGGGATGGTTTAAGGGATGCCAGCGCGAAGAGGAGGAAAATGAGAGGAGGGTGGGGGCAAAGGATTCTCTTTCAAAATCAATAGTCCCAGCTGTGTTGCAGGCCAATGGACGGCCAGAGATAGAGGGGGAGGCTGTTTGTGAGCGGTGTTCAATCAGTCGAGAAGAGTGTTGAAAGGAATGAGTTAGGGAACTGAATTTTGGGACAAAGGTCAATTCCTCACCAGACTCGAACTGCGACCACAGTTCCACAAAATACCAGGTAAGGCGAAAAGTGCTGGGGCAGTAAGCCGGAGTGGTATGGTGATTGGTCAGGAGAAATGCGGGCAGTGAGCAGCACCAGATCGAAATCGACGCTCAGGGTAGTTTCGCAGTTGTTGCGTCTCTTGTAACGCAACTTGTATGGTACGATACACTCTCGGGTACTGTCTACTTCGCATTGCGAGCAGCTTTCAATCCGTTTACGTGTACTAGTGACCTTTTTACAACTCCTTCTGAGTGCCTCCTTGTCTCGAGCGTCCCCCCCAGCAAAAAAAGGGACGCTTGTGCTCCATGATCTTCCTTCTTTTCACCCCCTGTTTTACTGAATCGTTTGCCATGAGTGTGTTCTCTCTGTCCTCCGTAGCAGAGCACGAAGTTCCCATCGCCCTTCTCCCGCCATCCCCTTCCCACTTCCAGTACCCACAATGGCCACCACTCGAAAACATTCGAATGTCCCAAAAGCATCCTTCGCCCGGTCCCGCGGGATGGCGCCGCCACGATCTCCTCCCAGTAACACGCCGGTCGTTCCTCCAAGGGTGGAAATCAGCAGGAAAATCCCCATAAAGATGCACCTCAGCCTATTCAGGCACGATCAAACGCTGGATCAGACCCCAATGCCGGCAGAAGAAGAATTGGCGCCCAGCTTACCAGGGGGAGAACCCCCCTGGCGATCACCCCCCTCTCTTCCCCGAAAGTCGAGCTCCAAACGGCTTACTGATTTTGTCCTAGTTACACTCGGCTAACCGTCTGGTGCCGTTCGATGCCACAATAATCCGTCAGGCCGGGCTTGACGCCTGAGCTGGAAGAGTTGCTTACCCTTTTCGTTTGGCGCCACGACCAACAAGTCCCATGACTCCACCAGAGCACGGTTCCGGAAGAAAGAAACAGTTGAGATAATCGGATCCCCGGCAGCTCGAGCAGCTCGTGTTTTAGATTGTTTGAAAGAGTTTAGGGGGGCAGAACACGAAGATGGCATGCCGCACAATCAAACGTTGACCGGGGTTTCGCATTTAGGAACCCAATTATAATCGTCGATTTTCGTGCATCCTTGCCTTCGCGTGTTGACCCCTCGTGTACGGACCGAAACTGGATCGAAGGGTAGCAGTCCGCCGTCCAGGTGGCTCAGGCTAGGAAGAGAAGCACAACAGGGGCACAAAATCCCCCAGAAGAAATGCAGCTTGCCGACCCAGTCCCAATTGGTATACCAGGTTTTGTTCATGGACGCGCTTTATGCAGGGATCTAATTATCCTCGGCCACTGGGAAGATGAAAAGAACACCGGCAGAATGTTTCACATTTCAATATACGCGAGGCTACGAGAAATGCTGTAGACGAACTCGCAAACACCAGCTTGCGTGAGATGGCCGAAGAATCACGGATCGTGCTCGGTGTGCACAGTCAGCACCAAGTTCTCACCCAAAGATGTGAGCGACGATTACTCCTCTTGACTTTGCCGAGGTGAGAACCCGTGTGACCGAGCCATAAATCCTAGCCCCGCGAGAGCAATGAATACGGGCACTGCCCTCCTGGCCGTCATCAAGGCCTTCAAAGATCAGATTCTGAAATATAAATCCCAAAGTCGTCTTTAATTGATTCAGATCAGAAACCAACCATTCACACCCCTCAATATCAAGGGCATAAACCGTCATCATGTCATACCTCGACAAGGATTCTCTCCTTGCTCTCGGGCAAATAGACCCTGAATTCAAAGCGGTCTGTATATCCATGTTACTCATCCCATATGCAAGCAAGCCTCGTCTGACATAGCGGCCTAGTTTCTCGACTCTGCCAATCTACCTCCAGTGAGCTACGATAGCCTCGATGACTTCAAGGCGATGGTTGAAAATCGCAACGCGGATGATCTCAAGGCTCTGGGCCAACCCCCACCAGAAGTCAAGCAGACAGAGCTCCAATATCCCACCCGGGATGGCTCGAAAGTCCGAGCGAAACTTCATCAGCCCACAACTCCTCCCGAGGGTGGCAGTCCCTTGATAGTCATGTTCCATGGCGGAGGCTTCTGCATCGGTGCTCCTGAAGGGGAGGAACAATCATGCCGAAACTTTGTCCAGGCTTTTGGCGCAACCTGTATCTCTGCAGGTTATAGGCTGGCACCCGAGTACAAATTCCCAACCGCCCCAAAAGACGCCTGGGACTGTTTGAAGTGGGCTGCTGCAAATGCCGCTTCCTGGGGTGCTGACCTATCAGTCGGATTTGTGGTTGGGGGGACCTCGGCCGGTGGGAATATAGCGGCTGTTTTGGCTCATCTGGCTCGAGATGAGAAACTCTCACCGCCTTTAACAGGTCAATATCTCGCTATCCCTGCGGTTTTGCCGGAAAAGAAAGTCCCAGAGAAATATCAGCAGTATGCTCTGTCGTATGAGCAGAACAAATCCGTGCCTGTGCTGCCAGTTGCGGCAATAGATATGTTTATGCGCGGATACCAACCTGACGAGGACGATGGCGTATACTACGCCCCCTTCAATCATCCCAAGGGACATAAAGATTTACCACCGGCACTCTTCCAGATTGATGGAATGGACCCTCTGAGAGATGAAGCGATAATTTATGAACGAGTCCTTCGAGAGGAGAACGGCATCAAGACCAAGATGTACGTGTATCCGGGGCTGCCGCATGGTCACTGGGGCTTCTTTCCCTTTTTGAAGAGTTCTGAAAAGTTCCGTCAAGAGCAGGTTGAGGGTATGGGTTGGCTTCTTGGGAAAAAGCCTGATTTCAGCAAGGTTATTGCTAAGGCTGTGGCCGCTATGGTGTGATATTCATCACTCTCTCAGCGTCGAGGATGCTGCAATGTGATAGACCGAAAGAACCTAAGGGCATCCCTCGATACAGGTCTGATATAATGCTGACAGTGCTCGTTCATTCGTCCATTTTTTTATTTTTCCTGTCCAACCGCAATGTGACAATGTTTCATTCGTCATGTCCTTCCCACCCGATAACGCATCATCACTTCTTCCTCTCTCGAATCTTGAACTGGACGCCGTTCTTGTTGACGCCACCCACCGTCCTAGCCATCTTAGCCCGCTGCAATTCCAACTGATCAGCCGCTGCTAATATCTCTCGCTGTCGTTTTTTCAACGCCTCCAGCTTTGCAACTCGCGTCTCTTGCCGGCGCTTCCTCTTCTTTCGCTCCGCACGTAAACGGGCCAGGACATCTTGTTCCGCGGCTTGGGCCTTTTTCGATGGGAGTTTAGGCGGTAGAGTATTATTCTCTTCCTCTGCTTCATCAGGATCGGATTCTCTCTGCGATTTGGAAGACGCATTCGTTCCGAATTGTGTGCGTGATGAAGAATTGTAGAGGCGACCGTCCAACACTTCACCATCCACTGCGCGCTTTTGGCCTCTCGCAGCCCCGTCGTCCTCTTCTGCGAATGTCTTCCGCCGTCCCTTGCCCGCACCATCAGTGACACTATTCAGTCCTACCTCCTCCTTCAACTTGTCTATTTCCCTCCGGCCTCTTGCCGCCACCGTTCTCAGATATCCGGCATCCTGACTTTTCAGTAATTTGACTGCATCATGGCTCAAAGGGCCATTGCTCTGCCTGTCACTGGCCTTGTGTTTCCCTAAGCCCGCCGTACCCTGGCTCAGCATTCCAAATGCAAATTCATCTGGATTGCGTTCCCGGGCCTTCCGCGACAGCTGCGCAAGTTTCTTTTTCTTGGTATTGTAGTCCTGGGCACGCAACGAGTAATCTTTGTGTTTCTCTAACAGGCCCCATTTCTGCCGGGATTGTGGTTGGGAACGTTCTTTGTGCGGCCGCCGCGAAACCGCGTTGCGGAGGGATGACATTTTTGCGTTGATCAGATATACAATATCAAATATCACGACCCAGAATTGGTCGAGAGTAGTCGGATGTAAAGTTGGGGGGAAATTTTTAGGGCCCGTAGAAAAGCCGGTGGAGAAGCAATGCTCTCCGGAAGAGCTCCAGGTTCAATTATCACGCTCTCCATCAACGACAACTCAACGTTTGTATACCCAGTGGGTTCCAACCAATGGTCCATCTGTGATCCGCTTTGCAGAAGGGACCTATAGAATATCTCTGGTCTCCGTGACACCGAGCAAAACAATGGAGATGGCGTCTTCTGTCATGTCCGCACCACCACCACCTACGAGCAAGACATCGCAGCAGAATCTCCACACTCCTCTTCCGTTGACAGCCTCTCAAGAAGCCGAAGTTCGAAATTTATATTACAAGCGCGTCCGGTCTAAATGCGCAGACGAGATAAAAGGTTCGTTCCGTGTCAATCCCAACAGCCAGGCCCACCATTTTTTTGTTAGCGGTGACCTGTCTCGTCTGTCCTATGAATTCTAACGATTTCTGTCCAGAGTTCGCCGACTGTGCCCGCGGCCGAACTATCAGTATCGCCTGGTCCTGTCGGGCCCAACATCTCGCGATGAACAGCTGCATGATCCAGTATGCCACGAAGGCCGAAGAGGACGCTGCCCGAGAAGAATGGTTTGCGGGCGTGATAGAGCGGCGGCAGAAAAGGGAAGAGCAACTTGCCGCTGTCGAGAAGAGACGGATGGAAGTTATTGAAATGACGAAGAAGCAAGAAGAAAAGGAACGTCTGGAAATGGAGAAGAAGTTGGTTGAGCAACAAAAGGAGAAACAGCAGAAAAAGAGCGGTGGGTTTTGGTGGCGGTGATGGAAGGCCAAGAGGCAGGAATCAATGTCCTGACTTTCGAGAAATGCTGGGAAAACGCTCCTGACCAAGGGGCTCTGGCTCAACACTTGGATCTTGATGGAGCCGGTTGGTTCAATTGTCGATTCTATCATTTGAGCCGACACGATTTGACCTGGGGCGGCTTGGAGAAAGGAGGTCCGGCTCAAAGCAACCAAATCAAACAAATCCTCCGATTGGCGCTCCGGTCAGGTTGGACTCAAAAACTGCACAGCAAGAGGACGACGACCACGGTCGAAATTCTGGGCATTTCTTGCCTTTTCCAGTTTCTGCCCCCTCGGATCCAACGTCTTGTCCAAGCCGCCCATATCATGTCATGGCCATTCGATAATGACGGTACCAGAAGACTGCAATAGCGCCATCATAGACTCGGAAAAACGGATACTCTGGGGTCTGAGGTCAGCGGTCCGAAGTCAGCCCCAACAAACTGCATATTATTCACCAAAGAATCTCACCTCCGAAAATTCCAACACGACAACCCAACATCAAGCCTCTCCATCACCATACAAAGCCTTTAACTTCTCATCTTCGGTGGCTGACGAGAGATTCTGCAGCCTTCGACGCCATTGAAATTCGTTCACGTGGACCGCGCTGAAGCTGAAGCCAAGCTCTGGGCCTTACCTCTGTAGCCTGAAGATATCGCCTCTCTGGCTTTTGGCGGTATAACATGTACACGGCGATGAACCAGACAATGCAGTTTCCGAAGGCAATCAGGGGTTGGAAGGGAGTAATACAGAAGGTGGGACTTTGTCCGGTGGTCAGGAGCCTGCTTCTGACCCTTGTGGAGCGGGCCTGTTACTTGTCTCGGATGCAGATGAGAAAGCGAAAAGGTGTTTCTCACTAATCTTCTAGTCATGTCCTTGGTTAGCTTGGGAAGATCCCTTCGAACGTGTACATATACCTTGGTGAGATTGCTTCATCTCTGATTGCGATGAGTAGATTTAATCCTGCAAATGCAGAGAATAAGTCAAGCAAAGGACGGGCGAACGAACGAACGAACGAACGAGACGGTTTCGCTTTGAGAACGTGAGAATTTTGAAGCACGTGAAAGGGTCTTCTAGTTCCCAAGGAAAAGAACATACGCCGGGTCTGTCTATCATGGTTGTTGAATCTACTATGAGCCGGGTTTTGGCTCGTAATAACGAGCCCTCGATATTCAGAGACGGTGCACACCAGGTCAACGAACATGAAGCGCACAAGACTTGTCGGTGTGGGTTTAAGTGCCTAGGCATTGGATCGGTGGCAGTTCACGTTTCACCATTTCAAGAATGCCTCCCATCGATCACAAAAGGCTTCCATGGCCTCCATAAATTGCGTCACGTGCTGTGTGGTGAGCATGATGTTCAAAGCAATGAATCCCCGTTGGGCCATGTAGATTCCCTTGTCGAGCATATGGTGGTAGAAGATTCCCTGCAAGAGGTCTTTGTCCGGGCCAGCGAATTGGATGGCCATGAGGCTCCCTACTCCCTTGATGAACATCTTTGGCGGCCGTTGAGGATGTTGAGGCGAATGCATGTCGTCTGTGATTGGGCTGGAGGGTAGCGTTCCTTCGATGTCTCTCTTCGAGAGGACAGCCTCGATTTGTTGGCGCATCGAGTCCCCCAGACCGTTCAATTCGTTCAGTTTCTCCTCTGTCAACAATCCACATCCGGCGACTCCCGCCATCATAGTAAAGACGTTGTTATTGAATGTGCCGGGATGTTCGAGGGTGCCGTCTCGTGGATCGTACAGTTTCATAATGTCTTTCCTGCCACCAAAGGCGCCGAAACTCATGCCTCCGCCAACCCATTTCCCCAAGGTCATTAAGTCGGGAACCACGCCCATATGATATCCTCGGCCATGGTAACCCAACCGGCTAGTCATAACTTCGTCAAATATCAAAAGAGCATTAGCTTCCTTACTCAGTTGCCGAAGACTGTTGAGGAACTCCGCTGTGCCGGCGTAACATCCTCCGCTGCCTAACATGGGCTCGACCAAGATAGCAGCCAGAGAATCCTTTGGAAGAGAATGTATTAGGTGCTTGGTCCCTTCGACGTCATTGTATGTCCCAACAACGATGTCGTGGGGCAAGTTAATCGAAGCCTTATTTGAGGGCGTTCTTCCTGATATCGTTGAACCGTGATATCCTCCAGCCTTCCTCAGTAAGCTTTCCATGCATTTGATACGAACTCACTGACCTTTATTGAACAAGAGAATCTTCTTTTTGCCCGTGAAAGCCAGTGCTGTAGCAATTGCCATCATATTTGCCTCAGTGCCAGAGTTGACAAACCGGATGAGCTCCATCGCCGGGAACCGGTCGCACACAGCACGCGCCAGATGGGGTTCCATTTTATTGTGGCCTCCGTAGTTCCAGCCGTCCTTTAATGCCATCTGCAGGGCATCCTTAATGACAGGATGGTTGTGGCCATAGATCCCTGCAGTATATTCACCCAAAAAGTCGACGTAAGTATTACCATCAACGGTAGTTAGATGGCACGCATTGGCTGAGTCAATAGTCAGTGGAAATGGTGTGGTGTACAGGACTGTTCGTGTGTTGCCGCCTGGCATATATCGACACGCTTCTTCATGATTCTTTCGAGATAAAGGGTGTTTTTGCAAATATTCTCCATGAGCCTGCTCGAGGGCAGCCGCGAGAGTCGTGCGATCTAGGGAACCCATCATTTATCGTGCAACCTTCAGGTCCTAGAACGTTTTGTTGAAGGGTAACCAGAGAAGAGAAGATTATACATATATGTACACCCAGAAAATCCTGGTGGAAATTCAGAATGGTAGCGCCCTGTGACGGACTCCATTGGTATCAGTGTCAATCGTTGCCCCCCAAGAAACTGGTGCCACTCATTGGCCCGCGTCTGGTTACCCAAGCTCGACGTTGGTCACCTAATCAAAGGCAATGTAAGTTGAACGGGAATGGGGATGTGGGTTGCGTTGCCCCTACCATTCGCCGGCAGAAGCAAAGCGTGAAGGAGCTGTCAGACATATACCTACATATATACACCTTCAAGGATGCTTAAAGATGGACTGAAAAGGTGACATCTTCTCCATTGCCGTAAGAAGGATCTTTAACTTTCGCTTCTTCAATTGGGAGCTTCAAGTCTTGTGCCCCTCTTCGCTCCGGTTTCCCCTGTTTCTCCCGCAGGGCCAAGCAATAAATTTCCCCTGGCACAGCTCGTTTACAGCCAAATCATGAGTTTCTCGGGTAGACGAGTGTCCTCCTTGCGGTCTGCTTTGCATAGTAGTGCAGACGGCCGTCGATTCTCTCTTCATCCAGAAGATGAGCGCAGTTCAAGTCCCCATCGGGCCTTGAGAGCTCACCCTTCGCATAAAGCTCACGCGGGACTCGACACCACCAGAGCCAGCACGGGTGTAATCTGGTAACCAAGCTCACTGACTCTGTTACGACTTTGTCTCTCTGACGAGTGACAGGTGTACGGAGCAAGCTTCCAAGCATGGATTCCTCGATGAGCCTCACAAATGGGCCAATCTGGGTCAAGGCGCACCGGAAGTTGACGACGATATCGAAGGTTGCTTCCCTCGCCCGACCTCAATTCCCTTGACACTGAACGGACGAGAATATGGCCCCACCGCGGGTATCAAGCCTCTTCGAGCTGCTGTCGCAAAGCTATACAATGACAACTATCGCCAGGGCAAGGATAGTCAATACTCATGGGAGAATGTGTGTATCGTGCCAGGAGGAAGAGCCGGATTAATCAGAATCGCCGCTGTTTTGGGGAATGCCTATCTGGGCTTCTTCATTCCCGACTATACGGCCTACAACGAGGTAAGTTGCTTGAGAAGTCTTCCTGGGTTGCCACACGGACTGACTGCAGGTGCACAGATGCTGAGCCTGTTCCGTAACTTTGTGGCCATTCCCACCCCGCTGTCTGCCGCCGATGGGTATCACATCCACGCAGATAAAATTGCCGAAGAGTTGGCGCGTGGAACGTCGGTGATCTTGACATCAAATCCTCGTAACCCCACCGGCCATGCCTTGCATCCCGAGGAGCTCGCCTTGATCCAGGACATTTGCCGAGACAGGGCCACTTTGATCTTCGACGAGTTCTATGCTGGTTACAACTACAATTCAGATTGTGATGGCAACACCATCTCGGCTGCAAGTAATGTCATCGATGTCGACAGGGACGACGTCATCCTGATTGATGGTCTCACAAAGCGGTTTAGACTTCCTGGCTGGCGAGTCGCTTGGATTGTCGGTCCTAAAGATTTTATCAACGCTCTGGGCTCCTGCGGAAGCTATCTTGATGGTGGCACCAACGTCCCGTTCCAAGAGGCGGCCGTCCAGATGCTCGACCCTCCCAAGGTCAAAGAAGAGATGAAGGCACTGCAAAGCCACTTCAAGAAGAAGCGTGATTATGTCCTCGGCCGATTGAAGGACATTGGCTTCAATCTGGGTGATCAAGCCGTGCCAGACAGTACATTCTACATCTGGCTGGATCTCACCACATTGAACCCCCCACTGCCAAAGAACAGTGTCATCGACATCTCCAACGGTCTCTCTTTCTTCGATGCCCTCCTCCAAGAAAAGACCATTGTCGTGCCTGGAATTTTCTTCGACCTCAATCCAGCCAAGAGACGAGACTTGTTCGACAGTCCCTGTCACCACTTTGTTCGATTAAGCTATGGACCGAAGATGGATGTTATCAAGATGGGGCTTGACGGAATTGAGAGGGTCGTGAAACGTGCCAGGGGCGAGTTTGGGCAATACGACAGTGCCATTCACGATGAACCTGAGTCCAAGAGTCCGCGAAGCCCTGTGCAATTCTGGAAAGGAAAAGCACATGAGGAACGCTTCCATTGATGAAGACATGAACTGACAAAGACATGAAGAATGACGCGAAGGTCGAGAGATGTGTGATGTTGAGAGTTCCAAGCAGAGCAATCCTATGCTCTCCGATGCCTCGGTCTAGACTGATTTGTCCAATTCCATGAGGCCATGATGCTATGAAATAACCATGCTAGTTCACAGATCAAACGGCATCCCATTAGTTCTTTTCCATCATAACCCGGGCTTAGGTGGTTGAAGGTAGGTTCGGTGGTTTTGGAAGTTTGGGCAACCTAATCAAGCCCTGACGATCAATTCCTACGGTTAGCGTTAAGACCGTAGTCAAAATGGGAGAGTTATCTCCAAATACTTACAATAGCGCCAGAGTCAAGTCACCGTGGATGCTGGCCTTGAGCTCGACTTCCACGTCCAAGTTCAATTCCAAGCGCAACTTCAACCCGTCTTCGTCCTTGGGATCCGTTCCGCTGCTGTCTCTTGCATCGATGGGTTGTGCAGTCTCAATTGGCTGCGTGGGTGGCGCTCCCCTCCAGGGGATCTCGCCTCGGAGCATCCGCGCGTATGTCACGGGGCCATCCATTGACTGAGAGGGAGGCTTTATCCTCTCAAATGGCTGAGCCTCCGTTATGTCGCGGGGATTCGGGTTCTTCAACCACTGTGGCTGCTGTGGTGGTCGAGTTGCTAGTTGTTGTTGGGGTTCGTCGGCCTCGTCAATCGAGGCCATCGACCGAGCGGAGGCGTTTCCAGTTTGGGCTTTTGCCTGAGCCTGTCGCTGTCGTTGATTTTGTCTCCTTCTCCGTCGAGACTGTGATCTGGATCGCGACTCGTACCCTTGGTCGTCCACCGAAGCCGTGGAGACCTTGGAGTGGCCGCGTTCGAGCGCAGGTCGGCTCGGCTTCTTGTCACCAGGAGTCTTCTCCGGTGGTGGTGTTTGCTGTGGCTCCGACATCCTGGGCCACAAAGAAATTTTGATAGGGGAGGACTTTGGCAGGTACGAGGGGGACAGAAAGAGAATCAAAAAGTTAACAAGAAATTAAAATCAAGAGGCTGGTACGAGAGGGCAGACTGGGAGCAAATGCCGTCGGCGGGGAGGCCGCCGCAACGACATCATCGCCCATTGGGATCGTCATGGCAAAGACGTTGGATCGCTTGGAGCAGCGAGATTCTGTATGGGGATCGCAGATGTGGACTCGTTGGGATGGGGAAAGTGAATGCGGAAGTTGGATGAGTCCTGGTCGGTGGATGCATGAAATTCCAAGGCTTCGAGGACGTTGGTTGTTGATTGGCGAGTTGGCCTACCCTGGGTTTCCGTGCCTTTTCCGTACCTGTGGCTTCGCATATGTGGCGTCGAATGACGCGAGGTTGGAAGGGAGCCAATGGGGAACCCGTCACGTGAGAAGCACATCGAGATCCCGAAAAGAATTTTTCGTCACTCGTTCACCCTCAGTGTCGATATACATCAAGCACGAGTTGTTCGACTTGTTACACAACCGTCTGAATAAGCAGTTGTGCAACTACCCGCGGGGCCCTCATTGTACTGGGATTCTTGAGGCGGAACAAACATCCCTCCCTGAACTCCTACCAACTCGGCCGGTCAGCGCCGGAAGTTGACTCCATCAACGATGGATCACTCTGTCAGTCAGCCCTCCCATTTCGTCAGTCAACATTCCTGCCATATCCTGCCTCAAACTTGGTCTGCCGACACCTGCGTTGTCGGATGATTCATCCCTCTTTGCTGCCATTGGCGTGCCAACTTCTTGAAACCTTCCTCGGGCCTGCCCTTCATCAGCCTCCTCGACGTTGATCTGCTCGATCAGTGGCGTTGGATGCATGACGCTTCTCAAAAGCAGCGAGCGACAACAGACGTCATGGCACGCGTGTTTACACCAACACGATGTAGGTCTTGCCTGAGCTGTCTCACCTCTGACGTCGATATGGATCGAAAATTACATTTCCTGCATTGTGCCTCCTTTCTTTCAATCCTGTGGACCATAGACCTGGTCGGCTTACGACGATTTTCTTTTTTGGCGTACGACTCCTCTCCTCAACCTCCTCATCTTTCTTCTCAACTTCCACCATGTCTGCTGAGCAAGAATCAAGAATCACTGAAGAAACTCAATTCGGCGGGAACCTCGACGCCGCTGGTTCTGCTTCAGGCGCTGCAAATCTAGGAGCATCGGCCTCATCTAAAAGGTCGGAAGAGAGGCGAAAGCCGAAAAAGTTGGGCCAGAAGGGTCAAGCGAACGGCATACCACAAAAAGAAGACGTCGAAAGAGAAGTTGACGGCGGCACTGAAGAGCTTTCCGCACCGCAACCGAAAATGGAACAACAATCCCATTCGAAGCTACGACAAGCCAGCCGTGGCCGCGGCCGCGGTCGTGAATCCAGTGAGCCGCCCAGCGATACCGACAGTGCATACCGAAGCGACGTATCCCAGAAGGGCGGAAGGAGGAACAGAAACCGCAATCGCGGCAAGGCCCAAGCACAACCGCAAGCTGAAGTGCAAGAAAAGAACAGAGGTCTCCTCGGCGGCGGTGGGAGTGGTCCCCTCAATGCTGTCGACGAGGCCGGCGAGACGGTCAACGACGTCGTCGATGGCGCCGGAGACCTGGTGAACAACACCGTCGGCAGGACCTTGAGCAAGCCCCATGAAGCCGTCGGAGGCCTGGTGAGGAGCAAACCCAAGGAAGGAGAAGGTGAGCAAGACGAGAAAGACGATGAGCAACTGAGATTACGACTCGACTTGAACCTGGATGTCGAAGTCCAACTCAAGGCGAAGATTCATGGTGACTTAACCCTTGGTCTATTGTCAGTATCACCCAGAATCCACCCACGCGAATGCTAACATCTAACAGGAACTAGTGCTTGACGAAGGGCGAAGTCCTCTTGTATCTTCTCGTGTTGTCTCCTTGATCAATAGAGCCAACCACCCACACATGGGCACAAGATTTTCAGCACCCGAGAATTCTTCAGGGGGGTGATTGGCCTTGCTTCACAATCAGGTAAAGATGTTCAACGATTGGGTTACGGAACTACTGTCAATTTGTATTTTCCCGGACGGCGAGACCGGTTGTCAGTATACATGTGATCAAACAATCACGACCAGAATACTATCTTCTATCATCCGCCAGGAAGTCTTCACTGTCAGTGATCTTTACTAGATGGGGAGCAAACAAACTGCACTTGAGCGCCTTGAAACCCTCATCTAGCCCTCCCTTTCACTCACCGAAACAGGAGTCAACCCCACATAACCAGCCAAAGGCCGCCTGTTTACACCTCATATCCATCCGCCTCTCGTTTCAGCATTGAATGTTGACAACGTATAAGCCGTCAACTTCCACATCCGTAGTGGAGCAACCAGAAGAGCCATCGACCCAAGGAAAACAATGGAAACGATGGCAATTCTGGGGCCGAGCTTGGCACTAGACGTCAAGAGCCAAACGAAAATCAAGGAATTCCTGGCTGCAGACCAAGTTCAGCCTAACCCCTCTAGTTCACAGTGCCTAAAATCACCTTCCGCCTCTTCAACACCCTGCCTTGGTGGGACCCATGGGACCGTCATAAGAACCAACTATATCTGTATCATTCTTTACGTGCAAGCTTGTTTGCTACTAAATGCTTTGGCAGTGACGTAGCCGGCCTCAACCCAGCAGATTGGAAGATTATTCTGAAGAGAAACAAGTTACCCCACAGTTTTTCCATGCGCGAGCAAGCGCAAGGTACTGTCTGCGTCAGAGATCAAGACAGGTTTGACCTCCAGGGACCGAACTAGACACGCAATGCTGTTAACTTTTATGCTACGGACGCGTTAGTCCGGACTCGTGACTCTCGCAAATGAAACCTTCTAGGCCTTGCTCCCTTATCAAAGACGGCTCTCCTACTCAAATAAGGGAACCTGAGAACGAGTTTTAACGCCAGCAGGCGCGAAAGTCATTCTATTGTCAAACGGATTACATTGAGTGCGCCGAGGGCCTCTGTAGCCAGTGCCTCGTTGTGTTCTCATATAGAGCATCTGTGACATCTCTGCTTTGCCACCTCCTTTCTAGGTTTTCAGGGGCTGAGACCATTGTCTTACCGCGTACACACTGAATCCAGTCTGGACTAGTCGATAGAGGCCTTTGCCGATGCTAGAGATCTCGTTGTCGTGGGTGCTGCCAGCATGGGATTGCCATCGAAAAAGGGGTAAACGCATCAAGAATAGGCCTGAATTATCCAACCAGTCAGAGCAAGCCATTTTCTGGATCACGTGATCCTCGCCGGGAGACGATCAGCCTCGTCTGTGATCACGTGACTGGCCCTTCGTCTCTGTGTGATATGTGGCGACGCCAAGGCTTGTAAAGACCTTCGGAAGCGTTGTACGCTTCGTACACGCTTCGAAAGTATATAGTCTGACGGTCCCCTGGACCCTTCGAAATAGGACAAGTCCTCCGTAAAATCACATCTGGTAGCAACGCCTTCGACAGTCCTCTACCCTGGACTGAGGTCCGCAAGGGCCTCTACGCCACTCTCAAGGAGGAGAGAGGCGTAGTCGGACGATCCAAGAGGTCTTTGAACGACTAGACCTCAATTCGAAGCAAATCCAGAGCGTTGAGACGAAACCGACGACGATAACATCGCAACTCCTTCGAAGAATGTCTTTACCCTGTGAAATGGTCTCTTCTTCCGCGAGGATAGGATGCCTCCTCATCCCCCTCGGAGACCCCGACAACAGGAGAGCCCTCTGAACGACGCTGGGCGGAGAAAGAATTCTTCGAAAAGGTCGCCACGCATGAGTCACTCTATCAGTGGATCCCGAAAACATCCTCTTGCCTCTCCTTCGTATCTCGAAATTTGCCACTCTTTCGAGGTCTTTGAACGTCTAGACCTCCACAACTGAGACATACGAAGGCCGGAAGCGATCTCGACCTCGAGAACATCCGGACCAGACCGAGGAATAATGACGAAACGCCACTGAACCCTCAGGTCTCGACCGTTCCATTACCCTGAGGAGGAATCTACACGGTTCCAGACCTTCAAGATGTTATCTTCGACGGGGATTGACGGGAATATGGAAGCTGAAAAGTGGTGGCAAGGCCACTCGGTAAGGAACACCTTCGGTATAGTGGCGGCTTCAGAGTGCAAACGATGAAGACCGGTCCGAGATAGCGCCCTCGCTGGACGAGGTAGACAGCTCCTATATAAGAATGTGCCCCTTTCGAGGCCATCATTTTCCCTTTTCCATTCTCTCATCTTTCCTTTCTCTTATCCTCTGTGCTTCGAACATTCCAAGCCAGCCCGGAACTTCACGCTCAAATGCCGTGCCCTTCCAATCGAAATGGATACCGATATGACCAACGTCGACGGGAGCCCGTTCCCCTCGTTTGGGCAGAACGCTCACCCACAAACTTCTACCGGAATCCCGCCAACTTTCCCGGTACCCTCGTCTTCTGGATTCCAAGCCACCCCTTCAACGTCCCAACAGGGACAAGCCGACCCGACAACCCTCGAGGCGGTCGTCCCCCTCGAGCTCTTTCAAAACATCGGAGGGGCGGGAGTCGAAAAGCCCCCGAAGTATGGAGGGCAAAGGGAGAACGACGCCGCCCGAGTCTGGCTAATCGGGATGGAGAGATGGCTTTGGGCCAAGGAAATCCTTCTGCGAAGAAACCTTACGGGTCCCGAAAGGATTGCCCTAACGACTTCGTACCTCGAAAAGGCCGCTGCCGCGTGGTGGAACCTAACCTATATTCGCAACATAGACCACCAAGGGCACCAGCTTCGGATCCAGTCCTGGGCCGAATGGAAGAACACCTTCCTCAGCCAATTCGGCGACGTCAGGACCCAAGACCAACGGCGAGACGAGTTCGACTCGCTTCGGCAGACAGGTACCGTCCAAGCGTTTCGGCAGGCCATTGAATCTCGACGTCTTTACCTTGAGCCACGTCCTTCTGACGCCGATTGCTTGCTTGTCTTCAAACGTGGCCTGAAGACGTCTATCCGGAACCGTATCGAAATCCTTCCTGACTCGATTGTGCCAGGGACTTACACTAAGTATGTGGAATTCGCCGATAAAAGCGAACGAGAGATGCTTGCCACCTCTAACCGCGTTCCCTTTTTCAAGTCTCGCTATGGAAAACCGGCGACTTCGACATCTAATGGTGCCTCTCACGCACGCAATTCAGCAGCACCCCGACGTGACCACGATGGTGACGTCGAAATGACACTCAATGGTATGCGTACCCAGCCGAAATCGGGCAACGCCACCAGTGGGCAAAAGGCTTCGAGCAAAGCACCTCCTTCCCGCCAAAAGTGCCGTGAAGAGAACCTCTGCTTCGGTTGCGGCGAGCCCGGTCATCAGAAGAAAGACTGTCCGAAAGCTAATCAGTCGACCCGTCGAGGACATAGGGGAAAAGGGAAGGGTCGTCAAGCGTAGGGGAACCTGACGACCATAAAGCTCCAGACCCCTCGAAGCATATTGGAGTTGCACCCCTAGAGGCTGAGTCCCTCACTGCCAACCCCTGGGACGTCTCCCTCGCGGCTGCCAATACCTTCGATAAGGACCTGGAACGCTTGCAAGGACATAATCTTGCAAGTGGAAACCTCGGTTGGACGCAGAACCCGTACCCCGTCAGTATCCTCTTCGACACTGGTTCCGATATCTCCTACGTCTCGAAGAAAGTGGTCAACCGGCTTCAAGGAGATCTAAAGATCTTGGAGACCAACACCCTTCGTGTGCGCTTGACCAATGGAGAGACAACTACGACGAACCAGCAACTGACTATTGGCCTCACTATTGGAACTTTCCGAGCACGTTCTACTCTTCGAATTCTAGATTGGGATGCCTACGATGTCATCCTAGGTCTCGACTGGCTTCAGAAGCACGAAGCTTCATGGGATTTCGCGCGCTCGTGCGTGACACTACGAAATGGAAGCAGAAAATCCACCGCTGTCGAACTGAGACCCTTTCGAACCATCGACTACGAAGGTCTCAAGGAAGTTGGGTTAAATCTTCTCAGTTACCGAAGAGCGGAAAAGGCCCTTCGCAAGCCGCCCGCTCAAGACCGTCCACCCGTTCTGTACATTGTGGAGTCTCCGAAGAAAGAACAAGATTCATCACCCATTCCTTCCGTCAAGAACCCACGATTTCGACACCTCTTACAACGCTTTCAACACGTTCTCAAGGAAGTTTTACCCTCGAAATTTCCTCGTACTCGAGAAATCAAGCACGAAATTGATACCGGAACTGCCAAACCTATCAATTTGCCCTATTATCCCCTCTCGAAGGAACATCGAGACGAGTTGGACAGACAGATCAGGGATCTCCTCGAACAGGGCTTGATTCAACCATCTCGAAGCCCGTGGGGATTCCCTGTTCTCTTCGTGCCGAAACCTGGTGGAAAGTGGCGAATGTGCATTGATTACCGCTTGCTCAACAACGTTACGGTGAAAGATGCATATCCATTACCTCGTATTCAAGACTGTCTCGATACGATCGGAAAAGCCAAACTGCTTTCGAAGATTGACCTCACCCAAGGGTATTATCAGATCGAAATGGCCGAAAATGCCATCGAAAAGACTGCCTTTAATACTCGAAGTGGCAAATATGAGTTTCGCGCTATGCCCTTCGGCCTGACCAAT